ATTGCTGTAATGAAATAATTTTCACCTTTAAACTATTTTCATCGCGAAATAAAAACATATTATGAAGAAAATATGCAGTTACTTCAAATGCGGGATTTTATATTGAGATAAATAGTATCTTTATGGTACACAGTAGCTGTTTTATGTTTTATTTCGGCTGCTTCATCGCTGACGGGATGTCATATCAGCTAGTACTCAAGCTCGCATATCTCCGCGTACCGCCGGCTCCGCACGCGTTCTGAATGATGTATGTTGCGAAATAAATATATTTAAAATCTTTGACGCCGTAACGCCTTTATTGTTCAGGACGAGGACGATTTCTTTTTTTTATTACAGTACAGTTTCATTCATAGCAATAAAGTATGAAATCTAGTCATAGACAATTTTCTTTATCTTTCAAATTGTTTTGTATAGCTGTATCGTTTATACAGGATTATATAGGATTTAAAAATGCTTGAAAAGCAGATATCGGGAGCTTAACTGAAATATTATATCATTTTCAAAACAACCAAAGGCTTGTACGTACTTTTAAATCGAAAGTTATGATGTCTCGTACTATCCTATCTTCAGGATTTATTATTTAAAACGAAATTAAAAGGAGAGAATTTACTACGATCTTCGTGTTCAAATTGTCGTACAGCAATATTAATATTTATCAATTAAATATTTTCATTGACATAAAACATACCAAAAACGTTAAAACTGAAAGTTTAAGCATTACATGAAACAGTTTTCAAGTTGGATGTTAAAGACTAATGTAGTATTGTGATGTAAAACATGGCTATAGTCTCGTGATTTCGTATTTAGCACACTCGCCTCTGTCGTGACGCAGCGCTGACATTTTTACACATTCCCGCTAAAATCAATTGCCTTGAAAATGTCATTATTAAAATGTGTAACGTCCGATTGATATAATTTTGCAATAAATATATAAAAAAACTATAATATTACATACATTATACAAAATATAATAAGTTTATAGCTTGTTGCATCTGTCACAATTGAAATCAAAACGTTAGATGACAAGTTTATTGGCGTATTTTTTTTTCATTTTATGTTTTCATTGTTTAGTTTCTGTTTTTTTTTTATTTAAAAGGTGGTATACGAGCAGACGGCCTACTTTATAGCCAGTAGTCGCCATTGCCCATGGATATCCGCAAAATAGTTTTGTCATTTGTGGATGCGTTATCAACCTTGATTGGGGAGAGGGAGAGGAAAGGGTGGGAAAAGGGAAAGGGAAACCGGCTCTCTCTCTCATCGGTAAAAACGCAGTCATTACTGACTACTTCACGCCGATCTTCTGTGAGAGGGTGGTACTTCCCCGGTCGAATCAGTCCATGTTCGAGCTGTAGTAACTTGACCACAGCTAGGCTCTACCACCTTGTAACCTTAAGTAGTTTCGTTAAATTTAGTTTCTTAATACTATATTTTACAATTTTTTTAAGTAATTTGTACACCCCTACCATCCTATCTCTCTCCTCTACCAAAGGTTGCCTGGAAGAGATCTCTATTTTAGCGATAAGGCCTCCTATAGTACATTTTTCTTTTCTTTCTCTGTTTTACTCCTATTCTTTTTGTCTATATTGGTGTGCAATAAAGAGTATCTAAATATTTATTTTTTTTGGTCAAATAATTAAAATTATTATAATATATGCGTAGTTGTGCTCGTCTTATAATAAAGCGTCAAAGTGGGGGTGACAGTGCTTCTGAATTTTCTCATGAAACCTAAAATTTACAAATGTCATTACGGAAGAATTTTCACATAATTTGCTTCATCTTTAGTGACAGATGATCTCCATGTAAGAAAGAGTCCTTTGCCCAGCTGTTGGCTCTGATAGGCTGATGATGATGATGATTATGATTAAATGATGATGATAATAGAACTTCGTAACGAAAATTAACTAAGTACCTGAAGTTGGTCTTATAGTTAATACACCACTTTTTTATTTACATATACGAAGTTGATTTCATAAAATTTATTAAAAATTTCAACAGATCATATTTAAGTATAAAAGGTGGATTTTCAGTCTGTTATTTATAATATAAAATTAATACATATAAAAGAAGGCATGAAGGAATGTCTTATTACCGTTGTACAACTAAATAATGTATCTATTTATATAACTAAATTTATAAATTATATAACTATAGTATAATGAGCACAATTAAAATGAATATCACATATATCTAGTATAATAAAACTTGAATCGCCACATATATATAAGACGATGATGCATCATATGTATTGTTCGCGGTATTTATAAAATCAATATCAATAATAACGAACACCTAATTTGTAAACGCAACCATTCTACGTTTGACATATGACCGCCATATTTGAAGCCATCGGTCAAAATGGCCTCCATTTTGTGTTATAAATATGCAAGTCGCGTTTACCGCCGAAGCTGTCCGTACCTCGCCCAACACTGAATAGAAAGAATCACTATAATGGAATTTATGTTCGGCGTGCGTATATATGATGAATATTCGATTATTACTAGGAATTTAATTGTCTTTAATGCAAGCATAACTCGATGCCCTTTGCGAAGATTTACCCCGCCGCTACCTACAGCCTATTCCTAGGATAATATTATGTGTTCATTTATAGTCTGTCTGCAAATATGTACAAGCTTTCATATCATATGAAGGAAAATATTGTTTAATACGTTTTCATATCCATTTTGAAGCTAAATGGACGTTTAGTAGTAAGATTATGATTTAAACAACACAAAACAAGATTTCTTTTCTTTGACGCTTTGGTATTAGTAATTTAATGTATATGAAAAGTAAACTAAAATATTTATTTTAAATATGGGTTTAATTTCATTATTTTATTAAAGAATTTGTTTAGAATCCATCTTTGAATATTTAACGAACATAGTAAATATTTCCGAGAATAACATAAGTCGTAAAGGATTTAAATTTTAAAACGTTGTATTGATAAAGCAAAGATCCACAATCTTACAACTCTATCTCAGTGACATGTGACACTGTGTTTGCAAACGGTGAATTTATGTAGGAGATTTATTTAAATAGGTTCTTAGCCCTTTTTGAGAAAAAGATTAATAGGATTGTTTACAAATCACGACGAATACACGACGGGGACGCTGGACGAATACTAACGAGTCCCGGGCGTCCCGGTAATAATTAAAAAAACTTGTGTTACGAAACAATAATAATACTTATCATCGTGTGCCTTCAACTATTTTAATAAAAAAAACATAGATAACATTATAAAGTATAGATAAACATAACGAGTATAAAAAGTTATTATAAAACTTTTTGAAAAACATACATCGAATATTTTGTGCAATTCTTAAATATATACAAAAAGTTTGTAATTGAAATAGAAATACATAATACTATTTTTCTTTTACATTTGAACTAGTTTTTTTCATAAATTTAAGTACACATCATTTGAAACAATATAAATTTGCCCGCTGATATATTTTCTTCCAATGATAATTTTGGTGTATTCTAGACTAGAGTAAATAATGACGTGCTACTGTGACTAATTGTAAGGTATATGGTATTAACACCTTTATTTCACAGGCGGGTGAAATGACATTCAATGACTATCCAATCCAAACTAAAAAAAAACATTCACGTAGATTATGTATAGATTTTTTCAAAATCTATGTATATGTAAAATACGATATATTATTATAGATATTAGGAATAAATTATGTTCAGTATTATATATATTATTCTTATGTCTCAGCTTTTCTCAAACAGATTCATCGAAATCCGCTCTGTAGATTTTGCAAGAAAGAAAAAGACACTATCCTTACAAAATTTCGAATATATAATTCTAGTAATATACATCCAATTGAAAAACACACGTATTGTTTTTTTTTTCTTTTAATTATCTCCATTAGTATGTTACAACTTTTAAATAAAATACGACTATATTTTATTTCTATTGTTGTTCTATAAAAAATCTTAAATATCAAAATATATTCTTTTAATTGTAGTTATTGCTACAAATAATATTAATATGTTAAGCGAATGAGAGGTTTTTCATAATTATAATGCATTCTATCAGTCTCTGTCTTAAACATTGTGAATAAACTAATTTTAATTTACTACTCTTTCTTCATCATTGAAGTAAAATTTGAAGGGCATAATAATCAAAAAGGAAGCTTTGACGAAATAAGCATAGGTAACTAATATTTTGTGGGATACTGTCTCAATTTGCAGCCATGAAAGAAGGTTAGCCGTTACGAAGAATATAACTAACAATATTTTAATTCACTTGTCCAGCTGTAGTTCTCATAAAGGGTGATTTAGGAAACATGTTTTAAATGAGATTCTTTAAAACTTAAATTGAATATTAATAAGAAATGAGAATACTACAAATTACTTGTATTATCTTTAATATAATCACTGAGCCACCCTTGCCGTGAAATAGTCTGTTAATTTTTACACTGGAACAATTTGGCATTATTAAAATGTTTGTAACCTTTAATGTAATTATATAGTGTTGAGCATTTTTGTTAATGTCTTCTGTTATTTACATGCAGCCTTTTTAAAAAGGGTCTCAGCTATTTTTTTTATATACATACATTGAATTTATATTATTTCTTCAGGTTGCATTAACAACGAAATTAATAACAAGAAGTCTAAAGTTTTGCATTCTATTATATTTTGTAAGAAAGCAACTTAAGAAAAACTAATTTAAATAAAGATTTTTAATTGTTGTAATAAATATATTGTTAAAAAACACAAAAATATATTCCCGTTAGCTAAATATTCTGTAGCTAAAGAAAATGGTTCTGAGGCATTTGCTTCTTTATTATGTTTATACTGTCAATGTCATTTATCTTATGTCAAATCAACGCTAATAAAGAGTAATCTTTAATAAATTAAGACTACAAACTGAAGAATTAATTATTATTCATAGATGTAAGCTGCAATGCTTGCTTAATAAGTAAACAGAACAGAACGTTATTCTTAATATAAACTTTTATTACCTGATTATACCTATGCTATAATACGACATGGATCAAGATTTCACGAGCATTTTAAACATAATATTTATTATCAGTGGTGGTGTACTTACATTTGTGATTTTGTTCATATTCGCTAAACGACAAATAACCAGGTTCGCCCTTCGGTCACGCAGAGGACCCCATGTTCCTATTGGAACGGACGCAAAAAAGGTAAACTAAAGCTTTTACAACGATTTCAAAGAAGTAAGGGTCATTCGCTTTATAGAGGTCCTAATTTTCCCCTTTAATGTTACATTTCAGTGTTTGAAAAGAGAAATCGAGCGAAGAATCGAAGCCGTACCTCGTATAATGCACGAGCCTCGTCTGCTGTCCACAGAACCTTCGCACTACATACTGGAGCCACAACAACCCTACCATTATAGGTTCAGGGCTGTTGATGATGTCAAAACTCTTGGTACTATTTTCCACTGGATACTACATAACTTTAATTGTTTTGAGTTTATTTTGCGAAGTTTTATTAGTGTTTCGTTTATGTAAATATATTATAAATCATTTTTAATATTGACAGAAGAAGAAATAGCCCATCAAGACCCCAATCTCCGTCGTCATCCTCGTGAGTCGTTGCGAGCATTCCTTCTATCTTCGTTAGCAGTGCCACTGGATGGTCGCGGACAGAAGTTGGTTCATCAGTTCTGTGATGCCTACGAGTCCGCCAGACACCATCCGGCAGAGTTTGGTGAAGACGAGTACAGGGCTTACAGTCGTCTACTTATGAAGTTGTTAGATGCGTAAGTCACTTCTGTTTAGAACTAGTGAACTAGTGAAGCATATAGAATAAAATTCTTTGATCTTGTATAAAAATGATGTGCGGAATGAACAACATCTTTATTTCACAATCTAGTTTGAAACAGTGTTTGTTGTCACTTAAATTAGCTTATGTCAAAAACACAAAGGAATTTGTAAAATTTATCCATTGATTTAATTTATTTACCCTACTATACATATATGTATAACATTCATGTACATATGAAGTATATATTCTTCTTCTGTCTGGCAATTTCCCAGCTATAGCCAGGGTCTGCCTTTCATGTTGTGAATAGTTTTGGCTAATTGTTTTTTACGACCAGCCGCCTGCCTGACATCAACCCTCTTTTGGGAATCAGCATTCATCAGTGATGTCTAAATATTCTTAGAAAGTACATATGATTCGGAAAAAACACATTGGTACTAGCCCAGGCCAGGATCGACCCCCGCGCCCTCATATTTATATTGTAGACAGTATATTTATCAAACACTATGTTCATTTCCAGGGCACGTCTGTTAAAGAGTGTGTCGTGTGTGAGTTCAGTCCGGAGCAGTCCTCAGCGGAGACCGGCCCGTCTGTTGGATCCTGCGAGACTCCGCACAACTCACCGACCAAACAATCATTACACTGCTCTTGAGGTAAACAGTTATATAAGGTTCCTAAACTTTCAGTTGCAATAATATTGGTAAGCAATCACCACCCATAAGACATACATATATTGCTTGTGTTCTGGTTGTTGTCTAATAAATGTGTTTAGTAGTTGGGTATGGGGGTTGAAGTTAAGGAGTTTTCATGTCATGATATCTTCCTACAAGATGACATGTTTTTGCTTTGAGTGCTGTATGGGTATGTGTGTGTAGTATGTGGCCTACCCACACGTGAAAGGCTACTCCGCCGTGTATAATCATGGGTTGCGTTGTTGGGTGCTAATGTCAAAGCTTCTTTGAAGAAGTCCTATTATCTTGACCTCAACTTTTCTTTATGTGTCCTTGGAATACTATAAGATATTAGTTAAAGTATCTTTGAATCTTATGTTCGTCTGCATCTTGGATGCCTTCAAGACTGTTGTAAATAAGGTGTTACTGAGATATTGTACTCACTAGATATGAATAATAGGTGGAATGACAGTCAAGCACTATTCACAATGTTGAATATTGATGATATATCTACTGGATCTCTTTTTAATTTTTATTGCACCTATGAAACTTCTACATTTTTTATATTTTATTCTTATTTGCTTTGCAAAGTTGTATATTTGGTTAAGTGGCTCATTCAAGAGTAACTATATGTCCCTGGTTTAGCTTCATAAATAAGATTTGAGTGAAAAATATACAATATCAATTAACTGAATTTATTGTATCAGTTTTGTTTCATAATAGTGTCCGCCATCTGTTTTGTGAACTCACCAAAAACTTTAGTTTGTGTAGATCATTCACATATGACCATTACTCAACCAAAATAATAGCGTTTAAAGTCTTAAATTAAATAATATAATACAAATCTGGATTTGACAAGATTCATATTTGAGTGAAACTAATATTTTCGGATTTTACTTCGCGTTTTATTTTAGAAACTATTTCATATTTGAGCCTTTATTATATATAGTTCATATTAATATTTTGATTCATAAGAACCAGTGACAACATGATGATATTTGATAATACTTAGTAACTTTTTGATTTGACCCAGTCAATCATTAAATTCATGTAATATAACAACGAAATAAACTTTTATATATTATATTAGTATGAATGATAAAAAACACATACAAATAAAATTAGAACATAATATATATAAAATTTGAATACAGATGAGCCCTTTACATTGACTCCTGACTCTATATATATAGAGAATATAAATTAGACACACCAGAAACTCATACCAAGAGTGGCATTAAAATTATTTCACTCAATTTCTTTTGAAGGAGCACAGCTATATAACTCTTTGCCTCTAAGTGTTGTCAATTCAAAATCTCTAAATATATTTAAAAAACGATTAAGAACCCATATATTAGATGATTTCACTGATCTTGTTTAATACAGCCACAGGCAAAAGTATTAGGCACCCTACAGTAAGACAAGTTTTAGGGTGTTTTAGCATAGCGAGTGTAAATAAAACTGCATTTATGATTACAATGGTTTATTTTAAGAAAATAATTAATATTTTGTAGGTCCACCTTTTGACTTAATAACCGCAGCCACTCTTTTTGGCATTGACTCTACCAGCCTGAAACATTCTTCTCTTGATATATTTTTCCATTCCTGCTGTAACGCGGCCAATAGAGCTTGTTTATTGCTAATCGAGTGCCTGCGGATATTTTTCTTTAAAATGGACCAAATATGCTCAATCGGGTTGAGGTCTGCTGATTGTGGTGGCCAGTCCAAAAGATCAATATGATTTTCAGTAAACCACTTCATGGTATGCGCGGACTTGTGGCAAGTGGCGTTGTCTTGCTGAAATTTCAGGCCATCGGTGTTTGTATCACCGAAAATTTGCGTTATCGACGTTGCTAGTGCTGTTTCCAGAACTTCAGTGTATTTAACACTATTCATTCGTCCCTCACACAACACCATTTCGCCCGCTCCGTCGGCAGCCATGCAGCCCCAGATCATTATTGAGCCTCCACCATGCTTAACAGTGGGAACCACACATTCTGGGTTGTATTCTTCGCCAACCCTTCGCCTAACATAAGTCACACCGGGTGTTCCAAACACCTATGCCAAACGAAAAAAACACATTTATTTTCAAAGTTATTATTTTTCTTGCAGTACGTTATTTTAAAAACATTTATGTGTTTTAATATTGTACATAAAATAAATAACAATACCTCAAAGTTAGATTCGTCTGACCACAGTATGTTGGACCAATCTTCCACTGACCAATCTCTATGTTTGAGTGCCCACTCCAACCGATTTTTCTTATTGTGTTCTGACAGCCATGGCTTCTTCCTTGCTTTACATCCTTTTAATCCAGCTTTAAGAAGTCTTCTTCTCACAGTATAAACACTCACTGAGCTGCCTTTTGCCTCAGATAATGCTGCAGCGAGCTCTAAAGCAGTTTTTTTCCTGTTTTGTAGAGACTGCCTAATCAACAATCGATCTTCCCGTTCAGTAGTAACTTTTCTTCTGCCTGTTCTTGGTCTATTTTCATGGGTGCCAGTCTCTTTGAAGCGATTTATAGCATATTGAACTGCACATCGCGAGCACTTCACTTCTCGGGCTATTTTAACCTGAGACATGCCTTGTTCATATAAAATCTTAATTCTTAGACGCTGTTCAGCACTAAGTTCATATTTTTTCGGCATGATTAACACGTTAAATGTTAGTCTTTAGAATTGTGATAGGAATAGTTGCGTAGAAGACGTGTATGTTCACTGTAAGCACTGATAACACACTATAACCCGAAACGCAAAAAAAGCAAATTCGAAGAAACACCGCTTAGGAGCACACCTGGATGTCATAAATATTTTCTTTTATCTTAATTTGGTTAAAAATTGCCGCTAATACAATAGCTAAACCATAAAACACAGACTTGACCGCAATATAATGAGATAGTGACTAACAATAGGGGTGCTTAATACTTTTGCACGCAGCTGTATTACTACTGTTTATTATTTGTAATCTTAACTGTAGTTATAATTTTTAAAATTTCCTTTGTAAGCGACTTTGTTCTTTTTGGAAATAAACTTCTTTAAACCTACATATATTTCCAGAACATGCCGGTGGAGGCCAAGTTACAGGACGAGGTGCTCCGGGTGCCTGTGAAGACTCCCCCCGAGCCGCTCACGAAGCCCCCGGCCGACGAGACGGCGCTCTGAGGGCGGAGCGCCCGACACGAGGCGCTAACATTGTGAACTACCCACATTCATATATATGAACTTGTGATGGGTCAATAAATATATATAAGAGACTGAAATATATTAAGTGTATGAAGTGGGTTCATAAATATATTTTGAAGGACACTTTTGAAGATAAGTGCTATATAACCTGTGTGTAGACTAAGAACTAAAGAAGTATTTATTATGTGACAAAATGTTTATTTAAATGTAGTGTATTATTGCCATAGTAGGCCGGTGCAGATGCAGTTAAAAACAATGAAAAGTGAAAATAAATTATAGTAGAATGAAACTCATTAGAAAAGTAGGGCATTATTATAAAAATTAAAGGAAAAATAATTTACGGGCTATCTGAGGCTTACTAGTTGTGTACTCTGAAAGTTCTCCAGATAGTCCCTCTCTTAGGTAATTTACAGAAAATTGACATTAAACTGCTAAAACTATTCAAAATAAATTGAAAGAGCATTTTCCAAACAATATCGAGTGTCATTTCATTAAAAGGGACATGATTATTTTATCCAAAATTGGTACTGCAAGTAAAAAACTAATATTTTTTTCTTCACCATCGAAAAATAGAGATTTCAACAAATAGAAAACATTCAATTTTTTTTAAAAAAGCTGATATTTTGACGGGTGATTTTTCGATTGAAAATGAGGCTGATTTTTCAGTATTTATTGAAAATAAGCTAAAAAAAATAAATATTTTTAATCAAATAAATTACAGTGCATTTGGAACATCAAAAGGAAAGTTTTCAGCAAATTTCGTTACAAAAAATTGTTTTTTGGAAGAGATAAAAATAAAAAACCTAAAACTTGGTTTTTCGAATTTTTCACATATAATTTGAGGTTGTGAAAAAAATGTTAGTACAAAAGTTTAGATCATTTTATTACCTACAACTTTACCATATATTTTTTTCTGTAAGACTTTTAGTTTTGCCGGAAATCAAGAACACCCATGTTTTACCCTTAAATACCCATCCCCATACCCTTCCCGACCTCAGATCGCCCGTAAATTATTTTTCCTTTAATTTTTTATAATATTCCCCTCCTTTTCTAATGGGTTTCATTCTACTATAATTTAATTATGTTTTAAAAGCTATCGGCACTGGTCTAAAGGTGTTGTACTAAAACTATTAATATATTAAAATAGGTTCAAATCAATAAAAGATTCTATAGAAAATGTTTAAGAGTACCTGTATATATATTTTGTGAAGTAAATAAAATATATGTTATTCATTCTTCTAACTCATTATGAAATTCTACAATTTTTCAGATGTATGTTGCTTTTTCATAGAAACTGCTAAACGTATTCTGATGAAACTATAATGTAACATAAGCATCAGAATAAGATATAGTTTAGAATTTATAACAAATATTCATATAGTTCCCGCGAGATCATATTAATTGTATTGTGTATGAGTCTCGTGTCACAGTCGATAGAGGTCGCTGATCATTGTTATTGTTTTTATGTATTATAGTTACATTTCTTTCTGAGCCTTTAACCGAACACCACGTTCTTGAAGTCGGGGGCAGAAACTAATATATTATAGTCTTGTCTTAGTAACAATGTATACAACAGGACAAAAACAAAATGAGAAAATAAAATATATCACAACTCCAGTACAATTATTTATTTGATAAATAATCTGTATTATTACATTTAAAACTGTATATTATATTAATACATGTCGTATACAAACAAGGCAATTACAGCCACGGGCAAAAGTATTAGGCACCCTACAGTAAGACAAGTTTTAGGGTGTTTTAGCATAGCGAGTGTAAATAAAACTGCATTTATGATTACAATGGTTTATTTTAAGAAAATAATTAATATTTTGTAAGTCCACCTTTTGACTTAATAACCGCAGCCACTCTTTTTGGCATTGACTCTACCAGCCTGAAACATTCTTCTCTTGATATATTTTTCCATTCCTGCTGTAACGCGGCCAATAGAGCTTGTTTATTGCTAATCGAGTGCCTGCGGATATTTTTCTTTAAAATGGACCAAATATGCTCAATCGGGTTGAGGTCTGCTGATTGTGGTGGCCAGTCCAAAAGATCAATATGATTTTCAGTAAACCACTTCATGGTATGCGCGGACTTGTGGCAAGTGGCGTTGTCTTGCTGAAATTTCAGGCCATCGGTGTTTGTATCACCGAAAATTTGCGTTATCGACGTTGCTAGTGCTGTTTCCAGAACTTCAGTGTATTTAACACTATTCATTCGTCCCTCACACAACACCATCTCGCCCACTCCGTCGGCAGCCATGCAGCCCCAGATCATTATTGAGCCTCCACCATGCTTAACAGTGGGAACCACACATTCTGGGTTGTATTCTTCGCCAACCCTTCGCCTAACATAAGTCACACCGGGTGTTCCAAACACCTATGCCAAACGAAAAAAAAAAACATTTATTTTCAAAGTTATTATTTTTTTTGCAGTACGTTATTTTAAAAACATTTATGTGTTTTAATATTGTCCATAAAATAAATAACAATACCTCAAAGTTAGATTCGTCTGACCACAGTATGTTGGACCAATCTTCCACTGACCAATCTCTATGTTTGAGTGCCCACTCCAACCGATTTTTCTTATTGTGCTCCGACAGCCACGGCTTCTTCCTTGCTTTACATCCTTTTAATCCAGCTTTAAGAAGTCTTCTTCTCACAGTATAAACACTCACTTAGCTGCCTTTTGCCTCAGATAATGCTGCAGCGAGCTCTGAAGTAGTTTTTTTCCTGTTTTGTAGAGACTGGCTAATCAACAATCGATCTTCTCGTTTAGTAGTAACTTTTCTTCTGCCTGTTCTTGGTCTATTTTCATGGGTGCCAGTTTCTTTGAAGCGATTGATAGCATATTGAACTGCACATCACGAGCACTTCACTTCTCGGGCTATTTTAACCTGAGACATGCCTTGTTCATGTAAAATCTTAATTCTTAGACGCTGTTCAGCACTAAGTTCAGATTTTTTCGGCATGACTAACACGTTAAATGTTAGTCTTTAGAATTGTGATAGGAATAGTTGCGTAGAAGACGTGTATGTTCACTGCAAGCACTGATAACACACTATAACCCGAAACGCAAAAAAAGCAAATTCGAAGAAACACCGCTTAGGAGCACACCTGGATGTCATAAATATTTTCTTTTATCTTAATTTGGTTAAAAATTGCCGCTAATACAATAGCTAAACCATAAAACACACACTTGACCGCTATCTAATGAAATAGTGACTAACAATAGGGGTGCCTAATACTTTTGCACGCAGCTGTAGTATCTCTTCACTCATCAGGTATATGAAGGCTTCCTTTCAATCTTCGCAGCAAACATCGAGCTTGTCAAAATTTTTCTCTCTGTTAAATTAAAATAATAATGATATTAGTTGTTTTATATATTCTTCTTAAACATAAAAAAGCATCCAAATGTATATTAATATTTATTTTAATGGTTAGTATTATAGTTAGTAAACAGAACAGAACGTGAATCTTAATGAAAACTTTTATAACTTGTTAATACCTATGCTATAATACGCTATGGATCAAGATTTCACGAGCATTTTAAACATAATATTTATCATCAGTGGTGGTGTACTTACATTTGTGATCTTGTTCATCTATACTAATATTATAAAGCTGAAGAGTTTGTTTGTTTGAAAGCGCTAATCTCCGAAACTACGGGTTCGAATTGAATAATTCTTTTTGTGTTGGATAGTCCAGTTATCGAGAAAGGCTGTAGGCTATATAACAATAATAGGATCAAAGATATAGTGGTAAATGTGTAAAAAACGGGAGAAATTATTTCATCTTTGAAACCTTCCGTTGCGTGCGCTGTGAAAACGGTTAAAGATACCCAAAAATATGTATTAAAGAATAATAGCTCTTTTAATGATCTAAAAAACAGTCCGCGAAGGTATATGTCTATCTTTTAAGATTAGCTCACAAAAACTGTTTTTATGGTACCTAATTTGGTCGAAATAATTTGTTTAAGTTGTATCAACATAATAATATTAATCTTTATTCAAATAAACAAACAAATATGTTGTTGGTTAAGAGCACTTCATTGTGAATTTAAAAAAAAACATAGGTTTTATCCTGAAAATTCTACGGGAACTCGACCATTCCGAAAACCCCGCAAGAACGGGAACTATGTGAGAAGAACCAAAAATCTGCCGGAAGTCACTATTCCACGCGGACGAAGTCGCGGCAAAAGCTAGTATTCGCTAAACGACAAATAACCAGGTTCGCCCTTCGGTCACGCAGAGGACCTCACGTTCCTATTGGAACGGACGTAAAAAAGGTAAACTAAAGCTTATCAACGATGTCAAAGCAGTAAAAAGCCCTAAATCTCCTATTTAATGTTACATTTCAGTGTTTGAAAAGAGAAATCGAGCGTCGAATTGAAGCCGTGCCTCGTATAATGCACGAGCCTCGTCTGCTGTCCACAGAACCTTCACACTACATACTGGAACCACAACAACCCTACCATTATAGGTTCAGGGCCGTTGATGATGTCAAAACTCTTGGTACTATTGTCCACTAGATACTATATAATTTTAATAGTTTTGAGATTATTTTGCGAATCTGTACTAGTGTTCCAATTATGTAAATATTTTATAAATCAGTTTTAATGTTAACAGAAGAAGAAATAGCCCATCAAGACCCCAATCTCCGTCGTCATCCTCGTGAGTCGTTGCGAGCATTCCTTCTATCTTCATTAGCAGTGCCTCTGGATGGTCGCGGACAGAAGTTGGTTCATCAGTTCTGTGTTTCTACGAGTCCGCCAGACACCATCCGGTAGAGTTTGGTGAAGACGAGTACAGGGCTTACAGTCGTCTACTGATGAAGTTGTTGGATGCGTAAGTCACTTCTGTTTAGAACTACTAGTGAAGCATATAGAATAAAATTCTTTGCTCTTGTATAAAAATGATGTGTGGAATGAACAACATCCTTATTTCACAATCTAGGTTGTGACAGTGACCCTACTATACTTATATAACATTCATGTACGTACGGAGTATATATTCTTCTTCTACCTGGCAATTTCCCGGCTATAGCCAGGGTCTGCCTTACATGTTGTGAATAGTTTTGGCTTATTGTTTCTTACGACGGGCCATCTGTCTGACATCAACCCTCTTTTAGGAATCAACATTCATCAGTGATGTCTAAATATTCTTAGAAAGTACATATGACTTGGATAAATCACATTGGTACTTGCCCAGGCCAGGATCGAACCCGCGCCCTCATGTATATATTGTAGACAGTATATTTATCAAACACTATGTTCATTTCCAGGGCTCGTCTGTTAAAGAGTGTGTCGTGTGTGAGTTCAGTCCGGAGCAGTCCTCAGCGGAGACCGGCCCGTCTCTTGGATCCTGCGAGACTCCGAACAGCTCACCGACCAAACAATCATTACACTGCTCTTGAGGTAAACATTTATATAAAGTTCGTAAACTTTCAGTTGCAGTAATATTGGTAAGAGATCACCACCCATAAGACATACATAGTTTGGTTTAGCTCTACCAGCTATTGCTTGTGTTCTGGTTGTTGTCTAATTAATCTGTTCAGTAGTTGGATATTGGGGTTGAAGTTGAGGAGTTTTCTTGTGATGATATCTTGTATATGTGGCCTACCCACACGTGAAAGGCTACTCCGCCATGTATAATAATATAATCATGGGCTGCGTTGTTGGGTAGTAATGTCAAAGCTTCTTTGAAGAAGTCCTATTATCTTGACCTCAACTTTTCTTTATGTCCTTTAAAGATTGTTATTTTAAGTTGGTTTTATAAATTTAATACATTTATACATTAACATACATTCCACTTGTTTAATATGTATCGTAAAAAATTTAATACTAATAAAAACAATAATTATGACAATTAGTACAATAGGAAAATGAACTAATATCAAATATCCCGCCACACTAAGATACCTTAGAGTAATTAATGTAATAATAAAATCATAGGTGTCACATGTATACCCAAAGTGTATTAATTAATTTTGAGTTTAAAATATAGCAGTCGTGGTTTTATATACGACACGATAGTCAGCGACACCTGTATGTATGTACTTATAAATTAATTCCTAAATTAAAAAATACATACTTTTAAAAGAAAACATTAAAATCAGATTAGTGAACATATAAACCTATTCGATTCAAATAATTTTATTTGTAAAAGTATCAAGAACACTTAACAAGTAGACATATTTAAATATGTATAAAGTTATTGAGGATTGTGCACTGTAATGTTGTCATTAAATTTAGAGGTAAAACATAGAAAAGCCCTTTTTGGTTTTGATAAATCGTGTTATTGTTCTTAATTACCGCCATCTATTGTTATTATTTAGAAGCTTTAGTAGTGCTGTGTCGTTAAAGTGGTTGTCCTTTTTTCCCACAGATGTCACTTATCTCATTTATACTACTAATATTTAACTTGAAACCTTATTATATGAAACCTAGTATTATATTGCAATAAAACTCTACAATGACATTATTGATCCATGAAAATAGTGTTATATCTATAATTCATCCCGAGAATTACGTGTAAAGTACACTTAACAATTACTGCACAACAGATGAACGTAGTTTGTATGTAGTTAGTGTAATATTACTTAACTTTATTATGTTCAATAACAATAACTAACAATACATATATTGACAGTGAATTGTAAATACAATAAAAAGAATGTTGTACGTACCTGAGTCTAATACATAGTTATAAACATGTTATTTTTTTAAAGTTAACATTCTTATTTAACGTATATTTTTTATTGCGCTCACTATACAGGGTGACTGGTGAGTTACTATCAATATTTAAGGACGTGGTAGTTGACGATCATATATGACAAAATAAAAATTAATATAACATAAATATTAATAAACTTCTAAGTAAAGTTAACCAAAAGTTATGTAATTAATTACGGATCGCGTGGATACCCTAGCTGCGTTATCGACACAAAACAGTTATGTACGTAGGTATATGTAGTTATCGCGCGGTAGTTTACCTACATCCAAACGCCGCGCGCCGCCGCGTGTTAGACCTTAGATAAACAAAAGATGATCCAATTCCCTTCATACTTTAATCCTGGCTTAGGACAGGCAAAAATACCAAGATATTTCTTTCGTTTAAGCAACCAATTTATTGACTAGGTAAATGGTGTGACCTTGACACGAAAAATAATATGAACTGTTTACCTATCTTGGTATTTCCGGCGTATTTAAAAATGGAATCATTCTTATTTACAACAATTGTCAATCATTAAACTACCTATTTACCTCCATAACTACACTAACCTTAACAAATGTTCAAAGCGAGCGCCTTCTCGTGTGATACACAGTTCGGCACGTTTACACATATTGTCTTTCACACGATTTAATACGAATGGGTCACTTTTAATAGTTTCGAAAGCACTATTGATTTTTAATTTCAACTCCTCTCTGTTGACATACATTGTAGCATACACAAGACGTTTCCTTGGGCATGTGTTGGAACACGGAACTGTCCGAAGTCTCGTAATCTTTGATTAGCGTTTAAGATGACGCTGGCCGTAGGTACTCGACGATTGGGGAACATCTCCCGGTACAAATTGATTGCGCCCCGCAAGCTTTCATTTGCACGCGCATACGCATAAACCATGTCCAAGTATTCTGCATTTGTGTATTGAAAAGCCATATTTAATTACTAATAAGTAATAACGGGTCACACGCACACACGACAGATTATTATTAGGTATACGCGTAAGATCGATCGCTAGGCGCGCGCGCGGGAAGACGAACGTACGGACCTTACGGCGGCGCTCGCGCGACTAATAGCCGACTAATGGCCCGCTAGCCACGGGGCGGGGGTTGGGGAGTAGCGACACACTGGCGCCGGCAAGGATGAGTACGTATCCAAACTTTATTTATTTATACGGAAATTTGGTCAAAAATTAAGTACCTATTTTTTTTACATAATTCGAATGAGAATCATGTACCGAGTATGCTCCTTAAATATTGATAGTAACTCACCAGTCACCCTGTATAAGATGATTTCACTGATCTTGTTTAATATTACTACTGTTTATTATTTGTAATCTTAATTGTTGTTATAATTTTTAAAATTTCCTTTGCAAGCGAACTTTGTTCTTTTTGGAAAAAAACTTCTTTATACCTATATTTCCAGAACATGCCGGTGGAGGCCAAATTACAGGACGAGGTGCTCCGGGTGCCTGTGAAGACTCCTCCCGAGCCGCTGACGAAGCCCCCGGCCGACGAGACGGCGCTCTGAGGGCGGAGCGCCCGACACGAGGCGCTAACATTGTGAACTACCCACATTCATATATATGAACTTGTGATGTTTCCACTCCAAGTCAACAAATACATATAGGAGACTGCAATATAAGTGTATGAAGTGGGTTCATAGATATATCTTGAAGGACACTTGAAAATAAGTGATATATAAAGCGTGTGTAGACTAAGAACAATATTTATTAGGCGACAAAATGTTTATTTAAATGTAGTGTTTATATCTCAGTGTTCACTATTTTTGCTGTAGTGTTGTGCTAAAACTATTAATATATTAAAATAGGTTCAAATCAATTAAAGTATCTATAGAAAATGTTTAAGACTACCTGTATATACATATAATCTGTAAAGTAAATAAAATATATGTAATTCTTTCTTCTAACTCATTATGAAATTCTAAAATTTGTCAGATGTATGTTGCTTTTTCATAGAAACTGCTAAACATATTCTGATGAAACTTGAATGTAACTTAAGCATCAGAATAAGAAATAGTTTAGAATTTTTGTCGAAAATTCGTGTACTTTCCATGGAATCATATTATTAGTTTTATATATGAGTCACATGTCACAGTCGATAGAGGTCATTGATCGTTTGTTATCATACTTATTGTTTTTACTCTATGTAGTTACATTTCTTTCTGAGCCTTTAAATGAACACCACATGGTCGAAGTCGGGGCAGGTACTATAATAGTCTAGTCTTAGTAACAATGATTTCAACAGGACAAAAACAAAATGAGATATATAATAATAATAATAATAAAATATATCACGATCCAGTACATAATTATTTATTTGATAAATAATCTGTATTATTAATATACATATTGTATTAATACATGTCGTATACAAACAAGGCAATTATTATTATCTCTTCACTCATCAGGTATAGGAAAGCTTCATTTTAATCTTCACAGCAAACATCGAGCTTGTCGAAATTTTTCTCTCTGTTGAAATAAAATAATGATATTAATAGAAAGAAAGAAAGAAATAATAAAATAATAGTTGTATATATTCCTCTAAAACATTAAAAACAGCCAAATATATAATAATATTTATTTGCATTTTTGTATATAAGATACGTATATACTTAGAAGTATATAAGATACATACATACTTAAAATTATTGAACTAGTGTTTAAAATGTCCTATCTACATAAGTGTAATGTTTTAAAGCAGTATCATTGTTGCCAAGCTACGGTAACACAAACACACACACCATTCAATAGATACGTCGTTCCATCTTCGGTAGCGTCCGGGATTAAAACATTAGATTTATATGAGATACAAAATATTAAATAAATATGTATGAATTAACAACATTCAATAAAAACTTTTTTACATATGTTTTTTATTTCGTCATGTTACTCACAGTTTCATCCAGACCGCGTGGTCGTGGAAGGCTTTAGTGTGTCTGAGAGCGAGCACGGCGCGCCCACAACACCGGGACACGCCGGCGTGGCGGGTCACGGACCGAGTGTGACATAACCACTCCAACAACTGGTGCATATGTGGAAAAATAAAGATAAATATATGGATTAACAGACATTCAAATGGAAATCAACAACCGGGTGATATCAGTACTGTATAGAAATGCCAAAAAAAAAGTACAGAAAAACAAAAATCATTAAAAAATGTAGTTGTCTTATAAACCTAAAACTTTTAGATAAAAAACAAACCTTAACCGAAATAAACTAGTTTTAAATTATTATTATCCATAAGTTATGGACTATAACCGAAACACCTTCAATTTAATTTACAAAGACAATTAATCACACTACGACAAATACTTTCCCACGTAAAAGTGAACAGACCAAATGTCATCATTTTAACGTTACTTCGGGTGCGATTGTCTAAATACTCATACGTACATATGACTCGGCACTAGCCAGGTTTCGAACTCACGCCTCATGGCTAACCTCTAGGCAACCACCACCACCACATATACATACTCTATACCATGAGTTCACTGACCTGTGTAGTATAGTCCCGCCACCCATCTCTCTCCACGAGCAGACTGACCCCAGCGGGCGCGAGCTCCAGGCGGGCGTCTCTATCCGTTACTAACAAGTCTCCGGCCGGCTCGAGCCGCCACAAGCCGCTGAACACGACCACGCTTAAGAAGAACACATCACACAGGTACAGCCTGGCTGACTCCTCCTCCGTCCTGAAACATATATACAGGGTGACTGGTGAATTACTATCAATATTTAAGGAGAATACTCGGTACATGATTCTCATTCGAATTATGTAAAAAAAATAGGCACTTAATTTATGACCAAATTTCCGTATCAATAAATAAAGTGTTGACACGTTCCAAGTGTGGACGCGTGCGGCGGCGTGCTGATACAACACCACGCCGCCGACGCGTATGTGTGTGTGTGTGTATATACCTAATCTGTAGGGTGGTCACACGATGCGTAATTAATTACATAACTTTTGGTTAACTTTACTCAGAAGTTTATTAATATTTATGTTATACTAGAAGACCTGGCGAACTTCGTATCGCCCTATAATCAAGAAATATCTATTATGTTTTTTTATTTATATATTTGGAGTTTACCTGTAAGCCATAAATCTCCGTGTTTTGAAGTGCGACAGAATGATTGACATATAGTTAGTTGTCAAATCTATTGTCAAAAAAACGTTTGTATGGAAAATAGAAAAAGGCTGTTTTTATGGTTTTCCCAGTAATGAATCAATTTTTTTCAGCTTTTATACCTTCCCTGAACCTCCACAAACATTTCAAGACTAAGATAAGATAAATCCGTTCAGCTGTTCTCGAGTTTTAGCGAGACTAAGGAACATCAATTCATTTTTATATATATATAGAAGATTAATTTTTATTTTGTCATATATGATCGTCAAATATCACGTCCTCAAGTATCGATAGTAATATATATAGTAGTAGATAGTAATGTATTGTAATATATATATTTCCTTTCTATATTTAAGATTTAATACTTTTGAGCCATTTGTAACATCTTTATAAAGAACACGCCATCTACCGTAGGTGAAACTTGTTATAGTTAATCGTAAATAAGGCAACCACGACACAAGCTCGCTTAGTGTGGAAGCCCCTGGAAATCGCGCCATGTTATCTCTTCAGTAAAATATTGTTATGTTTTGTGTTCCCTGTTAACATTAAGTTATTGCTGGTAATAAAGTATTTTATCATTTTCATATGTCGCAACCGGGTGAATTATTTTGGTCAACGCCATCTAGTGTTATACGTTGAAACTACGTTATGGAATACGGAACGCCAGCGCCACGTAGCGGCACTCGATGGAGTTTGTGTAAGCGTGCGGTCACATACTTGAACTGTATTACTGAGTGATTATACCGTGGTTGATTGTACAAGTGTGTTTTTTGATCCTACGTCACCCACATAAGAAAACTATGACCAACAACTGTGATATTGGCCCACCACCGTCATATTAAATATATATGAAGTTTACTACGAGTACTTTTATGGAAAAAACTATTATTCACACTCAACTATTCACATCTAGTCTGTCTTGTGATCACGGTTGCTGAGAAGTAACCGAAACTTCGGAAGTATGTAGTTTTTTTACAATAATCAACTACAATTAGTATAATCCGAAAAATATTTTCATTTTAAAACTAGCTAAAGTCTCATTATATATGAAATTCATTAAATCGCATATATATGAAGTACGTACTCCTTGAAGGCGACCTGAGTCCGAGCCATCAGTTGCAGGAACCACTCGCGGGTGGTTGGCAAGTCGACGTCCGTAGCCTGTAGCGCAGGGAGGAAACAACGTAACGTGAATTCCTGCTCCCTGATAATAAAATAAAATTATTATATGACTAGCTTCCGTCATACCGTAACTTTTTCCGACACTGTAATATTGAAGGAAACAAATGAAGTGTGATTAAAAAGTGTATGTTAGTAACGAGGACACGTAGTCTCAATCACTCGATTTTATTTTCTTGCTTCTAGACTACAGCACTCAAAAGTTCCATTAAAATCCGTTCAGTAATGTTTGCGTGACGAGTAACAAACATTATGTAGCACTCGTTTGGATCATATAGTAAGGACTGTGTATGAGGCAAGCAACGTAGCACTTGACAGAGAAACGTACTATACAGGAACTATATCAAACATAGATTAAGCTTAACATGAGAAATAATTCGGGATTATATTCACTTCAAGTAACAAGAACTTAGAAAACACAATTCCAAGGGCGACTTGGCACTTGAAGAAATAATACAGAATAATCCCTACTAATATTATAAATGCGAAAGTAACTCTGTCTGTCTGTTACGCTTTCACGCGTAAGCCACTGAACTGATTTTGATGAAATTTGGTACAGACATAGAGTTAACCTTGAGGAAGAACATAGGATAGTTTTTATCCTAGACTTTTGAAAGGTTCTCTTCGAAACGCGATATAACTGAAGCTGCGGGCGGAAAGCTAGTATTCAATATAAGTAACAAGAACATATTAGTATTGAACTCACGCCACGTGTCCCGCGGCGGTGTCTACGATCTCGTTGATCCATGCGAGTCTGTTAGCGGCGAGGAGCGAGCGGAGCTGACTGGACTTACGGAGGAGGGGCGGGGACACCTCCCACCACGAACTGGGGGACGACATGCGCTCCACACACGACACCACCAGCGACGAACACGCCGACAGGTAGGCGGGCCACGCCTGGCGAGGATACACGAGGATATACGGACATACACGAAGATATACGAGGATAAACGAACATACACGAAGATATACGAATACACGAGAAGTTAGCTCCAATAAACAAAATGTATAGAGCGAAAGAGACTAATTATTCAAGAATTTTTTTTCTACTTGTGTTTTTATATGAATTCATGATATTTTTATCGGTTTCTATATCAGTCTCGAATGTCTGTCACGTAAAGTTTGTTCAATATGTCGAGTATATGAAATGAATTTATTTTCTTAGATTGGAATTTTCCTAGATGGAAGATTTTAATGTACGTGAAAAATTTTAGGAGAGTCGTAAGAAGCGGTACTATTTATAGCTCTCACTTATACCAAAGAAATGAATACATTTTCTTATACTCTAGTATCAGTAACTCACCACGTGGTCGTCATCTATAACAGTATAGTAGTTCTCCACCAGTTGTGACAGCAGGGTCCTGTTCGCGTCGTGGATCTTGTCACAGTCGAGGCACTCCTTGATGAAGGTCAACTGTCTTATGAACATCTCCTCCTGACCTTTGACCCTGACCTTCGAAAAAGAGTCACTGAGACATCTCTCGAGAGGAGCCCGGAGATGATTGGGGGGCATCGTGCGACAAAAGATAGGGAGGTACTCGAAGAACAATATAATATCTGATTCCTGGAAAAATAGAGAAAAAAACATTAAAATAACATCACGAGACACAACGCCATTGAGCCAAAAAACATAATTTGTAATACAAGGAATTATATATTATTTACTAGAAGACCCGGCGAACTTCGTATCGCCCTATAATCAAGAAATATCTGTTACGTTTTTTATTTATATTTTTGGAGTTTACCTATTAAAGTCATAAATCTCCGAGTTTTGAAGTGCGACAGAATGATTGACATATTAGTTAGTTGTCAAATCTAATGTCAAAAAAAACGTTTGTATCAACAACTACTAATAAATTAAAAATTAATTAAAAAAACATTATCCAGCGGACAAAATTGTGAATTTAAACCATTCCCAGATCCCCTTGAAAACACACAAAAAATTTAATCAAAATCGGTCCAGTCGTTTGAGAGAAGTTCAGTGACATACACACTCACAGAAGAATTATATATATAAAGATTTAAATTTAATTCACTATAGTTCTTAATACATTTTATTACACACAAAACTATTACCTCACAATTTCCAGGATCGATAGCAGATAGGAAGTTTTCGATGAGTCTTTTGGCTGAAACCGCGGTACTGGCTTGACGCGCGGCCAGTTTGAGGACCCGAGCCCTCATCGGAGCCCCGCGGTGCAGGCCCTCGTGGAGGAACGTGAGGTCGAAGGGGGGCAGCGGCTTGGGGTACTCCGATGACAGGCTGGCCAACATCGAGAGGAGCACCGCGTCTGAGTAGTCGTATGTGGGACTCACCATCTGGTGACAATATACCCATATATTGTATAAAGTTTTGTGAAACCAGTAGGAGGAGTATAAACTTTCACCAGGAGGAGTATAAACTTTTGTGAAACCAGTATTTCAAATATATACAGGGTGACTGGTGAATTACTATCAATATTTAAAGAGAATACTCGGTACATGATTCTCATTCGAATTATGTAAAAAAAATAGGTACTTAATTTTTGACCAAATTTCCGTATAAATAAATAAAGTGTGGACACGTTCTGAGTGTACCAAGTGTGGACGCGTGCGGCGCCGTGTTGATACAACACCACGCCGCCGCACGCGTGTGTGTGTGTGTATACCTAATCTGTAGGGTATTCACACGATGCGTAATTAATTACATAACTTTTGGTTAACTTTACTTAGAAGTTTATTAATATTTATGTTATATTAATTTTTATTTTGTCATATACGATCGTCAAATATCACGTCCTCAAATATCGATAGTAATTCACCAGTCACCCTGTATATGTGTGTGTGTAATGGATGTCTTTGCTAGTGACATCCCATTTCTATTATTTATGCATTTTATAATCTACGGATCTACTATGATCTGTCAGTGTGATCTTGAGAAAAACATGGTTAGATATTCTGCTTACTGTAATAGGTTAAAATATTGTTGAAAATAGAAATAGAGGCTTTAAATGTTGTTTTTGTATTTTCAAGTATATGATTTTGTTTTAATTTTTGTTTAATATGTAAATTGTAATAAAACCTGTGTGTAGTGTGACGATAATAAATAAATATTGTATTTTCAGAAAAACGCATTTAAGTCTTTATTTCGTCAGAACACATACCATTATATACAGGGTGACTGGTGAATTACTATCGATATTTGAGGACGTGGTAGTTGACGATCATATATGACAAAATGAAAATTAATATAACATAAATATTAATAAACTTCTAAGTAAAGTTAACCAAAAGTTATGTAATTAATTACGCATCGTGTGAACACCCTACAGATTAGGTATACACACGCACTCACACATACGCGGCGGGGGCGTGGTGTTGTATCAGCACGCCGCCGCACGCGTCCACACTTGGAACACTTGGAACGTGTCAACACTTTATTTATTTATACGGAAATTTTGTCAAAAATTAAGTACCTATTTTTTTTACATAATTCGAATGAGAATCATGTACCGAGTATTCTCCTTAAATATTGATAGTAATTCACCAGTCACCCTGTATATACTAGCTAAACGGAAACGTTGTTTTGCCATATAAAGAAAATAGGGGTTGGTAATAAAAAAGAAAATTTTTGGGTCGTATGTATTTTTTTCATACCACATTAAAAAAAATCGTCCAAAAAATAATAATAAGTTAGGGGAGAACAACCCTTATTGCTTAGCGGTATGAGAAATAGATGTTAGCCGATTCTCAGACCTCAATATGCTCACAAAATTTCTTGAAAATCGGTCAAGCCGTTTCGGAGAAGTATGGGAACGAACATTGTGACACGAGAATTTTATATATAAGATTATGAGTAATATCCTAGGTAAAGAGAAATCTGACGACTACGCGTAGCACTGAGGGCATGCTATCGAATTTGAAACAACTTGGGTGTAACATGACCATAAAAATCCACTTCCCGCACTAGTATATAGACAGATTTCTACCAACTCTGCATTATAATGCATTTATTTCATGGAGACATTCAAACGCTTAATAACAGAGAAAAAAATAAAAGGAACAAAATTATTACTTATGTATTTGTCCATGTGAATACACTATATGGTCTTAACACAAGTTTACATCCAGAAGACTGCAACTTAATGACACTCTGTTCAGCTTAGATTTTATTTTGTATGCATATTTGTAAGTCAGTTTTGTAAACTTAAAAAAAAAACACAAAAAAAAAACACTATCAAAGAAAATGAAACTAATATTTTTCTGATTTTACTTCGCGTTTTATTTTTGTTTAGAAAACTACATACTCCCGACGTTTGACAAAAATTAAACGCGAAGTAAGATCCGAAAAATGTTAGTTTCATTTAAATAAGTACTCGCGAAAATCTTAGATCTGACTATCGAGGAATATTCCCTCACCTGTTTCCTAAGTCCCTCCATAACCCCTCTCAGTACACTACTGACACTAAGTCCCGCCCCCTCCCTGCCCCCCTCCCGCTCGTGGTACACCCCGCTCCGGTACCCTCGGACCTCCCTCGCTATCAGCTTGGACACCAGCTGCTCCACACAGTGCAGGGCCGACTGGTTCGTGTATTTAAACACCTCCGGCCAGATTTCACCTGGAAATGAAACAGAAAACATATAATATATAGAGTAATAGCTTTCCGCCCGCGTAGAGTTCGGTTATATCGCGTTTCCAAGAGAATCTTTCAAAAGTCTGGGATAAAAACTATCCTATGTTCTTTCTCAAAGTCAACTCTATGTCTGTACCAAATTTCATTAAAATCAGTTCAGTGGTTTAGGCGTGAAAGCGTAACAGATAGACAGAGTTACTTTCGCATATATATTAGTAGTGATGTTTGAATTTAAATAAATGGAACAAAAAGGCGTATCGAATACGACCAATTTTGCATTTTATATATATACTTCATTAATAATTATTTGATGTTATAAAGACTATGATCGTCAACCCACATGGTATATAGTCCAAAACATCTTCGGGTTTCCTCGCGGCGTCTGCAGGAGTCTTGCAATACGATGGAGGCAACTTCACCGTTCGCCGATACACCTGTTCGATATTACATTACTACTTATATATCATCTTCACCTACACTCCTCAAAATAACTTTTATTTCACTCAAATCACACAATACATTAAACATTTTTATTTACTTCTACAATATATATTAAGCCCAAAAACATGACAAATTTGATGCAACATAATCCTATTACCTAATTCATGGGCCATCTGAAAATCAGTGCTGTGCTTAGCACAGCTTATACTGAGATGAAACCCCTTGCTCCTACACTGTATTCTTTAAATTTAATTATTTTCTTCTGTATAATGTATGTAATGTATTTCTTTTGTTAACTTATTTTTTATAATATTTTTGTAAGCAGCCAGACAGTAATTTTTAGCAGTGCTGTGTACGTCTATAATTGGTACACACATCAGTTAAGTGTCAGTTTAAATGTTAAGTTTTAAGTGCTTAATGTATGTACTGTGATGTGCCATTCTTATAAAAAAAATAATGTATGTGTGTAGCAAATAAATGGTTTTAAGCTAGTACCTCTGGTATGTCTTTTAGCGTGTAATCTTCTATCTTATACCCGGCCAGTGCTCGACACGCCGCCTCTATGACCTCCGGGTGGTCAGAATCTGATATGAACAGCCACAGACGAGCGGCTGTTTGTTGCAGCAGGTCGCTGTACTCCGCGGATGACACACGTAGCGCAGGACACTCAGATAACAGGTTACACAGACTGCACAGAGAATAGAAGAATGAATTTTTGGACCAAAACATTCCACATTACACAAGCACATAGCACATAACACAACCACGTGTATATAGGACTTTGTGGGTCTACAACCTGACAATAGGTGACACAGGCTTCATAGAGAATACAACAGTGAATTTGTGGACCAAAAGCACAGAACACCAAGAACGAATCTTATTTTTGGTGTCCGGAAAAGAAACTTGATAAGAAGATCCAAGTCAACCACCTCATCAATTCTGTATGTTATTTAGTGTATGAATTTCGTTTCTTGAATCCTTTATGTTTTCCTTTACAGTATAAACATAAGCAAATAAAATCAGCAAATCGATACAAGAACTGGCCTCAAATTCAACATGAGTAACGATTAGGAACCAAAAAAGCTATACTGTTGATGTAATACAGTGAGCTTACAACTTCCATAGACGATGAAGTCCATGGCAAAAAAATATGTTTAAATTACAGTATTACTATATCAATCCATTTCTATTTTGCTATAAGATACACTACAATGCACATGCTTCTGTCTTGAAAGCAGACGGTCTTGATGCATTTCTATTTCTCTGTAAAATAATCTTCAATAAACCTTCTGTTTTGGAGCCAATAATCCTCACCTGATCTGAACTTGTATCCTGTTATCCTTTGCCAGCCGCGGCTGGAGCGCGCGCCACGTGCCGGGGGGCGCCACCGCAGCCCCCTGCCACAGATACCGGAGCGCCTCCAACGAGAGGGACACCGGGCCCGCGCTTGAACGATCCCAACGGTTCAGGAGAGATGACACTACGGGGACTAACTCTAGGCCGTGACTGGACGGACTGAAAGATGTGAATAAGTAATATAGTCATAGGGAATATAGAATGAATGAATGAATGAGAAACACATCGGCAGGATGCTGGCCTAGTTGCTATATATGAATAATAGTTAATATAATGATAGTAAAAATAGAATGGATTAATGAATGAGAAAAACATGAGACAAGGATAGCCTATATGAATGATAATAAAAATAATAACATTGAATATAGAATGAATGAATGAGAAATACATCAACAGGACAAAAGAAGAGCTCTAGTTGCTATACATGTATATATCGTCTTCAAAATCCAAAAAAAACTCTTTATCTGTATAATAGAACCTATTACAGTATCATCATAATAATATAATACCTTCATAGACCAGTAATACATGAACTGACCGTATCTCACAGATCCTCTTCACGGCGACCGCCTTAGCGAGCTCCACCTCCCACTTGAGGTCGTGTGTGTGGAGCGAGGAATCAGACAACAACTCTTGTAAGTACGGGAAACAACGAACCTACAACATATACACACTAACATATAGTATGAACTAAAAAAACATTCGTCAAGAAGTACTAACTGACTAATTGACTAAGTTGATGTTGATATTCACAAAGATACCATTCGATAGAACAAAACATAAGTGAGAGGTCTACAAAAACTGATTTTCCCTCAGACTCCTATATATGTATGTACCCAAGACTGGTCTCTATACCTGTGTTTCAGCCAGGCTGGTGTACATCATGATGAGCTGCGACGTCGGAACACCTTTCTTATTCTTCAGCTTGTTGAAAATGGACACTAGCGCTGGGACGTTCTCCTGATGATATAAAACAATATAAAAATACATTGAGGAAACTTAATAATATTAAACTTATTACACGTAATGAGATCTTATACTTTTATAAGTATTTATTTAAATGAAATTAATATTTTTCGGATATACTACGCATGCTTTATGTAAAAAAAAATCACGATAAAAAAAACAGATGTGTCTCGTCTGTCCGTGATCACGATTGCTGACAATTATCGAAACGTCGGTAGTATATCGTTTTTTGCAAAATAAACGCGTATAAAATAAAGTATATCCGAAAAATATTAGTTTCATTTAAACTTCATTATTTGGATGCAAGTTGAACAAGTGAATACAAATATGAAATAAATTAAAATATATAACAGAAGTGACTGACCTTAGTGGTAGCCATTAACGGTAGACCTCTCAGACACTCTAACTTGACCTTAGGTCGGGGGTCATTGGCTATTTTGTATAGGAGTATTGGCAGCAATGTAACTGAGACCTCCTTCTTATAGCTGACCAGATTTATTAGGCCTTGTAGTGCTATTAACACCAGATTCTCATCTCCCGCCCGTTCTAAAGCCATTCCTGCCATAAACGGCATAAATTCCATCTTAACTTGGTCATTACACTTCATCAGTCCTTCAAACCACGTGGCCAGCTTCATAGGTTCATCTCTCAATCGTTCCCAAGTGTCCAAAAGTCTATAATGTATATACAACTTCCGATCTACGTGAACAATTTCTTGGAAGACGGCGTTGTTTTTTATATTAGCCATAAACAGCCCCGAGTCCCGATTCATGTTCTGATGGATTTCTAATATCTTTGATGATACTTTAAGAGCGTTGTTGGTTAAATAAGACGGTAGGTGGAGCCATTGAAGAGACAGAGCGACGAATGAATTTAGGCATATAGTAGAGAACTCGTATTTGGTGATTATGTTCAAACCTGGCAGAAAAAAATTATACTATTTATTATAACATATAAAAACATACAACTGCTTTTAAAATGTCATATAAAAATAGATCAGTTATTTTATCGGACTCTAAACCTGAATATTTCTTAACCGACTCTAGAAGAAGAGGTTTTTCATTTCGATCGTAACTACATGGATTTTATATCACCATAAAAAATATAAACTTAATAATTTAATCAAAATATTAACTATTTTGTTGTAAGTAAATTTAATTTTAATTCCCTATTTAAAGTTTGTTACTTCAAAGTAAATAATTTTATTGTTTAATAATACTGAACTCACATAAATGGAACAACTCATGTAGATATAGGGCGGATGTGTGAACCAGGTTCCCGCCCAGCATCATGATGACCAGCCCCGCGACCGCCGCCCGCCCGCCCTCACTCAACACACGCTCTATCAGGGAATAACAAGGGCGGGGATCCATACTACAATACATAAACATATATATATATATATATATATATATATATATATATATATATACATATATATAGTCTATTCTGAATCAAACAGTACTAAAACTCAAAATATATAAGTGTAAAGAAATAAACAAAACCCATATCAAACAAAAATAAATTATTAAGAATTAAAAACAAATTATATACTCAATGGAGTAACACAAACTCCATTTTTAATAATTCATAAAATATTAAAATCTGAAAAAAATATGAATTGACTTTATATACTACAAAATATCTTGGAGAGTTTAAGCTCCTCAATAAATAGTTCAAGGGTCAAATAAAAATAATACAATGCAATAGAATAAGTAGACATTTGAACAGAAATTCGTTTTTCGAACTCACTTAGCGACTTACTATGACTTTCGAATTGACTATGAAAAGCAATTTATAACAATAAAATACGCGAAGTAAATTCGAAAAAATATAATTATTTACATGGAAGACCTTTTTCTAACCCGTGTATCATCAATTCACCACTAGTGCAGGCCATAACGGCTAACAAAGCAGCCCCCATTTCCGGCCGGGAGCGAAGTCCCTCACTCACACAGCGATACACACTGAACGACCTTTCACAGGATGACGCGTCACGTATCTGGAACGTCCAACGAAACAAGATAAATAACGTAAACACACTAAGTATATAAGGGAATACTCTAAATGCACTTCGGTAATGTATGGGCAGCATATGATTTAGTTGAGAATATATAACTAATGTTCCCATTAAGTTTATATGACTTCTACATTTTATAGAAATACCATGTTGTATGAAATAGAGTCAGTGGTGGCCTAGTGGTTAGAGGGCCCGCCTCTCATGCTCGAGGGCGCGGGTTCGATCCTGGCCCTGGCAAGTACCAATGTGATTTTTCCGAATCATATGTACTTTCTAAGAGTATTTAGACATCTCTGATTAATACAGTCCCAAAGACGGTTGATGTCAGACAGGCGGCCGGTCGTAAAAACAATTAGCTAAAACTGTTTACAACATGTAAGGCAGACCCTGGCCAAATCTGGGAAATTGCCAGGTAGCGTAGAAGAGTGTGAAATAGAACTAAATAAATAATTTTTCAAGAATTTGTTCATAAATATGCTGTCATCAATCAGATATCAAACAAATATAAAATATAGCTCCAATTAGTATATGTAATAAATATTACAAAGTTAGTAGGACCTGTTGACAACTAAGGCAGGCTACTAAAAGGTTGATTTGAGCGGCAGATTCTGGTAGACTGATCAGTAATTGCCAGGGTTTGATGCTGTTACTGCCTTGAGGACTGCACGTGAGCCAGAGAAACACTGGACGGAGGAGCTCCAGACTGTTTGAAGCTACACTGAAATTGTTATTGATTAATTAATATAGGATAACGAGATTTTTTTTAATATATGATGAAACAAATTGCTTTCTAAAGTATGGTATGAGCTTTATACAATTATCTGAGACTTTATGAGCTGTAATATAATTTATTAATAAATATTTGTATTTTTATCACTGATACATTGTGTATATCACTCACATCTTGTCTGCTTGTGATCACAATTGTTGTGAAGTAGCCAAAAAGTGGGGAGAATGTAGTTTTTTATATAAAAAATAAAGTTGAATAATACATCAAAAAAAAAAATAGTTTAATTTAAACATATTGTGTATTTCTGAAAATTAAGGAAAAGTATTGTTTCAATTAATTAATGTTTATACCTACATATATTCAGGATGTGTACACAGAGCATGCATCTGTGCTAGAACAATATCGTCTATATCTTTGTTCTTCTGAAGTATAGTGATGAAGGGATGTTGAGGGGAACGCATCGAGAACTGGCATTTATACGGCTGGCCGGGAATGAGACGAGACTTCAGATCCAATACAAGCAGGCCAGCCATTGTTGAAATTATTGCTGAGTAGTTGCTGCAAAGATATACTTGTAAATGATTGAATATTTATGTCTACATATAATAGTATAATATTACATTAAGGAGACAGTCTGTCAGTTAAATCGTTTTTTCATATCATTCATAGTCTGATATTAATTGTATTATAGTAATAAATAAAAAATAAAGCATTATTTACTGTGTGCTCGGGATAAGCGTCACTACTGTCGACATCGTGTGTGCAATTTCCAATACTCCCAGCTCCACCAACGCCAGTAAGCCTTGGCAAGCGGTCAAGCTCACCATGTTGTCTTTTGAGGAACATTTCTCTCTCAAAAACTTCAACTCCTCATTTTCTAACACGAATTTCTGACGTTCACTGGGTTTAAACTTAGATTTAATCGTCAATATCAACTTATCTATCGCGTTGACTATAAGAACGCTGTTGTTGGTGTTTAACTTATATTCTATTTCATCCATTATTATTATCTATAAATTTTATTTTAGTAGATATTTTCAAACCACACCGGCAGAAGTAACATCTGTTATTAAGATTTGACAGACGCAGCAAGTCAACGTCTATGATCAGCTGTTAGTTCACTGAAGTCTAAGGTTACAATCCGTTCAGAATTTTAAATAAATGATCACTCAAATAAATTCCGTCACAAAAATACTGAATTGCTACTTTGAAATTTTACTTCTTTTTCATAAATTTATAATATGTAACATCTCATCTTATAATTTTACTTTTTATTAACCTTTATATTGAATAGACTTACATACAGCAGGTCGTTTATTAATCAGGGGAATTAAGTATTTTAATTAATAAAATAAGCTTTTAGGAAATGTATTAAATAGGATTTTGTTATTTTTCTTAATTTGTATACAAATAGAATAAAAAGTTTATTAAGTAATTAAGTTTATTTTGTTGGTGAACGTAACATATGAATTTTATTTTTCTCAACTGACAGTGACGCATCTATCGAAGTGAATTGTGATTGATTTTGTATTCTGGGATTGTAAATAATAAGTTATTTGTAAACCCTAACTTATATATCATCGTAATAACTAGAAAAACATCAAAATAATGGCTACTCCTCAGCGAGAAACTATACAAAAACAAATCCAACAGGATTGGGCGAACAGAGAGTACATAGAAGTTATAACAGGAAGTATCAAAAAAATAACAGATTTCCTCAATTCCTTTGGTGAGCATTCATCAAACTTAATAGTCTAATATTAGAATTATTATAATTTATATTTCTTTAATTAATGAACATTCGATACATCTTAATTTTATGTGATTTTTTGACTAGTTATGTTTTATAGAACTATTCATTACTTATCATTTAAACAACTTCAATTTGTGGTCATTGACATGAAAAATTTCAGCAGACAAGCCAATTTCTTTGTTTAATATATTTATTATTATATTCATATTATTTATAAAATATTATATTCCATACATACTTTTCTTAATTTCTAATAATCTATATTGATGTGTAAATAAATTATTTCAACACTATCTAAAAGATGCTGGTTATATTGGGTGTAATTAACAATGAGGGGCTAAGATTACCAGGGAAACTATAAAACTTACCAATAAATGTATAATAGTGATTACTTTTCAACATCTTAAAGTATAGAGTTTAGACTATGTAGTTAGTTGCCTTGAAATTATGATAGCAATCTGATCCCATTCCTTGAATATCATCAGGAATCTTCTGATTCACATAACTAGGAGTTTGTGCAGCAATATCGACAAGCCCCATTTTTATATGAATTATGATATTGCACTCATGATGTCTGTACTTTTCTTTAATAACTGTTTCTTGTAATTAACAATCTTACAATTTTTTTTTGTATTTAATATTTTGTTGCCTCTTTACAGACATGTCCTGCAGATCGCGCTTGGCCACTTTAAACGAAAAGTTGACTTCCTTGGAAAGGAAAATTGATTACTTGGAGGCTTGTGTGAGTATAACTTACTTTAAATGTTTTCTACCTGCTACTTAATATAATAAGCAGAGTACAGCTACGTTTTATTATATTAAGGCATATTTGAAACTCATATTTGGTCTCGCTTTCGACAATACCGGGTTGTCTTCAAAGATATGTGAAGATCAATCAGTCAAATTGTTAGGAAACCATAGTGTATCTTATCTTAAATTTCAATTCCCTCTTATATTCCTATACATAAAGAGGCAATACTCATAGCAACACTTTTTGAAATCTGTAAATATTACTTAACATATAGTTGATAATAAGTTAATCATCTTTATATATATTTACACATAGTCAAGGTTAAACTGAAGATTATATAATAATTCTCTACACACTAAGAAGATTACTGAGATCCTATTTTAATAAAATCATAGTTTTTTTTAATACACTATTTTAATGAAGTTATTTTATATATATATATGAATTTTTCAAAGATACATTTTTTTTCGTATTTTCAGGTCACCAAAGGCGAGACCCTGACATAGATGCTATCAATCATCAATGATTGAAGTTATTTATAATTTAATATTGTTTTATAGACAGATAAGCATTTACATATATAATATACAAGTTTCCTTTCAAATAAATAGTTTCTTTTGATTATATGTTGTCCTTATTAATCTGATTACTTTTTTTTATTGACCTAAGGAGGCAAATGGGCAGATAGTACGTAATCGAAAGTAGTCAGTAGTAGTATGATTAATGAATGAAGCTCGGTACATATATTTATTATATAACAATTGTTTACATTTGAAAGTTAATGTGATGTCAAAAAAAATGACTGTTTCAGATTATTAGGATATGTCTATTTTACAGTTTTTGGATGAATATATTTTAATAGTAAAAAATGTTGCCATTTGATAAAACTGAATAATTGTATTATACTAATAATTTTTTTGAAGTTAAACTTCTTATGCGACTTCCGACAAGGTTGCGTTAAACGTTTAACGCTAAGGGAGTGAGAAAGACATATAAATGTAGAAAGTAGGAGACAGTGAGTTTGTAGATTCCAAGTACATTCGCAAGATATTCTTGCTATGCAGCGAAGTAAACAGTGCGAGCGACGTGGACGTGAGATTAATTGAAACACGTACTTGTTTTATATTAATTTATTTATAATAATCATATTTTTTACTTTGATTTGATACACAATTTAATGGGACAGTATTACATTTTCAAATGTAGTTTATAAGAATTGTTTAAAATTATGAGGCTTCACTTTATCCGTATTGGACTCTACGTATTTTTATTCTGTACATCAAACGTCAAACAGATTCAAACATGGCGGCGACGCCTTGTCCCCCGCCGCAGCTTGAGGCCGCTAGAACTCGACGCGCGCTCCCATCGCTAAAAAAACAGTATATTCAAAATTATTGTAAATTATACACAGTTAAGATTTAAAATATTTAAAAATCACATCAAAAAAACAATCAAAATGATTCGATTAGGTTACGTAATATGCTGCCAGTATGATATCTTATTTACTGGTAACACCACCTTTGTGCTATACAAATGTATATTTTTTTATTTATTTTGCTTAAAATTGTTCGGCTCAGTATTAAACTAGTTAAAAAGTATACTAGTGAATGTATAGTAATAGCCGATTAGTTTCTTCACCGTATTCTATGAACGAGGTGTACAGCTAGCCGGGCTCCGCTGGCGGCCACAGGGTGTCCCAAGGCCAGGGCGCCGCCACTCACATTCACCTTATCATCAGGCAGATTCAAGATCTGCATAGTCGCCAGAGTTTGGGAAGCGAATGTTTCGTTGATCTAAATAAATAACGCAGATTTATATAGGCAAAGTTAAAATATTCGATTATTTATTTAGAACTATAGTATACACCTCAAATAAGTCTACATCGTGAGCTTGAAGTTTCATGACTTCAAGCAGTCTCCTGATCGCGTGAACAGCTCCCAAACCAGTTTCTTCAGGGTTCACACCCACGGAGGCAAGTCCTATGAGTCGAGCTAGAGGTCGTATGTTATTTTCAATAATACTTCTCTCACTTGCTAACAGAACAGCTGCTGCGCCATCTGCGGGCATCTGATTATACACGATTTTATCTCATCAGCAAATAAATCATTAAAATACTCCCCATCCATTATTGTTTAGCAGAAAAAAATAATCTGACCAATCATCGCTGGTCACACAAAAACCTAGATTTTTATGATTAACATTTAAAAACTGAAATTAAAATATATTTCATGATATCTTACAGATGAGTTCAATAAAGTCACAATTTTTCCATCATCGACAGACGCTGGTGCTTTAACATATTCCTCAATATCTCTGTTCTCATCAACACAATCATCTTCTGTTATAATAACATTCTTGGCGCTGTCAGTCACTGGTGTTAATTCGTCCTTAAATAAATTTGCCTCTCGAGCTAAATGAAAATAACGTTAGTGTAATATTTAAATCAATACAAGGATGGCAAAAAAAGAAGGGATGCTTAATTTACCGGCTTTCCATTTCAAACGACTGTTTAATGCGAACCTATCTACCATTTCTCTATTTATATTATATGTCTTCGCTATATTCTCGGCAATTTGGTGCAGAGAGACCCCGATGTGAGTGTCCACAATTTGCGTCTTGATATAGTCCTCGAATTCATACATTTTCTCTAAAGTCGAACCGAATCTCATGTTGCGAACCAAAAACGGAAGTGACGACATTACTTCAGTCCCACCGGAAAGGACAACATTCGCTTGACCAGTTAAAATTTCCTGAAAACTTTTACTAATAGAAAAAACATACATATAATAAAATATAACAATTAACAAGCAATGACTATCATACATACTATAGCTCCACTGATAATAGACTGTAATCCAGATCCACAAGTCCTATTTACACCCAAAGCAGGTTTATCAATCGGTACCCCCGAATAAATACCGGAATACCTTGGAGTTTTGCCACCATCGCATTGACTGAGCTGGAATAATCAATAAATAATATAATTGTATGTATATATTTATACAAAGATAAAATTGAATACTTACAAAGTTAACATTTCCTATGATAGTACAGTCGACTAAACTCGGGTGTAATCCGGATTCTTTTAAGGCGTCTCTGCCCGCCGACGCAAATACATAAGAAGCTGGCAACTCTCGCAGTGATCCGCCAAATTTACAAAATGGCGTCCTTTTGGCGCCGATCACGAATATACCTTGAATATTAATTGTCAAAACATTGAATAATCTTGTTTTGTGTTTCAATTAGATGAGTCGTGATAACGTGATCGTATTTTAAAGATTTAGCTCATTTTACTGTCCAAAATCGATATTTAATTACGAATTTTTGTTATAAAGTTGAGAACATCAAACATTGATAACATAATTTAATAACCAATTACGTAAAGTGATAAATAAAGGCAATTTATCTAACACGACGTATTTTCTTACCTTTAGTAGCCAACGCCATGATCGACTGATAAAAAATTAAACAATATAAACTCACAGATAAAACATTGCTTATTTGTATTTGCTTTTTAAATGAATTTTATCAGAGTTATTTATAGTACACGACTTATGATAAGTACTTATTGTTATTTATTAAGTTTTTTATTCGATGTTTTCATGTTTTATACATAACCTGATGAATTTTGTGTCACTAATTAGGTTACCTAGTCGTCCATATAATTTAAGTTAAATGACATGTAAAGGATTAATTAAAAGTCTTGAATATTTATGAACATTTTAATAAAATATATTTAAATACATAATAACATAAAAATACTTTATATACGTTTAAAAATGGTATGAATGAATATTTTACACAACTTCTAAAAGTAACGCGATCCCTTGTCCACCTCCAATGCAAGCCGAGCCAATGCCTCGTTTAAGTCCCCTTCGTCTGTAAAAAAATATATTTATAAACAACATAATCGAAGTTTTTTATTATTAAATTCAAACAAGTTTCTTAACGTTAACATGTTCGTGTCGACAATTTGTTTTATTAATGAGCGAGTTAGATTTTACATTTTCAACTCAATTTACAAAAATCTGTAAAAAATATAAATGAAAGTGTTAGAGTTGCGGAAGAACTTTTTTTTTTGAATCTGTTCTTTGACTACCCACTAGAGGGCGGTGTATGGTCGAGATACGTTTTCACTTCTTGTAACAACAGAGGCAACCAACCAACTCATAAGCAGAATTAGCCATATATGAATGTTTGTTAGAAAAATCTTTCCTCATTATCTATTATATGTCCGTGTTATAATGACCTCAGTTCGTGTGTGAGGTGCGCCGTGATCCTCGCCCCGGAGGCGGCCAGCGGGTGTCCTATCGCGATGGCTCCTCCGTTCACATTCAACTTCTCCATATCAAGCTTCAAAGCTTTCGCACACGACACAGTCTGGGCCGCGAATGCTTCGTTTATCTGGCAAAATTAATACACATGTAGCTCGTGCTATAGAAAATGCTTAACTTCAAATATAATTCTTTGGTATATGGGAGTTTTTTATGCTAAAGGGGGGCAACCGAGCAGACGGCCTACGTGATAAAGATAGTAGTAGATAGTATAGTAGAGGTAGTAGATTTCCGGATGCATTGCCGCCCTGATTGGGAAAAGGTGGGAAAGAGAGGGTAGAGAAAAGGCTGGGAAAAGGGAAATCGCACCCTGCTCTCTCACTCATCGGACGAAACGCAGACATTAAAGGCTACACATCGATCTTCTGTGAGAGGGTGGTTCTTCCCCGGTCGAGCCAGCCCATGTTCGAGCTGTAGTAACTGACCACAGCTAGGGTCTACCACCTATAAGAATTCTTGATTATAATTACCTCCACGAGATCTATATCCTTCAAGGTCAAGTTAGTGATTTTCAGAAGGTTCTCTATAGCTGGTACAGGTCCGATGCCCATCACACTGGGGTCCACACCCACACACGACCAGCCGAGCAGACGGACCAAAGGTTTCAAGTTATTATTCTTGAGACCTTCTTCACTCGCCACGATGAGGGCGCCGGCTCCGTCGTTAATACCCTAACAACCAATTAAAAATACTTTCTAATCCCTACTAATATTATAAATGCGAAAGTAACTCTGTCTGTCTGTCTGTTACGCTTTCACGCCTAAACCACAGAACTGATTTTAATGAAATTTGGTACAGAGATAGAGTAGACCTTGATAAAGAAGATAGGATAGTTTTTATCTCAGACTTTTGAAAGGTTCTCTTGGAAATGCGATATAACCGAACTCCACGCGGGCGAAGTTGCGGGCGGAAAGCTAGTAATATATCAGCTTCAAACTGTTTTCTAAGATTCGTTGTTTATTCCAAAAACATTTCCAACAAACTTCATTCATTAAATATATCAAGAAAAGCTATTATAGCACTATAGAGTTCTGTTTAGGCAGACCCTGGCTATAGCCGGGAAATTGCCAGGTAGAAGAAGAAGAGTTCTAGTAATTTAATGTATAATTACGGAGGAGTTCCCAGCAGTCACCACTCCACCCTTTCTGAATAACACTGGTAGTTTATGAAGAGCTTCCAAGCTGGTGTCGGGTCGAGGATGTTCATCAACCTCGACCATCACATCTTGTTTCTTAACCTTCACTATAACGGGTGATAACTCTGCCTTGAAGACTCCGCTGTCGTGTGCTGAACAGATTAACATATTGATGAAGATTATTATTATTATTTATATTCCTTTTCGTTGTTATATACATATTTTTTCACCATTTTTTTATTGTATCTAGTAAGTTTTGGAGTAAGATCTATACATTATGTAACCCATGTTGAGTTAGCCTGTAAGTGATGATACGCAACTGTAAACAATTATGTTCCATCATGTTATAATGTAGTTATAAGTATTTGTGTATCACGTTGGCTTCCTATTAAATAAAATAAAAAGATGAGATTAGAAAAAACTGATCAGATATATGTACTCACCAGCTTTCCACTTCTTCTGTGATTGAAATGAAAATTCATCAACTTCCGCCCTGGTCAAATTGTATTGATCAGCTAAGTTTTCAGCAGTCTGAGGCATCGTGTGGTTGCAGTAGGTGTCCAGAGATTGTCTGAATAATGAATCTTCAAATTCTATGTTCGAACCCAAGGGGACGCCGTGTCTCACGTTTCGGACCAAAAAAGGTACGGAAGACATATTTTCTGTTCCACCAGCTAAAGAGACTTCAGCAGATCCTGTCATAATGTCCTGAAAAATATCTAAATATATATAAATGAAACTTATATTTTTCGGATTATACTGCTTGTAAAAACTAGATACTTAAGACGTTTGGGTTACTCTTCAGAAATCGTGATCACGGGTACACGAGATGTCTCGTAAATACTTAATATGACAATTCTTTAAGCATGGTAATTTATTGTTATATATAAACCACATTTATTTCTGTTCAAAAAGTACATTTTATATTTGTGTATCCTCATCTAATCTTCATATCAATGAATTTACCTGAGCGCTGTTTATAACAGCCTGGAACCCTGATCCACACAGTCTGTTAACTCCTAAAGCCGGTTTCTCGTGTGGGACTCCGGCCTTGAGGGCCGCGTGACGAGGGGACAGACCGCCGTCAGGACTACCCGATAACTATAGAACAATAGATATAGAATAAGTCATAAGAAAAACGTGCCAAATAAAAGCTTTAGAACCAGTACCACCAATCAATGTTAAATAAATAAGGTCCTATTAATGTATTTGGTGGTATGTTAGATGTATCGAGCGTCCCACCACGCGCTTATGTCTGTTAAAATGTCGTAACAAAACATTAATATTAATTCCTGCTCTAGATACCGTCATTCGTCAAATGGCTAAAGGACTGTTAATCTATTGTTTTGTCAAAACTATATATAAAATATTTTCGAAGTTACGTTACTAAATGTCTCGTTCAAATTTAATGAACGGAGTTGGTGAAACTGGGTCTTAGAACATGTGAATTACTAACAACTACATACATGGTTATAACGTAAAGAAAGTTACAAAGATATGTGATTTAAAATGAATCCATCGTAACAATTATAAATTATGCAATTACAATGAAGTGATACAACGATACAATGTATCATACATCGCGATCGGTCCATTGATTATAATTTCACTTACCACATTGACGATACCGATGTTCACGGTATCTATCGCTGCTGGGGACACATTACCAGCCTTAAAGGCGTCTTTGGCGACTCCAGCCAATAAGTCTGCTGGTCGAACATCCTTCAACATGCCACCCATTTTACCGAACGGCGTTCTTTTTGCCGCCGCTATGAATATACCTTAAAACAAACCATATCTTGTTAAGACAAGGATAACCAAATAGGTAACTCCTCATTTATCCTATAAAGACTTTTTACATTCAAAACGGTACGCGTCTTCATTTACGAGTAAAATTGCGAAACAATAAAAGATTCCAAAATTCCATTAAAGTCTTTAGACCCTGACTAACTTTTTTATATATTCCCAATAACAATTATATAGGATTTAATGTAAAAAAACACTTGCATACACTTGCACATATTTTACAATTAAAACAATGCATAAGAAAAGTTTAAAAACAAAAAAAATTGGCTTCGTATAAAAAATACATTATACAGATTCATACATGTTAATTATTTCATCCATAAAATATTATTCACTTTTGAATTTAAAAATACAATTTACTTAAAAATACACAGTGAAATAAGATTGTTTTTAACACTTTAATATAAATTTCTAAAACCATTGATCACTTAATATCAGGAGATACTTCCGACAATAACATTACTATAAGAAAAACATGAATAAGCTAATAAAGAAATTCACTTTAAAATAAAATAATTAAATTGAAATAAACTGTACTATGTAAATATAGAATACAAAATCACAATATATAATTAGTTATCTACTTTGCAATATCGCGAGTCCGTTGAATTATAAAATCATTTGAAAACAAGTCACTGACCTACAACATTATGTTAATGTATAATATAAATAAAATCTAAAACATGAATGTGTTTCCTTATACCTTTATTTAATGCCACGGCCATGATCCCTACTAATATTATAAATGCGAAAGTAACTCTGTCTGTCTGTCTGTCTGTCTGTCTGTCTGTCTGTCTGTCTGTCTGTCTGTCTGCTACGCTTTCACGCCTAAACCACTGAACTGATTTTAATAAAATTCGGTACAGAGATAGAGTTGACCTTGAGAAAGAACATAGGATAGTTTTTATCCCAGACTTTTGAAAGGTTCTCTTGGAAACGCGATATAACCGAACTCCACGCGGCGAAGCTGCGGGCGGAAAGCTAGTAGTTTATAAAAATATGAATTGCCACTGATAATAATAACTAAAAACACGTCTGCTTTCACACAAGTACACTTCGCAAATGAGTCGACTAATGAGTAATGACTTCTTAGTTTTACCGCCTAGTAGTAAAAGATATTACGCGAGTGGCAACCAAATACGATACATCAAAATAAATCGATAATATTATATTATGATTATATTGTAAGACTTTTAGTATATTATTATTATCTAGTGTTCATTTTTCGTAATCGGACAGATTGAGATAAGCGGATATGAATTTATTATCGCATACACTTTGATACGAAGGTGAAAGTAGCTTGTGGCAGGATTATACCTACATGGAGGTGGTAGGTACTTGAATATACAAAATAAAACGATGTTTTTGCTATGATTAAATAATCCGGCTTTTGTCATTTTAGTATCTTGACGTTTAATGATTATAATATAAACTTTAAAGATATATTTTTATAATATCAGACAACTTCTTTTGAATTACCTAGGAAAATGTAGCATTAACGATCGTTGAACGAAATTTCTGTTATTGATATAATTGTTGTGGTTTTATTGAGATGGAAAATCATCAAACATTCCTTCTTGTCCTGAGTGGAGAAAGAAGGGTGGTTAAACTCTTACTGACTAAAATCCTCCGTAGCTACTCCTGCTTCATCGGTGGTGGTCTGATTGATGCCTACTAAGAATAGACAACGAAAGATCATTTGATAACCCTCTCTCGGCAGTGTTTCAACTTCAGCTTTTGAGTACAAGTAGGAATATGACGTAATAGGTTGTCAAGTACAATAAATACTAAAGATACTATGTTTAGACGCGGTTTTGTAAACTCATTTTAGTGATTACCGAATTTTTATTAAGCAAAAATATTAAAAAGCATTATTAAAAAAATTTAAAAACATCTTACCAGGCTTGTAATAGAAATTCAATTTAGTTGTGAATTTCATTGGTTTAAAAAGATTAAAAGCCTTTATACTCGTTACAAATTTTAAACAATTGATTGTTTCCACGGTTCTCGTGCGACTTATAATTGTAACAATAGGTATATGAAATATAAACGTACTAAAAAAGTTTATATTCAATCCAGTAATTAGAGACATTCATTACTAATTTGTTATAATTATTGCTCCAAGTAAAATATACTAAGTTAAATATCTTTCGTTGTATGTAAATAGTCTCTGATGGGGTTTTTATAAACTGGTTACTATTATTATTTTAGAGATCATACATCAAGGGAATAGGAATTTTAAAAGTTTCCTTGTGTTTGTGTTTCTTCCGATTAATTATTTGAATGTCTTCAAGAAAAGTGTGAATAGGCTAATAAGGAAATTATGAGTTCACTGTTCACCTACTACTACGATTTCATTTTCATCTACCTAGGGGTGGAACAACAGTCAAGCACTATCTAATTAATATTCGTAATATTTTATTCTAATTAGATGTTAGTTTCTCGCCAAAAATCAGGCTAGAAACACTCGATAAAACGAGGAGTTACGAAAATCCACAATAAATAAAATTGCTAGAGTGTATTAAATAAATATATTTCAGAAAATAGAACTTTTTGTAAACATTTTTATATAAAATCTAAACATTCCATATCATCTTACAGTACAAAAAATCATTTTGTTTATAAACACTTATTACAATTATTTACATTGAGGCATCGACTTAGCTATTGAAAGTATATGATCATACTAGGAAATACAAAACACGCTTACTGATTTTAAACACAGCACATTAGTATTAAAAAACTTTTTCATTGTAAAGTTATCACAATATTAAGGTTTAAACAGCTTCAACCATAACAGCGATGCCCTGACCGCCGCCGATACACGCCGAGCCAATGGCGCGCTTCAAGCCGCGGCGACTGACAGAAAGACGTTAAAATGAACGAATGATTCGCTTGGAATAGTGATGGGACATACACAAATAATATGAATGATTTGAATTATATTAACTACAAGTAGTGTATTATTTAGAACATTAATGATTATTATATTGAATTCATATTTTCTATTAAATATGTAAAACTAATTTATATTATTGCAATTAAACAATAATCGTCTCAGTTTTAATCCTACTAATATTATAATTGCGAAAGTTTGTGAGTGTGTGTGTATGTTTATTACTTCTTCACGCTCAAACGGCTGAATCAATTATGATAAAATTTTGTACACAGGAAGCTGACTTAGGCTACTTTACATCCCGGAAATCAGTGGGTAACACCGCGGGGCGCAGCTAGTTAATTTATATATGTCATTGACAATTACGAGTTTACTTTTTATATCATTTTATATGATGTATTGTTTTACCGTAGCTCGTGTACGAGGTGAGCGGTGATCCTAGAGCCGGAAGCGGCCAGCGGGTGTCCGAGGGCGGTGGCTCCTCCGTTCACGTTGAGTTTCTCCAGGTCAAGCTTGAGAGCCTTCGCACAGGATAAAGTTTGGGCCACGAAAGCCTCGTTGATCTGGTGAGATCGAAATGTATCGTATTAATAAAAACCGCTCATGAACTATCTACACTTCTTTTTAATAAATATAAATGGTATTTCATTTTAGGGCCCTGTACAAGTGAAAAAATTTATAAGTAATGAATGGTGGCACATAAATAAGACCAGTTCATAAAGTGACTTTGATATTAATATAATAAATAAGTGGGCGGTCGACAGTCGGGGTCCAAAGTTTAAATAATAAAAACTAATGTTCTGTAATTTACGTAAATCATGATAACAATGAAAAATTATCATCATTATAACAAAAAAATGTAATAAAAGTAACATTATCATATCTGTTGTTATCGATAGAACAACAACAGATAATTCAGACACTTATCAGAGTATATTGGTGTACTTAAGGCCCCACATAATGAATATTACCAAAAATATATTCCTGTATATAAAAATTAATCAGCTTATTTATTTCTAACTATTTTATTTACTCTCTTTTAATAGAGATTCGATTTAAGCGTTAATTTTATCGTTTTAAAAAGATTAAGACACGAAACCTCTTAGCATTCAATGTATTTTTCATGCATGTGTCGGGTCCATCGTTGTAGTGAGAGGAGCTTCAACAGTGCCACGGACTTGCGACCCAGGTGTACGTTTAAGGGCACCTATCTATCGAGTTAAACGCTCACCTCTGCTGTCCAAGCTCCTCTCTCTACTGAACCTATTTTCGTTATAATTCCTCACCTCAACCAGGTCGATGTCATTAAGTGTTAGTTTGGTGGCCTTGAGTAGGTTTTCAATGGCGGGTACAGGTCCGACCCCCATAATGCTAGGGTCTACTCCAACGTACGACCATCCTACAAGACGTGCTAAGGGCTTCAAGTTCTTGGCGGCCTGTTCGCTGGCTAGCACCAGGGCGCCAGCTCCGTCACTAATACCCTGGATTATTAGGAATCATCAATATATATAGTTCTTCTTCTACCTAGCAATTTCCCAGCTTTAGCCAGGGTCTGCCTTAGATGTGTGAATAGTTATGGCTAATTGTTTTTACGACCGGCCGCCTGCCTGACATCAACCATCTTTTGGGAATTCATCTATATATATATAGTTCTATAAACAAAATTATTTCGTACCATTAACTTTATATAGGAACAATGTAAACATGCCAATACACTATCTCTGATGATAAATATTGTTGTCATTATAATAATCGCTTGCCTCATAATACTTTAATACCGGAGACTTCTTAATATTAATGTTATACTTAATTTGACTAACAAATTGACTAAGATATATAAAAAAATATTAGTGTGCGTTTTGTCACTTAATAGACATTTCGAAAAGTGGACAATCCGCTAAAAATTCGTTTTGAGGAATTATATTTTTACGATTTAACTGTTTATAAAATTGGTTATTTGAATCCCACCATTAACATAATATTAACATAACACTATACTATAGTGTTTTTAAAAGTTTTTTTTCTTCTATAATAGCTTTCCTTTTTCATAAAACACTAAAAACAAGATTCGTGAGATCAATCGTTGAATAAAGTTTAGCAGTGGTGTAATGTATTGACTAAGTAATTAATATATAACAATGTATGTTTAAATCTGATATTTTCAGCTATATATACATAGATATTAAAGAATTTTTGTTTTTAAATATGATAAAGACAATTTGATATTATCATTATATTATAATATTTTACATCAACAAAATACCGATGTTATTTGATAATTATGATAAAAAATTGAATGTCAGCTTATATTAACGACCCCATACATCAACTATTCGTGATGGCACACATTTATTAATATAAAAGACTGTATGTATTAATCTTAATTTGAAAATATTTTTTTCCTAGTAAAGTATACAATAGTTTATTAAATTTACAATCCAGCCTATTGCCTAATAAGTAAATCAATTTGACCTAAATTAACATAATATGTTCTAAGAATGGTCCAATAACACGTACTTAGTCTTTGTTAAGGAGTAGACATTTTGTTCATGTGTTCTTAATCATTTTGTAAATATATACAAATAATTAAGTCAGAGGTGGCCTAGTTGTTAAAACGGCATGCCTCTCATGCTCGAGGGCGCGGGTTCGATCCTGGCCCGGGCAAGTACCAGTGATTTTTCGGGTCATAATATGTACTTTCTAATAATATTTAGATATCACTGATTAATGCATTCCCAAAAGAGGGTTGATGTCAAGCAGGCGGCCGGTCGTAAAAACAATTAGCCAAAACTATTCACAACATGTAAGGCAGACCCTGGCTAAAGCTGGGAAATTGCCAGGTAGAAGAAGACAAAGAATGAGATTTAAATGTAGTAAATGTTCATAAATACACGTGTGTTATCTTACAGATGCAGTTCCAGCCGTCACCAGACCTTCCTTCTTGAAGACCGGCGGTAGTTTCTTGAGTCCCTCCAGTGTTGTCTGTGGTCGAGGATGCTCGTCAGTATCAACTTTGACCTCCTTACGTTTGATGGTCAGTGTCACAGGTTCGATTTCCGCCTTGAACACTCCCGCGTCGTTCGCTGTTGATTTATTTAAAATTTTATCAGGTTCTATATCAAATTAATATTGGCTGATGAAGATTTTTACTTTAAATGCAACTGTATTTTTCGGATATACTACGCTACTTTATATTTGATAAAAAACTACATACTCCCGACGTTTCGGTTACTTTTCAGCAACCGTGATCACGGGCAGACGAGATGTGAGTGTGTGAAAAGTAACCGAAACGTCGGAAGTATGTAGTTTTTATCAAAAATAAAACGAATATATTTGTTTCATTTAAATGAATAAGACTGACGAAGATTTTCCTTTATAGTGTAATACTAACCAGCCTTCCATCTCTGTTGTGATTTCATCGCGAAGTTATCAACCTCGTCCCTAGTAATCCCATACTGTGCTCCCAGTTTCTCAGCGGTCATACCCATCGGCATGTTACAGTATGAGTCAGTGAGTCCGGCCCATAGAGTGTCCTCGAAGGCGTACGAACTGCCTAACACAGCACCGAACCTGACATTTCTCACCGCGAAAGGAGCCTGGGACATGTTCTCAACACCACCAGCTACGGAAATTTCTGCAACGCCTGATAGAATGTCCTGTAGGAAACATGAGAAATCTCTTTATGAAATACTAACTTTCCGCCCGCAGCTTCGCTCGCGTGGTGTTCGAATTTATCGCGTTTCCAAGAGAACCTTTCATTCCGAGATAAAAACTATCCTGTTTTTTCTCAAGGTCAACTATATGTCTGTACCAAATTTAATTAAAATCAGTTCAGTGGTTTAGGCGTGAAAGCGTAACAGACAGACAGATAGACAGACAGAGTTACTTTGGCATTTATAATATTAGTAGGAATTCTATTTTCGTCGGCGAAAATAGAATATTGCATCCGTCGTATCTCGTGTATTCGTCATGGTGATTGATATTTTTACTAGATTTTGCACGCAACTTCTTCCGCGTTCATTTCGTTATAAGTAATATACATATACAGTATAGCTAACCGAGCGAAGTCTATTCCGCTTTAGAGAAAGTAAATCACAAGATATTAAAAATTATTAAGTTTTTTCGATCAACGAGAATTAAATATCCTAAGTCCGTCTTCTGATTCTGAGCTATCTCTCCACCAATTTTCAACCATATCTCTACAGACATTTTCATTTATAAATAGTGAAACTAACTCAAATTTCTTTTATATATAAGTAAATAAATAATTATCAGAAAGTACTAATAACACCTAAACGAGACCATCAAAATCCAATTTTAAACAAACAGCTGATTCCGAACCCTAATGTATATAGACCACATGGTGTATGTTTGTTCTGACCTGTGCACTGTTGATGACGGACTGGAAGCCTGATCCACACAGCCTGTTGACGGCCAGCGCCGGCCGGTCCTGGGGAATGCCCGCACGTAGCGACGAGTGACGAGCACAGTATATACCGTCCGTAGATGTGGCCTGCACACAAATATATATAGTTAATAACACTCAATCCCTTACAAAAACATTTCTTCTTAAATAATCGCAATTTGTTCGCCAGAAGACTGTTTATACGTATAAACTATAAGCCAGCTCGCATATATTGAAGGTTGTAACTCATTGCTGTAATCACGAGGACGCGGGTTCGATACCTGGCAAGTACCAATGTGATTTTTTCCGTCCATATGTACTTTCTAAGAGTATTTAGACACTACTGACGGTGAAGGAAAACATCGTGAGGAAACCTGGACTAATAATTTCCAATTATAAGTTTGAAATCACCAATCCGTCTTGAGCAAGCGTGGTGATTAATGCTCAAACCTTCTCCATGTGAGAAAGAGGCATTTGCTCAGCAGTGGGCTCTGATTGGCTGATGGTGTAACTCATTTTTAGTAGACTGCACATCCTAGGACTATGCTTATATTGTGGTACTCACCGCCATAACCTGTCCGACCACAACAGAGTCGACCTGGTCAGGCTTCACTCCCGCCTCCTTGAGGGCGGCTGTTGTAGCGATGGTCTGCAGCTCTGTGGCTGAAGTGTTACGGAACACTCCGCCGAAAGTACCGAACGGAGTACGCTTGGCACCCACGATGAATATATCTATCATCATGATGACATGCTAATTATATTCTGATGTTATTTTTCATAATATATTTAAACACTATTTTCTTATTTTATATGTTTTAATTACACTAATTCTATTGCTATTTTTATTGAATTATTTTTTACTGTAATAATTATCTGTCTCTTTACGTAATATTAAAATTTTACAGAGGTAAGTATTCCTAACTGTATTTACGTGGAGGCGAATATATTTTGCGTATTAATATGAAAGAGGAATCGATATATTTTCTATGGAGTCAGTCAAATAAATCGTTACTGCAACAAGAGTACATCGGTACTGTTGTCTGAAACTATTTTCTTCGAATGCTCACTGTTTTTGGAGTTAACTAAAATTTACCGATCATAGTCGTTTTTCTTTAAACAAGTATGTTAACGAAACCTGAATATAACAAAAATTAACTAAGAATTATATGACTGACACCCAAAATACATTTTAATTACACATTCAATATTGATATTATTTCTGATCACTTCACAGTATATCTATTTCAATAAGTTCTTAAAACTTTTTATACAATTTAATCGGTTTATATTGTATTCTGTTTGTTTAATGATAACAGGTTTTAAAGGACGCCTGTACCGTAATTGAGTCGAAGCAGGGGATATGTGTAAACAATTAAATATGGAATATATTATTTGAATAACAATGAAATCTTCGTACAAAACTGGGAGTTTCCTTATAAAAATAATTATCGCCGTGGTATTAACGTAATAGTAATAGATTATAATTATCTTTACAAACACTACGACCTCTTGGGACAAATAAACGCAACAAAAATAACCAAATTATTCTGTTTCTAAAATCTTACCGTTCTTACCATTTTAAACATTTATTTAATTAAGACTAATCGGATTTTTAAAAACTTCGGTATTTTAGGTTAAAAACTAAGTCTGAAGTTTGTTTTATAAATATAGTTTTTAATTTTAAAAACTATATTTAAAAAACAAACATCAGGCTACGGAAATACACACACCTTTTGTTAAGTAACGAAAAAAGGGTAAGAAGATAATATCAAATATTCAATGTTATTACTATATTCTGAAATATATAGTCTCTATACATTATGTACATGACCAGAGTTTTAAACTTGTAAAAGTGATACCGTGAAGCAAAGGTTCAATGCCCAGTGCCCACCACTATCAGTTTATAATATCACCGCTATGTGCTTAATTATGCAAATAAAATAGGAAGTCAAGATCTCATCAAAGTATTTACTTTCTATTAATTTTAAAGGTTAGGTACATAAAATTTGAATGATTCCTATTTTTTATATCGTTAAGAAAAAAAGCAGAAAAGTTTTCATAACTTTCTTCCACTCATAAGCTAATTGGAATTTGACCCCGTGTATAGAGTACAAACTTTTTTAAATCCTGAATGTGGGTGAGTTAAAGAGCATTAAATATTTATTGTTACTTACTTTTAACAGCTGTAGACATGGTGACTGTTAAATTATTACTACTATTAAAAATTATATGTTGATAACAAAGTTTACGTCAACTCAGAACTGGCTCTAATTATTGAAGTGAGCGAAGAATGAATGAAAAACTGATTGGATCAAAAATATGTACCTATATAAATAGGAATCCCTATCTATATATACCTAAAGTGAATGAACGGCTAAAGTTGCCACATGAAATTATTTGAAACAACAACAGCCATTGTTAATTTTATTAAATTCAAAAAAAGGCAACTGTAATGGAATATTACAAGTGGTTATTACCAATTTAATAAAATAAAATTGTAATTTTAACTGGCTATCGATATTTAAGTATTTTTTAAACCTATTCTTTTTTATTTTGTTTTGGTTGTCATTTGTTTATTCTGTTTAATTTCTAGGTAGTGGCCAGTGGGTATCTATGGTGTTCTGATTTCTGACAGGCTGAAGGTTTAAGATCAAATCTCTTATAAATTAAATGCTTATGCAATGAGCGATGGTCGTTCTGTCAGTGGTCAGTTAAAGAAGTTTGTCTTTCGCGGAAAATCAAGTACCAACGGAGATACAAGAGGTGATTATCTGGAGATAGTTATACCAGAATTGTTGTCGGCCGGCTACTCATTTTACACGTGGCCGTCGGCGCCTTTATTAGCCTGGTACTTGTGGACTCAAAGGAGACATTTACGCGGTCTTCGCGTTTTAGAGTTAGGTTGTGGCACTGGTTTGCCGGGAATATTAGCTGCTAAGTGTGGTGCTCACGTGACATTAACAGACAGTGTATCTTTACCACGGTCTCTGCGACATTTGTCTGCTTGTTGTGAGGCGAACGGTTTGATTCCCGGTCGAGACGTACAAGTACTAGGCCTAGCCTGGGGACTATTCTTAGCCGACGTACACAACCTACGTCCCGTAAACTTACTTTTAGCTTCCGATTGTTTTTACGAGCCATCACAATTTGAGGAAGTACTGTCGACTGTTGCTTATTTTCTTGAAGGTACTGACGCACGTTTTTTGTGTGCTTACCAGGAGCGGAGCGCAGATTGGTCCATTGAAGCTCTTCTCAAGAAGTGGGGGCTGAAAGGTGCACTGCTGGACTTAGACTCCCTGAGTGAGAGCTCCGGAGTGGATTACAGAGCCTTGATCGGTGAACGATCACTACATTTGATTGAAATTATTTCTGTTTAGGGTATGGCAAGCACGGCTAGAGCTGCGCGCCTCTATGTTGGCAACCTTGCATGGACCGTGGGCCACAGACAACTCCGAGAATATTTTGCTCAGTTTGGTCCCGTTCAAAGTGCTAGGGTAGTATTTGACCGCTCAACTGGTCTCAGTAGAGGATATGGTTTTGTAGAGTTTGCGAGTCCTTCGGGAGCTGCTGATGCTACTAACAAACAAGTACACACTCTAGAGGGGCTCAACTTAAATGTACAAGTACAACAAGTTAGTTAGAAACTTCGATAATGGCACAAGCACTTCCAGACAACGCTGATTTCTCTGATGAGGAAGAAGTCAGTCTACTAGACCAGAACTTCAACAAAGCATCTGATTACGTCAGGAAGATAACATCCAACTTGAATAATAATCAACTTTTAGAACTGTATGGCTTGTACAAACAGAGTACTGAAGGCATATGTAACACACCCAAACCAGGATGGCTGGACGGCAAAGGAAGAAAGAAATGGGAAGCTTGGAAATGTCTGGGAGAAATGCCTAGTGAAGAAGCTAAACAAAAGTATATAGATTTAGTTCAAAAGCACGATCCTAATTGTGAATTGGCCGTCCAAAATACATCAAGGGAAAGCTGGGCTGCTGTGTCTTCGTTGCAGCATGATATTGAACCAGAATTGATACACAAAGATATGTCACTGTTAGACGCTGCTAGGGAAGATATGGCCGAACTTGTCAAAGAACTTCTAACAGAGAATCCATTACTAAAAGATTATAAAGACGAGGATGGATTATCGGCTCTTCATTGGGCAGCCGATAGAGATTCAATATCTGCACTCGTAGCTGCGCTTGAAGGTGGCTGTGATGTTAATGCTGTTGATACTTTTGGTCAGACTGCACTACACTATGCTGCTTCTTGTGGGCATGTTAAGTCCACACAAATCTTGATAGACTTTGGTGCGGAGATCATTAAAGATAACGATGACTGTACACCATTAGACGTGGCCGCCGATGATGAGGTTAGGAAAATTCTGGAAAGTGCTGCCTCTTAGGATATATATGTAAAGGGAATACATAGTCTTAGTTGATAAATGCACATTATATGTAGAATAGGTATATGGAAATAAAAAATTAAATAAGTTTTATGTTTTTTTCTTACACAATTATTTTGACATATTGAAGTGACAAGTAAAGGTATAAAAATAGTTCTAATACACCAAAATTAACTTTCATTTCACTCTTACTAGATCTATATAAAACAAGTGTTAGTTTCATTAAAACTTAGACCAAATTTTCTTTAAAGAATCATGTTTTGGGGTAAAGTTAAATATTTCAGGGAGTATAAGATGTCATTTACATGATTCCTGTAAAAATATATCAAAATCAAGATTATTTTTAATAATAGTAATTGTAACAGTCTAAATAGACAGTAACATTTTATTTAAAAAATTGCAATTTAACCAAAATATCGAAATTAACCTAATTAACATAAAATAACAGTGAAAATTACAAAATTATGAACTAAGGTATTTATTTACAATACATAAGACTTATGGAACATGATGTGGCAACACAGTGACAAAGAGAATTATATACTCATACTTTATATAAATATATAACGAGCTTTTGTTTACTTTGTAAAAATTTATTAACTAAAGCGCAATTCGTAGCGGCACACATTTTTATACTTAGATATCATACTAGTCTGTTAAGTCACATTGTGGCAATATTAAGACAAGCTTCAATGTCATTATGAATGACATATGTTCTCAAAGCTTCATATAACTTTATTATTATGGGAAACTTATATTCGGTCAGGTCCGTATGCCTAGTAATTTTGCTAATCCTTCCCATCCTTGTGAGCATCTCCTGAATCCAATTGCTTGAGGAGTCTGAACAACGCCGCTGCTTCTCGTATTCTGCTGAACTCAACGCAGAATGCTTCCACCTCTATGAATAATTCCTAAAAATGATATATATTTTTTATTATTAATTAATCGTTACATATAGAGGATTCATGTTACTTAAACTAACATGTGGAAAAAACTTCTTTTGTATTAGTTTTGTGAAATAACTAATTGATATAAAGAGTAATTGTTACTGTTGAATTTTATTTAAGACCTTACAAGTTTCGTTTTTGATGAGGTTATACTCTTGTATGTACAATATTACCATATTCACAAAATAACAGAATATTTTATCTGCTCACTGTTATTAATTAGAAGTGCTTGTAATTTTAGCGTTTCAATCGTAAATGAGCTTTGATTTCTGTTAAATATGCATGTCTAATTCCATTAAATTTTAGTTTGGTATCAAGTCGCTTTTCTTGATATTAAAATTATCAATAGAATATTCAATAAGAAGCCATTGTTCTTTGGAAGTGGGATTATTTAGTTTGGTCTTGTTTAAGATCGAGTTTTCAAAATTCAGAAAAAAGGTAAATCTGTCACTCTTGTATAAATATTTGATCCATTTTGAAGAAACTCCATTTCTTAAAACCAAAGATATTGCAAATAACTTGTAAGTTTGTCGACCGAGGCGAAGTCATTTTTCATGCTGCATGCATGTTTTTTACCTAATCACCTTTATTACGTCGTGAGTGAATTCCAAAATTCTGATACTTTGAGCGCTCTTATTATATTCTATCTATAGATATAGATACTTCGGTAACTTTGTTACTTTTTAAAATTCTATTTTATAATTTCGTTTTGAAAAATAATATATTTAATTTATGTGCAAGAAAGTATTCTTAAGGTATAGAGAGAGGATCAATATATCGCTTGAATTTGTAATATTCACATATTCATAATTCAGTTTTAAGACAAGATATCATATATACTAAATATTATTTTGACGGGAATTTTTATTGAGCAATTTATTTAGTAATCGTTTCAGTGTGTAATATGTAGCGCATTTTATAAACTATTGATCTTCTGAACATAAGGAGGAAGTTCAAAATCGCTATAAAAATATATAATAATAGTAAAAAGAAAAACCGAAACTCGAATCCTGCCGGGGTCTATTACCTTTTCATTTATCATTAATATAATTCAACTTCTCTATAACAAGCGTTTCTTTATATTTGTTTACATTTATTATCTTGTTTCGTTGTCCAGTCATACCTTAACATTAATGATCTTGTTCCGTATGAGTGACTGTAGGAACACACACACTAGTCGCACCAGTCTGTTCTGCATGTAGCGGTCCCTGATCGTCTCACACGTCGAGATGCAGTTACTGATGTAGAGGTGAACGAACTCTACGGGGAGGTCCACTGAGGTCGTTAACCTTAAAACAAGATAGATATATAAAATTAGTGTATATGAGATGTCTTAGCATTAGCATAGCCAGGTCTATCGTTGTAGTGAGAGGAGCTTCAACAATGCCTGGGACTTGTGACACAGGTGTAGGTTTAAGGGACTATCTAACGCGCCTTAAACGCTCACCTCCACTGTCCAAGCTCCTCTCTCTACCAAAATTGAAACGAACCTACTAGGGCTGCCTTCAGTACGTTCTATGAATGAATTGATATTAGTTCTGGACAAGCCCAAGTCTTTTAGAGAAATGTAGCTGTTATACTTTTCGCTCCTTCTTCTACCACGTAAAAGTTTCCAACGAACCTATTCTTAGTGAATTCGTTAGTGAGCTCATAATACTATGTAATTGAATATATGTCAAAGTTTCGAAAACTCACAAAAAATACATACATACATAAATATGCAAATTAAATCAGAGAAAAATAGTTCTATATAAAAATCTCTTCGTTAATCAGATATCATTAAAGATTATGTTATAATATAGCTATGATATATGGATGTATTCAGAAGATAAACCTCACCTATTGACAACTTCCATTGAGTGTAAAGACATCTCCATGTTGACGAGCACGGAGAAGTAGTCTGTGATGTGTTGTGAGTGAATCAACTTCAATAGAACTGATATGGCGACCATCGGGTTGTTCTCAACTAAATCTGGTAGCTGTAAGAATCAAAAACCACAACATAACTAATTGATAGGACTTACAATTAAATTATTTTATATATTTTATTGATAGGACTTATTTTATTAATATATTGTTTATGTCCAAAAAAGGAATTTAAAAGAATTGCTCAATTATTTTCTATAATAATAGATTAAAATTCAATTGAAATTTCTGTTAATTTAATAAGTGCCGAAACTTAGAAGAAGATAAATATAAATTTAAGTATGGTGCAGAAATTGATGTTAGTAAAATGCATATTATTGGATATTCAGATCAAGTAATGGGTCATCATCTCTTTATATTGTTAAGTTATTAATGGTATATATGTAACTAGTTTTTGCCCTCATCTTATTACAACAAGTGCGTTAAAACAATTGATATGGTAACTTAACATACACAATACAACTGTTATACCTTTATGCTATCCTAACACTAATCCTATTTAAAAAGTAGACAAAATTGTTTTCACGATATTTATATCTAAGCGCACGGTAGTGCGCCGGCCAAGTTCCACAGGCCGGCGCATGCCGTGCACTATATTTACACGAACCGTTTCGACCCACTTTTGACCCCCCTGTAGCTCAGTGCCTATTGCAAGTACAGAGATAAAATTTTACCTACGTTATCTAAGCGCACGGTAGTGCGCCGGCCAAGTTCCACAGGCCGGCGCATGCCGTGCACTATATTTACACGAACCGTTTCGACCCACTTTTGACCCCCCTGTAGCTCAGTGCCTATTGCAAGTACAGAGATAAAATTTTACCTACGTAATCATATACTAGAACTAAAGCAGTATGCCAAATTTCATAGATAAAGCTTCAGTAGATCCTGAAATATGACCCTGTGAAAATAGCTAATTTTGGCACTGACTCACTGACAGGTAATCAAAACCTCTAGGCCACTTCCCATTGTTTTAGCATTATGAAATTTGGTACACAGGTTGTGTGTTATATGTAGATTAACAAAAAATTAAGAAATTTAAGAAATCGGTCAAGCGTGAGTTGCCTCAATTCTAAATATCGAATTTTTAATAAATTCGACCCACTTTTGACCCCCTGTAGCTCAGTGTCTATTGCAAGTACAGAGATAAAATTATACCTACGTAATCATATACTAGTCCTAAAGCAGTATGCCAAATTTCATAGATAAAGCTTCAGTAGATCCTGAAATATGACCCTGTGAAAATAGCAAATTTTGGCACTGACTCACTGACAGGTAATCAAAACCTTTATATAGGCGCTCAGCTCAGCACAATAAAATACATAATAATGAAATATTAATGATTAATAATATGAGTACATCTTTCAATCGGTGATAAATGAAACTAAAAAATAAAAAATAAATATAGTTTAAAAAAAACTAAAAAACACGCTCCAATGATGAAAGAAACCGCGTGGAAACTAATTTAACCTTTACAACCTTGGAAATCAATTTAATTTAAATTGTTTAAAATAAACAATAAATGGTATTATTGAAAAAAAAGCGTGGGGCGCTTCTCAAGAAGTGATATATGAAGCTCATCACGCTTTTTTTTCACAAAAATACCATTTATTGTTTGTTAAAATTTATTTTTAAATTAATATTATTGTGAAAAAAGTGTGGGGCGCTTCTTAAGAACTGATATATATATATATATATATATATATATATATATAATATAAGGGATAAAAAATATTGTCATGTATACATTATGCACACTATATAACTTAATTAAATATTGCTTACCTAAAAAATCAGGTTTCTATTGTTATAAATTACTTTCGATAGATGGCGCTAGCGGTATAATTGAATCGCGATATTGTTTTGTCTGCAGTAGGTATATATGAATGAAAGTCGATAAGGAATCGATGGTCATTTCTTTCTATTTCTTTCTACACTTATGTCTTGATATCTTATACATATATGGTTACGATTACGATTAAATGGATCACTGATTTGACTTGCTAAAGGATTAATTTTGATATTGCTTATTGATTGATTACTTGTGTGTGTTAAAAGCACAAATTCACTCTATTTCTTTTCTACTATTCATTTACCAACGATGGAAATTGTACATCTTTCGGTGGTTGGCGGAGATATACCACATAGGGTAATTCCTATGCCATCAGATGGTAGCTGTATGTTTCATGCTGTAAGTTATGCATTGTACGGCTGTATAGTACGATTGTATGTACGATTTCTTGAAAAAAAGTATTGAAATCTCACCAAAAACATGCCTGTTAAAAAGGGGGCCAAGTTCCAATCGGCTAATTGTTTGCCTAAAAAAGGGGTGAAATCCAATCTAATGCCAAGTTTAGATGCACTTTGAAATCGATCATAATCATCTTCATCAACAGCATGATCCACTGGTAAACATTTGCCATTCCCAAGACTCGCCACCACACCCAGTCCTCTGCCTTCCACATCCAGCCACTACCCGCCACCTTATTCACGTCAACGGTCCATCTGACCGAAATTCACTTTACCATACACCCAACTTAAAATATGGTATAGTTGTGAAAATACGTAGGTGCTTGGTTAAAAATATCAAAAATTATAATACTTCTAAATTTGAACTTGGCAGGTTAATTTAATTATTTAAATTATATAATATTTAAATTATATAAATATAAATAATTATATAACTAAATAATAAATTAATGATACAATTAATTAAGTGTTACGTACAGCACAAAAACCTGCCAAGTTCAAATTTAGAAGTATTATAATTTTAGATATTTTTAACCAAGCACCTACGTATTTTCACAACTATACCATATTTTAAGTTGGGTGTATGGTAAAGTGAATTTCGGTCAGATGGACCGTTGACGTGAATAAGGTGGCGGGTAGTGGCTGGATGTGGAAGGCAGAGGACTGGGTGTGGTGGCGAGTCTTGGGAATGGCAAATGTTTACCAGTGGATCATGCTGTTGATGAAGATGATTATGATCGATTTCAAAGTGCATCTAAACTTGGCATTAGATTGGATTTCACCCCTTTTTTAGGCAAACAATTAGCCGATTGGAACTTGGCCCCCTTTTTAACAGGCATGTTTTTGGTGAGATAGTAGCTTACATAAGACGTTAGGTTTAACATAGCGGCGCCATCTATTGACTACTTACTCAATCCAGTCTACAGATATCGCTATATGTTAAAATCGTGTGGAGTTTACAGATAATTGTAAATATCAAATAGCAATAAATTGTAAATATCAAATAGCAATAAATCGTTTAAATTGGATTAAACTGCACGCGGTATGCAAATTTAATTAAATAGTTGAGAAGTTCATCGCGGACAAACAACGTGACACGTGATTAATATATTAAGAAAGATTATGTAGTCTAGTTTCTATGTACCTGGTTGGGCGTGACTCCTATATCGTACACTACATCGGGCGCGTCGTCCAGTAGCGCCAACAGTCTCTGTTGTTGAGGCACACTCAGAGCCGTCTTCAGAGCGACAGCCGTCAGTTCCTTTGCTTCTTCAACAGGATTTTCATCTTTTTTTTCTTCTGTTGTTTCTTCTGCTTTTTCTACTGATTTCTCTTTGGGTTCTTCCTGAGACAAAGATTTGGATTTTCTCGGTGATATTAAAAAATTTAAAAATAAAATATTATTTATATATACTCAAAATTATTTAGTTTATATAGATAGTTCACTTATGTTATTGTTTTTATTTTAAATTGTTGTTTTGTTATTAATTAACTTTTTTTTATTTTCTGCATGTTGCCGTGTGTTTTTTTTATTTTGTGCATGCTGTTATCACCTTTAATTACGATACCACCAGTTTTATTTTTTTTATCCATGTATCTTTAATGTTTTTAGTATGTATTTTATTGGTGATCTAATAAAAAATAAAAAAATAATTAATGTTTTATTTTGTGCTTTGAAGTTTATTTATAAGAGCCCTACCTTAGGTGCAGTTTCTGTTGAAGTAGCTCGTTTTTCGGGGCGAAGTCCTGTTAATCCTTCCATGTCGATGTCGTACATGGGTATGTACGCCCCACGGTTCGAGAGGTTTTTCCACACTGCCTGAAAGCGATCGATGGAAGTTTAAAGTGAGAGTATTTATACATATTGTACTTTTATTCGTGACTTTTATTAAGCAAACGTATCGCTAAAGAATTAATTTGGTACATGTTAGTATATAAAAATAAATAAAATGGTATATCTGGAGTATAGTTACTTGCAAAACGGCTTAGTGATAACTACATGGTAAAATTTTGCTTCTTTATCTTTGATCACATGCGAAGAAAACCGAGACAAGAACATTTTTATTTTTGGTCTCTCTTCCCTTCTAATTACAACTTTTGTGTCTTTGGATATTGGATATTATTGAGATACTACATTCACTATTTACGGGTTCATTCATTTGTTCATTTATTTCCCTTTCCACTTACCTACATGTGGATAGACGTTCAAATTCAGGTTCAGAATTTTAAAAAAAGCGATTTTTGTAAGGACTTGAATTAAGATAACAAAATAAACAATTGATGACATAAAATTGTACAAGTTTGTGTACAGATCACTACAGATACGTCGCCATCAGCCTATCAGAGCCCACTGCTGTAAGGCCTCTTCTCACATGGAGAAGATTTGAGCATTAATCACACTTGCTCAAGATAGGTTGGTAATTTCAAACTTATAATTATGAAAATAAGTCCAGGTTTCCTCACGATGTTTTCCTTTGTATGTCAGTGGTGTCTAAATACTATATACAGGAGAGGTTTAATCACTTAATTGCTTATAATGTTTTTTGGGGGGTGTGGAATACCCCTGTCCCTACCTCCCCAGCGAAGGCGATCTCAGTGGGATCCATAATGAATGCAGGGGGAGGAACCGGCCCCGCTGGAGACAAGGTTCGATGCAGGGGTAGATACTCGTTACTCATCAACGCTTCCAATAACTCCTTCATAGACATACGGCTTGGAGGCGTCCTGGTTAAACAACTTATTAATTATTATCTATTTATAGATAGATATTTTTATTCCCATTAAGACACTATTATCATTTACATGAGAATTACACTTATAACAAAACATTTATGAATATATAGTTCGACATCGCACTTGTAACAAAAATGAAATGAACTAACACTTAACTAAGAGACAGTTTTCTATATTAAGTACTAATTAAACGTATTGTCTAAGTTTTAATTAGTTATAATATTCTCAGTATTTTCCTTTTTAAATCCGTTAAATGACTACATTTTTTATATGTGTGGGTAGTTCATTATACAGTTTTGCACCTTCAAAATGTATCCATACACATTTAAGATGAGATTGTTGGAACAGAAATTTCTGTTCTTATTCAATAACTATAATTTCCAAGAACTCATAACATATAATTTGTTTCTTTAATAGAAAATAATACTATATTAGTAAATTTTTATAATACTCACCCATCACCGAGTGGAACTAAGGCAGGTGCAGTTGCCTTCGCTATGGAACTAATGTCTGCTGTGCGTTCAGTCATCAACACTTGTAGTGATGAATAATCAAACTCCAATTCCTTAGACGACACCTCTGTCATCATCACTTGCTTAGCTGTCTTCTTGAACACCTGTACACATAATTAAACAAGATAAATACAATAATAATAATAATTTACTAATTAGTGTTGCTATATACATGCAACATATTAAAAACTAAATTAACATTGTTGGAAGACATCTTTGTAATTGATAAATATACTGAGTGAAGCCGCTGACTCCGCGGAACGAACACCAAGCAGTTTGAACCAGAAGATTCTTGAAACCACACAAGCTATGGAATGGTATTGCTATCCTAACATCGGGTCAATCATGTAGTCTTAGGTGTAGGTTACAAGTTTTAATAGCATACATATAGTAGTTTCGTAATATTCCTGGAAGCTCCAGTTGCAACTCTATATAATTATGTTCTAAAACATTTGTCAACTTACATCTTTAATATTACCAAGCACAAAGCCATGTAATTGTCCTATGAACAGCCTTTCCTGTGGAGCTAATGCAATGAGCCCCGGCTTGCCGTCCAGAAGATGTAAATATAATGAACTGAATGGATTGTCTCCTTTATAGAAGTCATGTATGAGAGCCAACGCAACTACTCTTTGACCTGGTAATGTTAGATCACCTCCGGCAATTAGAGTGGAGAATAGAAGACACACTGAAATATTCAAAAGATGTAATAAGATTCATGAATAGCTCATTAATAATTTTATTGAAATATTTTAGGCATTAAAGCTATGTTGGTTATTAAATTAAAATTCTGAATAAGAGATATTCAGAATAAGTATTCCAAAAACTATAAGATAGAATTAAATTTTCATTTTATTATTTTATTTGTAGTTTACTTACTACACGGGGTGTGTAATTCTTAATTAAGGTTCTGTTTATTGTTTTTTTAATATATCTTTAAATAAGAGATAAATGTTTCAAATTACAGAAATAACTATGATATTTACAGCAACTAAATAAAAATTGCTTAAAATAAAATGCCGAACAATGAAAAATATTTTTAACATGGTAAATGGATGCTATTTCATTAGTTACTAGATAATAAATGTAAATAAATGCAATACTAACAATTAAAATGTTCAGACTTTGGGAACCTCTTCTGGACCTGAGCACAGATTGATTCCAGACTCTGGGAGTCGATAGTCTGCTCTGAAAATAAGCTGAAAGCAATCACAACATTACTATTAGTAATACGTCCTCTTTTAAAAAGGTTATGTATACAAAACGACATACTCTAATACATATTTGCTATTTTCATTTATTAGCTGTTGAGACATTTTAAATATTTATTTCTTTATTCTTTAATAATAATCATCCATATATGTTTTAGCGATAAACACAAAACAAAAACATAATACTAATTTAATAATGACATTGACATATACAATAAAATGACACATTGACAATATTTTTGTATAACGTTCACCAGTTATAAGAATTGGCACGTAAAATAAAAAATATGGTGAAAAGTATGTAATAAAAACAATAATAATATTATATAGTAACTATACTAACTTATAATTTTTTTTTTTTGTTAATCTAACTAAGATATGTCTTTTAGAGATAATAAGTATTTTGTAAACTTTACATTTCACCTAATTAATTTTCTATAGTAAAAAAATGATATTTTAGATTGAAGTGAGGATACATAATATAATATAAACAAAAAGTTCTATCATATTATATAAGAATGTATAGATTCGAAGATTGAAAACGAAACATTTTATTTTAATATTGTGAAGAAAAACATCTAAAACTTATTTTTCTCTTAATATTTTTCTTATTTTATTTTCGCTTCATGTATATGCAAATATTTTGTCTTAATGTAGTATCAAGCTTAAAGGCTAAATCTAATAATTGATCAAATTATTGTAATTCATTTAATTGTATAAAATAATGTTATATTTTCGTTCCTTCATTATTTGAATATTATCAAACATATTTAAAGATTAATGTTAGTTCATTAGGTGTGTGCCACTTTCCATTCCACTAATATGCTATAAATATTATAAGTGTGTTTTTGTGAATTTCGGTATCATATATCACAAAATATTTAAATTAAATAAACATTATTGCAAAAAGCAACAGTGAAGGATCTTTTACATCTTTTTTTTATAATTAATATTATAAATTTACGTACGTACACATTTATCTGTAGGTTATACAAAATACTATTGAACCCAAAAACGGACAGTTAATTTAAATCATTACGTTGCTTCAATACGTTTAAAATAAGGAGACTTAACCCAATTATAACTTATAATATTTCTATATCTTAACAAGTAGTAAAAAAAAATGTCCCGGATTTAACGGTTGGCGACTCCTATTTCCAGTGCTTCGAATGTTATTTCTTTGACATCTTGTTTTTATCTTTCCAGCTCAAGGCAGAGGCTTTTACTTTTAATCAATTTGTTATTTTTTCCTATGAGATTAATAAATTTTTTGATCATGCTATCTTTAGAAATAGTTATATATATTTATATTTATATCAAAATATATTTATAAATAAAGGAACTTCTTTTTATTTTACAACAGACACTATACAATGACTCTATTTTTTAAATTAAATGTTGTTGTCATAATCGCAAAATCAGATTTTTGATAACTTTAGCGACATAGTGTTTGAAAAATTGTTAATATAAAGTCTCCTTATCTTTTCTAGTTCAGTATATGATAAGATGTTCATCTCAGAACAAGAAAAATCGTTTTCAAATTGAAAAGTATGCCATCATGTTGAGAGCTCATTAAGAGGAATTAACGAATATAATTCAATGACTGATATCATTATCATTTTAATTATTGTGAGCTGTATAAAGTTCTACGGTTGAACCAAATGCGACTTATCATTGTAATGCTAATTGTATGCGGCTCCTTATCACTTTTTCTTCACGATAAGATTACACCAGTCATATGGCGAGACCGCGCGCCATCTTAGCTCCGTTTCGTTTTTAATTATTGAAATTAAAAAGTTTTTCTTTCCGTGGATCCAAAGTGATGGTGTTGGTGTGCGTATTCTACGATGAGAGATATACGTTCTCTGTCCATCATGCATAACGTGAGACCTCTCGAGTTTCCGACAAGGTCTATGCAGGAGGAAAACCAGGCTCACAGGAACCGTTCATCTTCTTGGTCCTCTTGGAGACGGACCAATTTGCTTCGTAATAACGAACCAAGATATTCCCTGCAATATGAGGTAAATAGCATATTTGAGTCTATTCTTAAGTCTACAGTGATATCTAACAAGAAATGTTGAACAAATGTAAAACATATCAACTAATAGTATCGTAGAGCACCAAAAGAAAAGTATTAAATTATAACCAACGTTTTATGTATATGTATATATATTTATTTTTATAATGTCACATTAATTTTTTTATCAGGTTAGGTAAATACTGCGACTTATAAATTGATATCAAATTGAAACCGTTTTGTTTTGTTTTTACGAATAAAGAGTACGAGTGATGAGTTACAGTACTGTAATGCCGATACTATTATTATTTATTATTTGTCACAAAAGCGAAAAATATTTTTTCTAGTAAAACCTAATAGCTATTTTTTAACTATTTTGTGAGGATCTGGTCAAAAACAATAAGTCGATTATCAGAATTATAAATAAGAACGGATTTTTAACAATATATTGTTTGCTTAAATTATTTTATATCCAAATTACCAGCAAAACTGATCCAGAGTAATAAATTCTTCTTTTATACGAATTAAAACTATACAAACTAACCTAGATTCCATAAGCAGTTACAAAACAAAGGATTAAAAATTTACTTATATTGTCAAATCCTTGTGGAATATCAATTATTACTGAACCAATTTTGAACCTGAAATCAAATGTTTTCATTCATATTATTATCTCAGGCTATTATTTTGTTAGAACCATAAAGTATTCTATAAAATACAATACGTACAACGGGATGTTATGCGTGTAACTGTTTGACAAAGACTGTCAGCCGCTGTCAATTGGTTGTCATAGAAGGTGCAGACGATATTTTTCCCGTGATATTTTAGTTTTTTTGTTTGTATATTTCCTTAACCGTAGTAGTGTTTGGAAGCTGTAGTTTCTATTCCCATAGTTTGATGTTGGTTTGAGGATTTCTGATGATCCTATCGTGTGTTGGCTTCCCCGTGGAGGAGTTCAAGAAAATTGTGTAGCAAACGTGTCATAACTTTAAAGTTAGTTCATCCGATGAAATTAGTAAAGAGACTCCAATTGTTTTGCATTCCGTTTATAAATTAGTATATATTCACATGGGTGATGGCTTGGCAGACGGATACACGTGTAAGTTTGCAAGAAATTTACACAAATTAAATATTAACACACTTAAATTATGTTGTTCTAAAACTTCGTCCTTGTCTTTACTTTAAATTTAAATGGTCTCTATTTGAGCAGTGGACGTGATTTCGAGCGTCTGTCGTTTATTTCAGTGACAATAACATATATTTATATGTGCTACTAACTTATCTGTAGGTGTTACACACTTTAAGTATGCTAATGAGATTTAATGTTATTTGGTTTTTATCTATCTTTTCATCGGAATTTGCAAATCCAATAGGTATCAATGTCTTTGGCATTCACATATTTTTTATATGCTATAAATAATAAACTTAAAAGATATTTCATGTCAATTCTGTGAGGTCATAAACAGGTTCAGAATTAGTTTTGTGAAGCAATGACAGGATTGATGATGTCTTTTTATCAAAGTACAGTTATATTTTTGCCATATATATATTTTTAGTGATTTTTGCACAATATTGCCTTTGTTGTGTAATTTTAATTTTTGACTTGAATACAAAAATTTGATATTATGGATAATATTAGTAGTTTTGTCAAAATATATAATTAAACTGATAAAATATGTAAATAATTTTTTTGTTGAATCCAATAAAAGTATGTTATGCAAATTCCTAATTTTATTCTGTTACACACACAGTTAAATAACCTTCACAGTCATTTGATGTTTTTATATTTACATAATATTTAAATAATTTGTGCTTAAAATTTATATATATAAGATCTAAATAGTTGAATTTCTGCTAGTCTTGCATTACAAGGATAAAAAATTTCAATTTTCAATAAATTATGCCATGCATTTATAAATTTAAATTGATTATAATTAGTAAAAAATGGAATCTTTGAATTATTTTCCGTATTTAATTAGGAATCATTACAATTTTTATTATGATATTGTTTTATATTCAAACAAAGGAAAAGCATATGGAATGCTTAATGCATATATTTAATAGATATTAATATATATGTACATACTCATATCTATATATAATATAAATAAAATAACCAAAGATTATCTTATTTTTTTGTCTAAATATTAAATCTTATAATAAATCATTGTCATGTTACTCACAATTTGTTTATTTTTGGTTAACATAACACGAAAACATTTGTTGACGATATATGTAAGGAATAATTTGGTGTTACCACTTTAAAAAACACCAAATATCATATATTCCAATAATTCTATTAAATAATAGTTTATTTGAATCTATAACAGGAACCAACAACAAAATTATTAAGATTTTTTTTGGTTTCAATCTTAGTGCCTTTAATTTCTGTTTAATTATAATATATTTTTCCAAGTATCTTGAAACATACTGTATATATAGCAGGGAATTCCCGTTTATAATTAAATTTCACAATTATATACAATACTGATTTTAGTTTTTCTATTTAAAAATATATTAGTACAGTTGTTAAAATATTGATTATATAATTTGAACTAAAATACACTATTAGAGCAATAATTGAGACAAGCCTCCGATTATTAATAATTATTTAAATTAAAATGAATGACAGAGAGTATATTTCTTTTTATACATGACTCATATATATAATAATTCTTTATAAATCTTATATCAATAATTAAAATGTCTGGAGTAAATTTCAAGACACTTCCGATGTGATTCATCATCTATATTCGGTCACTTGAGTGATGTCATTGTACAAATTATTTGAGGTCGCCGTAGATTATGTTTGAAAAATCAAGTGCACGATTTGTGAGTGCAATTGATAACTGATAGGAGACTACACACTACAAATTGTTACATACACTACATACTACATTGTACTACAAATTGTTTAAACATTGTACTAAAGTATTTCTTTTATTAAATACAGGTTATATGATCATATGTGCAATTAGTTTTTGAATTCTTTCTGTAATACAACATATACCTAGTATTTTAAATTGGAGTTACATAAACTTAACTTTTAAGTCAGTGGTGGCTCAGTGGTTAGAGGGCCCGCCTCTCATCACCGAGGGCGCGGGTTCGATCCTGGCCCGGGCAAGTACCAATGTGATTTTTCCGAATCATATGTACTTTCTAAGAGTATTTAGACGTCACTGATTAATGTTGATTCCCAAAAAGAGGGTTGATGGTCAGGCAGGCGGCCGGTCGTAAAAACAAATAGCCAAAAACTATTCACAACATGAAAGGCGGACCCTGGCTATAGCTGGGAAATTGCCAGGTAGAAGAAGAAGAGTTACATAAACTTAATGAACTGTTAAATTAACATACTAGTTTATGTCTGAGACTTTGTCCGCTTAGAGTTCGAAATTAAGTTATATAGTGACTTCATACAAAACACAAATTTCATATTCGTTTTGACTAGTTTAATGTTATCTGACGTTTAAACTACATAACTCTATAATTTTCATCAAAATCTGTTCAGTAGTTTGAGTGAAAAAGCAAAAAAAACATGGAAATATAATTTATGCATCGTTTACATATATTGCGCATTTATAATAATAGTAAGATTTAATGAGTATACTTGAAATTGTGTAGTTTGTTGTGTTGTGTATATGATTAGTATATCTTTGCATAGTAATAAGAAAACGGAGATTTATTAGTTTTTATTTATTAATCTTCGTACATTGTTGCATTAACTTAGGTTATTGAAAATGTACCGTTTATCTGTAGGTAGGTATGTGTGTGACCGTTCGACTTGTAATAATCGCACAGACTCAATAAGACGTGTTTATGAATCATAGTTTTATTGTCTTTGCTTCAATAATAAATTATATGTAATCTATATGATTTGTTTCACATTATTTATTTTGACGATGTCAATTAACTTTATTACTTTGGTGTCGACAACTAATTTATTACTAGGTAATTATTAATTTTTTTCTAGAATCAGTATATTGAAATAGTATAGTTGAAAAATGTATTCTTTTTAGGAAAAGTGTTTCATTTGAAGTTTTTAAATATAAAATTTATAAATCTTAATGTAATTTTTTATTTTATAATTATTTTTTATATTTGTATTTTCAGACTGATGAGAATAGCTTCATGCTGAGGTTGAAGATAGTAGGAGCTTACTCACTCGCGAAGAAGGACATATTTGGTGCTAGGTGAGAAGTGTTCACGATTGTCCTACCATTGGCCGTTGACTTTACAATGTTCAGTGCTCAGTGTTCAATGTGTGTTCTCATTCCAGCGACCCTTACGTCCGGGTGGAACTTCAGAAGGTTGACAGCGACTTCACGTTCGAGACATTTCTGACGAAAACTAAGAAAAGGGTGAGGAATTTGCTTTTTGTATTAAACTTCGATAAAACCTATTGTGTATATTTGTGTATAGTGAATATTTGTGAGAGTTGTTAGACTTAAATAGCATTCGAGTTGACCACTACGCCCCAAAGGCAATCGGCTTATAAGGGCTATAGATTTGTAAGCGTGACTTCGTAATACTAAACGGTGTCAGTACCTACGTCCTCTATGGGATGAAGTAACGACTTGATCACAGGATCTCAGTGGATTCATTCAGATGGAAGGATAGTCAGCTAGGTTGATATGATGATAAATTGTTGTGACCATTGATTAATTAACATCTCAGATTATCCAGACTCAAACGTATAGTCCTATAGAAACGTATAAACATTCCAGACATTAAACCCGGTATGGAACCAGGAGTTTGTGTTCCGTGTGAAGCCCCAGGAGCAGAAGCTGCTGATCCAGGTGTTCGACGAGAACCGCCTCACGAGGGACGACTTCTTGGGGATGGTGGAACTGGCGCTGGCCGGCGTGCCTTCGGAGAGCGCCACCAGCCCGCGGCCTGCCAGCGTCAAATACCCCCTGCGCCCGCGCAGGTCCGTGTAAGTAGAGCTTTGTAAGGTCAACTTACGATGGTCTGTCCATCTGGTGATAAGTGACATCTACAGCCTTTGGTGCTGTCTAAGTTATGTACAAGGACTATAGAGTTCCAGAAGAAATAAATAGTTATAACATCTTTAAAATAGAAAGTATGGAGTTAGCTCTAATGAACAAATCATGTTTTGTATACGAGTAAATTATCTTTGTCAGTACCCTGATCAACACCATGTATTTTTATTTGTAACTTACGAATATATGTTTGCAAGCATTATTTGATTGTTCCGAAATTACCTCAATTATTCCTCCTTTAAGCTTCCTGTTTGGCGCGTAAAATGCGCGATTTAACTTTTTATAAAAGAAAAATATTATTCATAAAAACGATCTTTGATATTTTTTTTTATTAGCGGATAATTTATAGTTGTTTTCAATCGCTCTTTCAAGCAGACAGTAACATTTTTATCTGTCGATATTTTAATCAGGTGATTAATCAGTATTAAGATTAAATCGTACAATAACATACGAATTCAACATTTAAACTAAACGAACATCAAAAAGTGAGAATGATCTGTAATAATTAAAACTGGTTGACGAAATATCAAAGATAATCAGAAGAATAAGCTGAGAATGACCTTGAAAAATGTTGAAATCATTATAACACTATAAGTTTCAGTTATTCAGTGTGTTGTATAATGTAAGTGTATACCCCCAGCGCTCGGTCGCGTGTCCGCGGGTCGCTGGAGGTGTACTGTGCGCTGACGGGGCGAGTCGATGAGCGAGCCTCAGACAATGAACCCGCGCCGCCGGCTATCAACACGGTTAGTACACACACACACATACACACAAACATATCAGTGTTTATCAGTAGCTTGTATTGATCATGTTCAATTTAAGCTATTATCACCTATTTGATATGCCGACCATGTTCATTTTTAGCATGTTATCATTTATCCAATATGCCGACCATGTTCATTTTTAGCATGTTATCACTTATCCAATATGCCGACCAAGTCCATTCTTAGCATGTTATCACTTTTTCAATATGCCGACCATGTTCTTTTTTAGAATGTTATCACTTACCCAATATGCCGACTACGTTCATTTTTAGCATGTTATCACTTATCCAATTTTCCGACTACACGTACATCCTTAGCATGTTATCAATTACCCAATATGCCGACTTTGTCCATTCTTAGCATGTTATCACTTATTCAATATGCTGACCATGTCCATACTTAGTATATTATCACTTATTTAATATGCTGACCATGTTAATTTTTAGCATGTTATCACTTATTCAATATGCCGACCATGTTCATTCTTAGCATGTTATAACTTATTCAACATATTGATCATGTTTATGTATTCAATATGTCCATTTTATTCCTTTTTACTAGATGGTATGTAATTATTTTTGTATTATAGTGTTTTTTTAATATTTTTGGGATTGTCTTTATCATGATCATAATTCAGTTTACTTTAAATTGTTATTACATGATACAGTTTTTAATTAATAGTAGTTTGGTTTGTGAATTATTATTGATATCATTGTGTACTCTCAGAGCGACTCAAATGCAGCAAGTTTGGATGAAGATTCAGTAAGATACTTGTACTTAGCGCTAAATTTCTATCACATATGTACATATATATATAGTATATTCAATATAAATCGTTGATCATGGCAATATATATAAAGTATTTGTTTGTGTGTGCTGTTATCACAGTGTTTTCAGAGCAAGTTTGTATGTGTATAATGTTTTTCTTCAGACCGAAATACATTGATAGCATCTTAAGATATTATGAAAATACATTACTTAAAGGCGAATTGGCTGCTGATTAGTTAAAGAAAAAGAAAAGGAAGAAACTTATTTCATACTTTTATATTATCAAAGCAAATAAAAATAAGTGTACATTGTGTAGATACTGTCTTATTTTGTATGATTTTTTTTTATTAACTTTAAAAAAATATTTGCTTTCATTTAAATGTTCGTTTGTACTCACTATTGAAGTAAAGTGAAACAAGATGTTGCTTCTACACTTCATTTTTCATCCAAATCACTTGACATATTTTTGCCTATATTGTTATATGTTATGATAGTGTTCTGTTCGTCACAGACTGCCACCTCTAGCGTGGATGAGACTGCTGTAAGATATTGACATACTATATATATAGCTAGCATAGAAGATTCAGCTAGATATATTTTAAACCTTTTATTATATATATTAACCAGCTCTACCTAAAACTTTCTCTTCGAATAGTCATTAGTTTTACTATCTATATAATTATTTAATAATTGTAGTAAAATCCACTCATATTATCACGAGCATTTGTCATTGAGTCCCATCAAAATCGGTTCTGCTGTTTCATAGATTTACAAGAACAAACAGACAGACAGATAGATGTCAATTGTAAATAATAGTATTTTGTCATATGTACTGTGTATAAAAACTTAATTTAATATCACAAAGCAGTCGCTCCAACTTATTTATTATTTACTAGCTTTCCGCCCGCAGCTTCGCCGCGTGGAGTTCGGTTATATCGCGTTTCCAAGAGAACCTTTCAAAAGTCTGGGATAAAAACTATCCTATGTTCTTTCTCAAGGTCAACTCTATCTCTGTACCGAATTTCATTAAAATCAGTTCAGTGGTTTAGGCGTGAAAGCGTAGCAGACAGACAGACAGACAGACAGACAGACAGAGTTACTTTCGCATTTATAATATTAGTAGGGATTTATTTTTTGTATAATTATTATTTTACTATGAATACAGACATAGTTAAGTATGAAAGTTAATGCTTTTATAATTATACCATTAGTAGTATGTTTTGCATGAGTAGAGTAGAATAATGAACTGTATTCCTATAGCCATAAAGCTTAGTTTTGACGCTAGGTGACAGTACCGTCGCCAACCGGAGACGACTGGGAGTTGGTGGACGCACCGAGCAATGTAGGTTTGATTTATTATTTATTAGATTCAGGTATATAAGAATATAGATAGAAATCAAAATCTCTCAGTAATCTGTGCTCGGTCCGCTCCTGGTTCAAGCTTCATTGGCATTTATTGTGCAGCGTTTAAGCTGTGCTGCAAATTGCTTTTTCTGTTGGTGGTGGACGATAAACTCATCGATAGATCTATTTCATTGAACTATACTGTTGTTTTGTTTCGTGCTACCGAACTCTTCTTGTATTTAGTCTTGTGTATTGTTGAAGGTGTCTGGAGAGCCGCTGCCTGCGGGCTGGGAGGAGCGCCAGGATGCTAACGGCCGTACTTACTATGTGAACCACGTGGCCAGGTCCACGCAGTGGGAGAGACCTACGTTGATGTTAGTATGGAGAAGAATTCATAGAATGGTGTTGATGTTCCCCATAATACACTCTACAGAACTTCAAACTAATCTCTCTCTTCCCTTAAATTGTCAGAGATAGTTTTCCTTAAGTCTAGCCCTGATAGATATTAATGACGTGAAGATGCTAATTCACCATCACACTCGGAATTCATATACTTGTGTTAAAACTTCTCATCGTCTCTATTGGTGTCACTATTTCCTTGAATAATGTAGCTTTCTTCCTTACTTATCCACTCCACAAATAAAATGTTCATAGAAGATGAGATCATTAGTTTTATCTACATATATCTGAATACAGGCGTAACATGTCAACGGAGTCACAGGCTGAGCGTATGGAAACAGCAGCCACTGAGTTCCAAAGACGTTTCCACATCTCGGCTGATGAAGACCGGCCGCCAGCGAGACAGACGCAGGTGAGTCAGATGTTCCGTCCCTCTCACTCCTAACGCGAAGGAGAGAGACGGACTGATCGCATCCCGGAGAATGTTTGTACAAAGCCTATAGCTATTAGGACAGCTTATTTGAAAAAGCTTTTCCTTGTCGTTCGATTTGATATTTTATGATTAGTTAATGGATGCATGAAAAGCGTTTCAAATTGTGCCTTAATTATATATACATAGGTAGGGTTGTTGCATGACTTTATATGACATTGGTATGCATATGCATGCAATGTTTAGCCGATATAGACGTTACTGTATACAATATAAAGTTCATTTTTCAATATGCTTCAAATCATTTGCAGTGACATTTGGTGTTTTTTTTATTTTATGCCTTAAAACTATAAAATTTCTTTTTAGTTATAGAAATACCGACAGCAACATTACAAACATTTGCAGCTTTTACTCAGTTATAAATTACTATTTTTGATTCAGTAATATTGTCAGTTTAGAATATTGAAAATAGACTATTATAGAAGTACTCACATTTCCTCAACTTACTTGGCGTATGATATTTGGAAACAACAATTATTTTGCTATTGCAACAATCTCTTATATAACAAATATTTCATCAGACTATGAGTTGTTTTGTTAAGTTACTATTTTGAAATCAAAAACGCCAATTGAGTTAATCATGGAAGGAGGGACTAATTTTGCTTTGTATTTTTGTTAATTAAAATATTTTAATGGAAATGGTCATTTGTTTTTGGACGAAAAGTCTTCAATAATTTAATCATTCAGAAGTTTAACCGATCATCTAACTAAATTATTTCAGCATGATCCTTGGACGCGGGAAGACTAACACTATTTTTTATTTGTTCTCAATATCATGTTGTAAATTCAACCTTATTGTGTAGCGAATACGACTGATTATGTTTTACCGATGATATTGAGTATCAAATTAAAAATGTTTTCGCACTTCATCAGTTTTTAGTACACGTTTTGGTATAATAACAGAAATAGAGTATTCTTTATCATTGACTCGGATAACTTCACACTAACATGTAGAAAATGCGATTGTATTGCGAGAATTTGTGATGTTTATTATAAGTAGACTATTTAAGTTGTTAATTTTATCCAAATAATACATTTAGAAGTCTGGGATAATATGAATGGATATTTTTTGTAATACAACCGCTTCTAAGACATATATCGGGTTTACGGGGAACACGGCGTTGTCCTCACCTGTCATAGACGATTCGGCACGAGTAGCCAATGATTTGAAACTGTAGAAATTTTTCATCTCCAGATAAGTCTTTATAGCTGTAGAATTGTCCCAAAAGATCCCAATGTACATACATATATCTTGAAATAAATATTGAAAATATAGTCAGATAGAAATGAAAATCTCTAAACAGGAGGAATCGAATGATACACAGCCGGACAATACGACCGAGCACACGGCCCTCGCTACATCGATACTATCACCTGAGAACAATCAGGACTCGACAGAGGACGCGACACAGAACACGACACAGAACGCGACACAGGAAGCGACACAGGACGCTTCGCAATCAGAAGACGGCGCTCAAGCGTCCACATCAGAAACAACTCAAGAACCTGTACAGGATAATATAAATAAAAACTGTGATACTAATTTAAGTGACAACAAAGAAAAAGACGACGGCTGTCAAAATGACGCTACGGAAACAGGCGGTGAAGTGGACAATGCTCAAGCAGATAATAATAATGCTAGTCAAGAAATAATAGATATACAAGCGACTGGAGACACAGAAGTAGATGGAGAAGGGGCGATAAACGACACAGAATCAAACGGCGTTGATGATGACGCGAGGACAGAGATAGAGGAGATAACATTCGGGAGGGAGAGAACACTTACAGACGAGACGGGCGGCTCAACGGAATCATTGACGTTTGACGAGAACCATTTCAGCACGCCGACGGGAGGCGTCACGCCGGAGAGAAGGATGTCACCTTCACGACGGCGGACGACCAACTCGCTGACCGAGTCGGAGGTAAGGGCGGGTTTGAGGGAGTTGAGTTTGTGGGATCTGTGCTGTGTGTGATGCACAGTGTCACAGAACATGACCGAGCCTGTGTTCGCTTGGACAGTTGTGTGCTGTGTGGGCGGATTGTGTCCATGACAGGGGTGGCGACCGCGGGTCATAGGTTACACACGCTTCGACTAACATGCTAATAAATGCCACGACCATCACTGTTGTCCTTCGCGCTTTATTCATGCGTTTTAACAAATGTGTGACTGATAGGAAGACGTACTGCGATGATATTTATAATAAAATATATGTTAACTCCAAAAAAATTGAGGTTCTTTTTTCTTCGCACATGCTTCTCTATTCCTCACAGATCTGTTTGTAACGTACTCTATGCTCGGTCCTGTTACAACTAAAGCCTGATTAGGTTATTTAGACTCTAGATTAAATATTTTTGGTGATAAGTTCATTTAAACATTTTTGGTCATTAGTGCCGATATTTTCTTCGAAATTATTCTTTTTACAAATAATTTAATAAAATAAATAGGATAATTGTATACGTTCAAAGTCCTTTAGTCTATACGTAGCGTTATATAATAAGACATCATAAACCGTTTCGTTAACACATTGAAGTTTTTCCATGAGATTACAATCTGTAAGTTTCATTTGATATATTTCTTTGCTTTTGCCTGTAATGTGTTTCGTTCGTAGATATTTCTGCCTGTGCATGTTGTAGTTATAAATGTGGTGTATTTGCTCTACAGTTTGAATGTTGTCTGAGTGTTATAAATAAACTTCCATTTGTGAACATTAAACTAATAGAATGCATAAACTTAACAGTAGTTTACTAAAATCTGTAGAACGTAGGTAGCATTGAAAGACTTAGCATTACTAGAATATCAACATGTGTGTGTTTTTCATATGATAGATGTTTTTATATGGTGATGTTTGTTAGGACGAGACCGATGGATCCTCGGAGAGTACTCGGAGCACCAGCTCGAGCAGCAGCCAGAGTCAGAACCTACCGAACAGTGACGGTGAGAAATATATACATATATACCTGACACTATATGCCATATACATATGTACATAACGAGACATAATGCCTCTTGTTGTATTCTAAATTACACACACTGATGATTTATAAAATATTCACTAATAAGATCTAAGATTTTCGCGAATAATCATTTAAATGAAACTAATATTTTATTAGTTTCATTTAAATATTTACTAATTTAGAGATACGTATCTATTGGAAACCTATTTTGCTTTAAGTGGCGCTAATATTGAAGTCAGCACTTTATAGCAACAGAAATCATATTTACAAATAAAATATAGTCAGGTAATTCCTTAATGACAATTTATCCAAATCGAATACAAAATGATGAAAATTATTTCACTTGCGTCTTAATCAATGTATTATTAGTTTTTGTACATTGTTCTAATCATTAATTCCAGAGAAAATGTCCACATATATTTAATGTTTAATATAAATATAATTAATTGCAGGTCTGCCGTCCGGTTGGAGTATGCAGCGAGCTCCGAATGGAAGAATATTCTTCATAGATCACAATCAGAAAACTACTACATGGATCGATCCCAGAACAGGTACACTCCTCAATAAAGTAATTGTTGGATTGAAGCTGTATATGGGCTATAATAATCAACCATAGGATAAATTTTCGATTATATACACATGTATATATAAATACTTATTATTTACAACTCTTTTTTCTAAGAGTCCAGTGAAGTTTATTTAAATCTTTAGTTACAGAAGATTTGTGTTTGGAAAAAATTTAATATAAATAACAAAATATATGTATAAATAAGCAAATCGGTGAATAAAAAACTATAAAAGTTGTTGAAAAACAGTTATAAATAATAAAAAAAAGAAATAATTTCTCATACTACTTGTTTGGTGGTGGGGATTTGTAGGCTTTATCTATTTTGAAATAAATATCAAGTGAATCCTTATTTTTTATCACATCAAACACAGTCCTTTCATCTATGTAAAAATCAACTAAGGTCTACATGAAATATTGAAGCATTCGCAGTTTAGAAAATGTGCTTATTCCAAATTTAGCCAATTCACTTTAATAACTTAATATTTTTGAATACGACACACTAAACCCAGTGCTAATTTTGGATAATTAAACGACATAACCAAAATATTAACAACTATGAGTACCTAACTGAAGGCCTAATCTGTACTCAACCAAATACAGTCTTATTCAACTTGTCAAATCTCCAAAAATCTGGTTTATCAATTAGTGTTGAAACCAATATCTTATTCTTTAAAAAGGCCAAAATAATTGTCGCTTCTTTATCCAATAGAACTTTGGTATACTTATTGTATTTATTTCTTCCCTAAATCCCATTGCCTTGGGACGTGCTACTACTTGGGTCGCTAACTACGTTTTGCTCACATTCACCATACAAGTTTCTATAATGTTTATCCATCTAGAGTGTATCTAATTGATCTACTTATGTTTCAGGCTGTGCGTCCAGCCTACCCTCGGCAGCGGCGAGTGCGGAGGTTGACACGGATGAGTTGGGCGCGCTGCCCGAGGGCTGGGAGGAAAGAGTACACACTGATGGAAGGATCTTCTTCATAGACCACAGTGAGTTACACGGCTTAGAACAGACTCGGTTTGAGTGTAATTATTTCAATGTCAGTTTCGCTTAAAGATTCATTAAATGAATGAATGAATGAATGAATGAGTGCTCTCAATAAATGCCGGTGTACGGATAAACCCGACAGGGATTTTGTAACACCGTAAAAGAAATTTGTAATGTTCAAACTCAAACTCAAATAACTTTATTCGATATAGAAGCATTACACTTTCTTATTGATGGTCACTTGAGACACTACCACGTTTTATATAAATAAATAATAATAAAAAAGAATTAGATAATATACAGGGTGACTGGTGAATTACTATCGATATTTGAGGACGTGATATTTGACGATCATATATAACAAAATAAAAATTAATATAACATAAATATTAATAAACTTCTAAGTAAAGTTAACCAAAAGTTATGTAATTAATTACGCATCGTATGAACACCCTACAGATTAGGTATACACACACACTCACACAGACGCGGCGGCGGCGTAGTGTTGTATCAGCACGCCACCGCACGCGTCCACACTTGGAACACTTGGAACGTGTACACACTTTATTTATTTATACGGAAATTTGGTCAAAAATTAAGTACCTATTTTTTTTACATAATTCGAATGAGAATCATGTACCGAGTATGCTCCTTATATATTGATAGTAATTCACCAGTCACCCTGTATATTGCAAATATTGTTATATGTTCGCGTCTTACCTTGAAAATATTATCAGAATTTCACAATCACATTACAGACTTCATCTGTTACAAAGCTGTTTGGTATTGTTATGAGAATAAAATATGTATTATTCACAAAGCACTCGCCAACGAACAATTTAAGATCATGTAAAATAAATTCAGATAAGAAAAAATACCATTACCATGTATACCACATCTTTTTCATACAAATTACCGAAAAGCATTCTAGGACGTGGAAAAACTGGTGACGAAACTATGATATTAGGAATGTATACTCTATTCAATCTCTTCTTCTTCACCTAGCAATTTCCCAGCTTTAGCCAGGGTCTGCCTTACATGTTGTGAATAGTTTTGGCTAATTTGTTTTCACGACCGGCCGCCTGCCTGATATCAACTCTCTTTGGGAATAAACTATTCAATCTAAGATACATACTCATATTCTATTCAACTCATGCATACTCTATTCAATCTAAGATAAGAAAACCATAGAGTGGCATTACCATGAAATAATTTTTGTAACACAACGTGTATCTCATTTCAGACACTCGCACGACCCAATGGGAGGACCCTCGCCTCTCCAACCCTCAGATCGCGGGTCCGGCCGTGCCTTACTCGCGGGACTACAAGCGGAAATACGAGTATCTCAAGAGTCAGCTGCGAAAACCGGTTCGTAACAAACATACACACATACAAACATACATACAAACCAATCATTTTATATTTCCTTATCGTCGGAGATAGTGCAAATCCGAGTTACTAGCATTGGATAATTCCGCGTATCTACATTGGAAGCAGATTATTATCAGAAGAAAGTTTTAGCTGAAATATTTTATATATCAACGATTTAAAGGTAATTTTTTCACAATTAGTTATTATTTAGTGTTTAATTATTTACTAATTGCGAAAAAATTACCTTTAAAATCGTTCATTTATAAAATATTTCAGCTAAAACTTTCTTCTGATAATCAGCTTCCAGTATAGATACACGGAATTATCACGGATTTGCACTATATCCGACGATATACAGACCAATCATTATATATTTCTCCAAGTAACTGTTAATTGTTCATAATTTCGTTCAGTTCATAATTTCGTTCAGAGTTCAGTCAGTCGTTCGTTTGGTTATTCCTAACACTAACAGTAGTAACTGTATATACAGGGTGACTGGTGAATTACTATCAATATTTAAGGAGCATACTCGGTACATGATTCTCATTCGAATTATGTAAAAAAAATAGGTACTTAATTTTTGACCAAATTTCAGTATAAATAAATAAAGTGTAGACACGTTCCAAGTGTTCCAAGTGTGGACGCGTGCGGCGGCGTGTTGATACAACACCACGCCGCGCGCGCGCGCGTGTGTGTGTGTATACCTAATCTGTAGGGTGTTCACACGATGCGTAATTAATTACACAACTTTTGGTTAACTTTACTTAGAAGTTTATTAATATTTATGTTATATTAATTTTTATTTTGTCATATATGATCGTCAAATATCAGGTCCTCAAGTATCGATAGTAATTCACCAGTCACCCTGTATATATAATAAGTGAGTTGGCCTTACTATTGTGCAGAGCAACGTGCCCAACAAGTTCGAGATCAAGGTGAGACGGAACTCGATCCTGGAGGACTCGTACCGGATCATCAGCTCCGTGAGCCGCATCGACCTGCTCAAGACAAAGCTGTGGGTGGAGTTTGAGTCCGAAGTCGGCTTAGGTGAGACAAAGACCTTATTTAATTAGTTATTACTCATATAACTAGTGTTTTATTATGCGACCAGTGTAATATGGTATCTGGATATTAAGGTGGTAGAGCCTAGCTGTGGACTTACTACAGCTCGAATATGAGATGGCTCAAACGAGGAAGTTAACCTTCTCACAGGAGATCGGCGTAAAGTAGTCTTTAGTGGCTGCGTTGCGTCCGATTAGTGTGAGAAACAATTTCCATATTCCCACCCTTTCCTTCTCCTAAAAAATCAAGATCAGAAACGCATGGCAACATCTATTAAGTTGCAGATGTCCATAGGCGATGGCGACTTCTACTCATCTAGTTGTCCGTCTGCTCGTTTGCCACCTTTCCTATATCCCACTAATATTATAATTTCGAAAGTTTGTGAGTGAATGTTTGTTACTTCTTCACGCTCAAACGGCTGAACGGATTTTGATAAAATTTTGTATACAGGAAGCTGACATCCAGGAATAACATATAGGCTACTTTACATTCCGGAAATCCACGGGTAACATCGTGGGGCGCAGCTAGTATAAAAAATCCTAAACAGGAATCTTAATTTAATTATCTACGTACTGCTTATACCCTACAGACTACGGCGGTCTCGCTCGCGAGTGGTTCTTCCTTCTATCCAAGGAGATGTTCAACCCCTACTACGGTCTGTTCGAGTACTCAGCAATGGACAACTACACGCTGCAGATAAACCCCAACAGCGGGGTCTGTAATGAAGAGCATCTCAGCTACTTCAAGTTCATAGGGAGAGTGGCCGGCATGGCGGTCTACCACGGGAAACTACTCGACGGTGAGCTAACACACTGGAATAATGAACAAATAAAAAATTTATTCATTAGTCTTGAATTGTACCTAAATAATGTAGCACCTGACAAAAATATGGCTTTTGTAATGATTATGCCGTGTACACATGATTAGGAATATAATCAAGCTAAAAATAAGCTGTAACTCATATGTAATCCGGATTGTGTTCTGTTTCTGTGCCTCAATGAATAAATAAATAAATGACCTTGAACAGGTCATGTAGCTTTGGTTCATCGACATCATTATGTAGAGATAAGACTTCCGCGAGTATTCATTTAAATGAAACTAATATTTTTCGGATTATATTCGACTTTATTTTTGTAAAAAAGATATGAATTTAAAATATCGTCTGCCCGTGATCACTGTTGCTGATAGCCGAAACGTTGGGAGTATGTAGTTTATACAAAAATAAAGTCGCGTAGTACATCCGAAAACTATTAGATTCATTTAAATCATTATGTACACTTCTTATATCTTTACTAACGCATAGTTTTATGACAACTGTTTGATATAAAAAATACACGCATTACTTTCTTCGGACAGGAGAAGTGGTTCTGTTTGTAAACAATTCATATCCACTAAATTTGAAAATTATTTACTCTATTAAATTGTATGGATAGTAAATCAATAATGAATATTATAATTAAATTAATATAGAACAACAAGTTCGTATTTCAGCTAATGTCGCGTAACTCAAACTTTTGACGTCACTGCATTCTGATTCTACTATCTCTTTCTCTCTCCAACATTCTACATATATCTTTCTCTTTCCCTCAGTGAGTAATCGTTTACCGCAACCTTGTTGAAAGTCGCATAGCGTCGTAGATAGTGCAAATCCGCGTAACTACCATTGGACAATACCGCGTATCTACATCTGACGAAAATTATCAGAACAAAGTTAAATTAAATATATTATTTATTTATTTATTTAATACTTTTTTGCACACCACACTTTCAATAAAGACAATTACAAAAAAAAAACAAACTTAAAACTAACGATGTAACAAAAGGCGGCCTTATGGCTTATTAGCCATTTCTTCCAGGCAACCTGGGGTTAGAGGATTTTGTTTGGAGACAGTATAGGGTGGTACATAGATATTCTTAAAATAAATGTAACCTAAACACATACAAAAATAAATAACAATAATAAATATTCAATAATATACATACGTACATATATCAATACATACATACATACATACATACAAACTTACAATCGTACATACAAATACATATAAATACATATATATACATATATATATATATATATATATATATATATATATATATATATATATATATATATATATATATATATATATATATGTATTTATATGTATGACTAATGTATGTATTATATATATATATATATATATATATATATACATAATACATAATACATACATTAGTCATAATCATGTCGTCATCATTATTGTGATAAGAGATATAGGTTCTTTAAGGACTTTTTAAAAGTATATAGGGTTTTAGACAGTCGAATGCTCAATGGTAGGTCATTCCAGAGAGTTATTGAGCTTTAGTTATTATATTAAGAGCTGAAATATTTTCTATATTAACGACTTTCAAAGAATTTTTTTCACAATTAGTAATTTATTTAGTGTTTAATTTGTTACTAATTGTGACAAAATTACCTTTAAATTCGTTAAACTTTCTTCTGATAATTTTCGTCAGATGTAGATACGCGGAATTATCCAATGATAGTTACGCGAATTTGCACTATCCCCGACGTTAGGAAGTTTCACTTCACTATAGAGATTTAATCCTACTAGCATAATATGTATGTTTGTTCTTTTAGCGTTCTTCATCCGTCCGTTCTACAAGATGATGGTGGGCAAGACTATCGAGTTACAGGACATGGAGTCCGTAGATCTGGAGTACTACAACTCGCTCGTGTGGATCAAGGTCACTCACACTACACTACACACTATACACTAAACACTAGACACTACACACTACACACTACACACTAGATACTACACACAAGACACTACACACTAGACATTACACACTAAACACTAGACACCAGACACTAGACAGGAGACGCGAGACACTACACACAAGGCAGTAGATACTAGAAAATACTTGACAATCAGTAGAGTAGGCAGTTGATACTAAACAATCGAATAGACGATACACTTACACTATTACTATTGAAGTTTCAAAAATAACAAATTGAAAGGATTTATTCTGATATTTCGATTAGATGGAGTAGATAGCAAAAAATCCATCAATCAAAGAAGCATTTAGTTCCATAATGTGTCATTCAATTTATATGAAGAAAATGTTTAAGAAGCATTACAGTTATATTTAGATAAATTAATATATTATTATGATACAACAATCATCTATAAAGGGATATTATTCATATATAGATAGGAATTCATAAGTTTTTGTCAATTTTAATACAATCGTCCGTGTGTTTGTATCTCCAGGAGAACGATCCGTCCGAGTTGTACCTGACGTTCGCGGTGGACGAGGAACAGTTCGGGAACACCATCCAGAGGGAGCTGAAGCCGGGCGGCGCTAATATAGCGGTTGATGAGACCAACAAGGACGAGTACATCAAGTACGGACACACACGCACACACACACACACACACACACGTACACACACACACACGTACACACACACACGTACACACACACACACAGATACACACACACACACAAACATACACACACGTCTCATACTCGGGATATACAGAGGGCGTGGGGGGAACTTGATAGCAAAACAATTATCATCAATGAAAATATACATCTACTGTGTAAAGTATGGAAAATACAATACACAACAATAAGGCAATAAAGTATAGTTCGTTGATTTAAGCTGAGCTTTGCATTTGAGTGAGTGAAAGTAAAAGAAGAGTTAGACAAAAAACTTTTAGAATTCAATTTTATTATATGTTAAATAGATACATAACATGAGTGCTATAAAATAAGCAAAACTTGGAGAAGGTCAGATGGAAATATTATGACTACATCGCTATCGGCTGATGAAGAGATTTACTATCAAAGAGTGAATCTTCAAGCTATATATACTAAGATGGTGTTATATGTCGGCTGATGAAGATTATCATGAAGAGATTTGCTATCAACAAATGAATCTTCAATCTATATATACTAATATGGTGTTATAATTCTCAGGCTGGTGATCCAGTGGCGGTTCGTGAGCCGCGTGCAGGAGCAGATGTACGCGTTCCTGGAGGGGCTGGGCGCGCTGGTGCCGCTGCCGCTGCTGAAGATCTTCGACGAGCACGAGCTGGAGCTGCTGCTGTGCGGCATACAGCACATCGACGTGCGCGACTGGCGCGCCAACACGCTCTACAAGGGCGACTACCACGCCAACCACCTCGTGGTGCAGTGGTTCTGGAGGGTGAGGGATACGGCTACTAAATATACTATATACAGCGTCTCATCTAAAATAATTGTATTCGAAAAAACAACATGTCGTTATTCTAAATTACTTGTATTCTATAAAACAATATATGTATTTACACTCCAGCCACATTCGATATGGAATTTTAGTAAACAAACCATGAGTCATCATAATTAGGGTTGATATACTCTTATAAAAAAATAATAATTATTATAATTACAACTATATTCACTATAATACAACTTCCTGTTTAAACACAAAAATTTTAATTTAATATAGAATCCAAAAATTGAATTAAGCCAGTCAATACATAATTTATATGAAAATTAGCTTTAATTACCACTATATTATTAGTTCAAAACTAACAACCCTATATTTTAATACTGACGTAAAGTAATCTCAGGTTTGTAACATTTGGAGTGTTTTTAAAGCAATTTATTATTCCGTATATAAATAATAATAACAATTTATATCTAATAATATATTATCAAATTATTTAAATTAAACATTTAACTATGTACTATGATACGATGAAACTAAGTAATTATGATAGAATTAAAGTTAAATGATTTATAAGACGCTATTAATTATAATAATCATAATAAATATTGTATTTGTATTTATAATAAAAATATATACTAATACATTACCATACCAACAGACGTTGCTTTTTCCAGTATTAAAGCAATTACAATTTCAAACATCCCATTGACCCATTCAAATATACACAAAATTTAATCTAAATGAGTCCTGTCGTTTGGGAGGCGATAGATAAAGTTAATAAAGCGAATTATAGTATAACTACGAGGTAATTTCTGATATCATTTTAAAATTGGATGTATTATTTTGGCGATCTATATTATTCCAGATGATCATAAGTATTATAATTATAACCAAGAATGCGCTTAGTCCTTTGTCTTAAATATTTTATTATTAATCATCAATTTTAATTTTTATTAACATTAAAAATAATTGTTGTACATATTTCTAAAAATGCTTGGAGCATCTGCCTGACGTTGGTTGCTAAGCAACGCTTTAATATAAACATTCCACATCGAATTTGGCTGGAGTATACTCCTAATAAAGTATGTAGTAAAGAATGCGTGGTGTTCTACCATAATCATTAAGAAGCTTTAAGGCGATTAATCAATAAGTAGTGAGTTTCTATGCCAGTATATAACTCTATTACGTGTATATACAGGTGGTGTTGTCATTCTCCAACGAGATGCGTTCCCGCCTGCTACAGTTCGTGACGGGCACCTCGCGTGTGCCCATGAACGGCTTCAAGGAGCTGTACGGCTCCAACGGACCGCAGCTGTTTACTATCGAGAAGTGGGGCGGACCTGACAACTACCCAAGGGCGCACACATGGTATAACCACGCGCTGTATATTATACTACCACATTTAGTTCTAATATTTATCTCTATATATACGTCTCTAACTACTTCCTACAACCTTATTGACATAACATGTTCTTGAATAAGAAGTTCAGTTTTTTGGTAGGATTATTATTATTCTTGTTACACGTCGCGGTAGAAATATGAATCAATGACGTCATAACAAGATCTACAGTAATTATCTGATATATATTATAAGTTACAGTAACTTGTGTTTAATTTTATTGTATCTAGCTTCAACCGCATCGACCTCCCTCCGTACGAGAGCTACATGCAGTTGCGTGAGAAGCTAGTGAAGGCTATCGAGGGCTCGCAGGGCTTCGCCGGGGTCGACTGAGGGCGCTGCGGCCTGCTGTAGGGCCCTTCGGACCTACGGGGCCCGCAGACCCCGCGCCGGGCCCACCACATACTTACATTCCTGACTTTACATGAACCGATCGATACCAACCACTGTCACGATATTGTCAATCATTTATACTACAGTAATATAACACGTGTTGAAAATTATTATATAATTAAATAGTTTTCGTTTAAAACTATACAAATACCTTAATCAGTCGTGTTACTCATATGTACTCAACAATGAACAGTGCCATCTCTCGATAGAAACGTGAACTAAATCGGCGAATCAATTAATTCCAACAGATTATATATTTTAAATGAATGTATATATGTATGTATATATAACATGCTTATGCTTCAAGGGCGCGTGAGTCGGCTCGCGCCTGCCTTAATGATTTTGTGATTTCTCGATTCAATTATATATGTAAGGGTCCCGTATATGATAGTATTGCGAGAGGCTTCAGCGGGCGAAGTCGTCGGACTGTATATAGCTAGTAAGGTGGTGTAAGACGTTGCTGATGTACAGTTTCGTCCATTTAATGGTTTTAGCAATGTTCTACACCGTATTTATTTTTATAGTATTCAGTTTTTTTCTTCTTTTTTTTGTAATAAGTTTACTTAATTATTTCTTTATAGTGATATATTTCGTACAGCGAATGTTTTTTTCACTTGTATTAATATCGTGCGGTACGTGTACAGGCTCCGGCGTTGTATCTGATAATAATGAAACATAATTTCACTTAAAATAATGAACTGTTATTTCCTCTTTATCTCTCTGAGACTCGTCACTTCTCGTTCTATTTTTCAGTCCACGTTTATAATATTAATTAATTTTACTATGTTTTAGTATTATTTGTAGTTTTTATAGGATGATATGAATTCGATATATTTTTTGGTGACTGTAATGTTTGAGGTCCATCGTTTGTTACGAGCGTGAGGTCGGAGAGACGTACATACACATATTATGAAATATTGCAAATAAATACAAATGCATCGTTGAATATTGTTTTTTTTTATTCCTTAACAAATTTAGACTACAATTGATAGTATTTGTTAAGTAAAATATAAATTGTATGGTCTTAAAATAATAAATGAAAATGAGTACCTAACCTACTATGTATATATAGTACCTAACCTATAATATCTAATGAATACCTGTCCTTAAAATATATCTTACAAAGAGGTTTTAATACCTTAATATCATATTATAAAGAAAATGTAATCTTCTTCTTCTATCTTCTATATATATAAAAATGGATTGCTGTTCCTTAGTCTCGCTAAAACCCGAGAACAGCTGAACGGATTTATCTTATCTTAGTCTTGAAATGTTTGTGGAGGTTCAGGGAAGGTATAAAAGCTGAAAAAAATTGATTCATTACTGGGAAAACCATAAAAACAGCCCTTTTCTATTTACCATACAAACGTTTTTTTTTGACATTAGATTTGACAACTAACTAATATGTCAATCATTCTGTTCGATTGAAACAGGAAAAATCTAATACATACCAATACCTGGTTATTTAAGACGGAATAGAGTTCGCCCGGTCAGCTATACATATATTACTAATGACGAAATTAATGCGGACGAAGTCGCGGGCAAAAACTAGTAAATGATAAAAAACAGGAGTTAAGGGAAAGTTTTATCTCTAAAATAACAATTATTGTGACTTGCATCGATTGAAGACACATTAATAAACGAAATCCTTATAATCGATGTCAATATTAATTATTAAAACCTGCACGAAACATAGCACGGATTATTTAGAATTAAAAAATTAAGTTAAGACCACCAATTTCAATTTGAGTCCCGGAAAACTTGATAAATATTAAAAAAAACGATTCAGTACCGAAACGTTAAGTTTGCGTCACTCAACTGTCACCGAGAGCTTTTTCGAAGTGAGAAACAAATTCGAAGGTGCACCTCCTAATTAAAAATATATATAGCTATAAAAAATAACTGAGTGTAGAGTGCGGAAGAAGTAAAACTTCGTTATGTTGGAATAGAAACAGGAAGGCGTAGAACTTGATTTTTAAGGAATTTTATTAACATTATTTACAAGTCACAGTGTCACAATAGATTGCCCGCATACTTTCGATCGCAACGCATTCCCTAATGAGATCAAAGATTTTCGCGAGTACTCCTTTAAATGAAACTAATATTTTCGCCTACTTTACAGCAACCGTGATCACGGGCACGGCACATCTCGTCTGTCCGTGATCACGATTGCTGTTAAGTAGCCGAAACGTTGGGAGTATGTAGTTTATAGTCAAAAATAAAAAATCGCATAGTAAATCTGAAAATATTAGTTTCATTTAAACGCATTCCCTCTTGTTGTATCTCTTTTCATATACCCCAGGCCCCACCCCAGGATCTTAAAAGGTTTAACGCAACTTTGTTGGAAGTCGCGTAAGAAATTTCTAGAAGAATAAAAAGTTCACTTCTGGAGAAGGAAAAGTCTTCCTTGTACCCGATCCCGAAATTCAGTTATATTACGAGTGGGAGGCGGGTCGTGTGTATCAAAGAATCCCTCGATTACATCACATCCCCCGATTTTATAAATTAATTTTTAGCAAAAGTAAAATAAAGGGAAAAAAGAAGTCACAGATATGTTACAAGACTTTAAATACTTGTTCAATATTACTGTAGGCGTTTTTTATGCAAAAAAAATCTTTAAATAATGTTGTAAAGTAAAACTAAATATATTTATTTAATTTCTTTAACTCTTTTCTTTTCATACGAAATAAAACTTCTCTCGACTCCTATAAAATGTATTTTATTTAGGGGCAGTATCAAGTGTTATACCTACATACACGGATTGAAGGTAAAGAGAGGTAATAAATAAGGACGTTACTAACTATGTTTACCCGGACTGGTAGTCGTCGGACTTGTGAGTTAAAAATCAATTTCTACCCCTTCTTGTTTTGATTCCAACATTACAAAGTTTCACTACTTCCGCACAGAAGGATTCCACGCACATTTTTTTTGATTAAAAGTATTTCAAGGAAAGCTAAGAAAATATTTACCTCTAATTCTATAGCGAATTAAATAATGTACTTATTCATAGAATTAAAGTGATAAAGGAAAATGCTTTCATATGCATATGTATATATTTTATAAACAGGTACATATATACACAAAATATAATATATCTGTAATAAAAACCAAACTACTGTAAGTTTGAATGTAACCCATAGTAAGAAAAATGTAAAGAAATAAGGTTTTTAGTAATTTAATTGGGATATTTGTTTTGATTTATTCATTGCATTACTTTGCCCCATTTTATACATTTTGTAATAATTCAAGTAATGACATCAAATTTTTTTATTTGTATTTATTTTAATAAAATTAAGGTTTTCGGCTGTACTATGCGCTTTTTTTATTACTATACAACTACTTAATCCCGACGTTTCTGGCTCTTTGCAGGAATCGTGATCACGTCTAGACATTTTCATTTCATCAATCCGTGTCCTTAAACGTACCAACATATGCGAAAAACATTAGTTTTATGTAATAAGTTAAGGGATTGATTGAGACATAAAAAATTAAATTTACTAATCAAAATGTTATGGGTGGTAGACCCTAGCTGTGGTCAGTTACATACTACAGCTCGAACATGGGCTGGCTCGACCGCGGAAGTACCACCCTCTCACAGAAGATTCCCGTGAAGTGACCTTTAATGGCTGCGTTGCGTCCGATGAGGTAGAGAGAGTCGGTTGCCCTGTCCTTATTCCCATTCTTTCCTACCTTTCCTTATTCCCAACCGTTCCTATTCTTAAAAACAAAGTTGGCAACGCATCCGTAACAAAAATATTGCGGATGTCCATGGGCGACGGTAACTACCTTCCATAAAGTAGGCCGTCTGCTCGTTTGCTACCTTTCACATAAAAAAAAATCTTGATACCTAGTAGTCGAGGTTGACAAGCTCTGGATGGATTTAGATTTCAATTATCCGATACATAATTATTATTTAGAAATGTGATAATTAGGCTGTGTGTAGCGATAATTGCCATTAATTATACAAGCGTAATATATTTTAAAATCGATATAAACAAATCGACCTTCCAACATATTAGTTCATAAATGGTTACGTTAAGATGAATATTTATATTCAATATATAATGAATGTTGATCTGCTGTAATCGAGTTTGGTAATGTCAGCTGTGGAAGGACGCTGAGCCGAAATACTGTAAAAGAATTACGAAAGACTAAAGAACGTTGTGACCAGTAGGAGTTACACGCGCGAACACACAGACGTTATGTGCAAGAAATAATACTCATGATTTTATATTAAATTAAATATATTAAGTGTATATAATCAGTTAGCAGTGTTAAAATTATGATATATTAGTTTTTTTTAGTTAAAAAACAATTGTGTATTACGATGGAGTGTCTGAAGAAATTGGTATATTTTGTTATGCTGCTGGTCACTTGTGACGGCAGTTCTGTGGAATTAAATGGTGAAAATAATATTTTATATGATTATTTATCAATTAATTTTTAGTGAACAATATGAATAAAAATTGTCATCTAAATAAATGAATATATAAAAGTATTAGGTCCAATTTTTGTAAATTATAGTAGCTTTTTGAGTTTAGGTTTTTTAGCAGTTTTCATAATTATACGGGCAGTAATGATTATTTTTAATCATCTCTACTTCAAGCTTAGAAAAAGGATGACAAACTGTCAGCAATTGTTCAGTTCTTATAAAATTTTACATATGTTTTATTGAACTATTTCAAAAAGGATCAATGAAATACTTCGACTTGAATACAACTATATTGGCAGCGAAAATAAATATGTCATATGGTTCTAAGAATATACGATTGTTTTCCAAAACTGGAAGCATTGTCTTATTTTGGCAAGTTTTAGTAAGAATTACATAAATATAATATGACGTTCTCAAAGCTGACTCTAAATACTTTGTAAGTGAAGTAAATCTGAATTAAAATATATTTAATAGTGACGATATAAAAAAAAATTAAATCAAATTTTTCGAAAGTAAAAATAATGATCGATATTCATTATTATCATACAAGTTACACTAGACTCTAATAAAAACTAACATCTTTCTCGAATGATATATTTATGTTTTAACGGCACTTAAAAAGAAGTTTCCAAAAACATACCTAATACTTTTAAAATATCCAAGTTAGTTATTAGGAACTGATAATATTAATCTATTATGGTACGTTCACTTGGATACTCTATTAAGACGTTTTAATAACTCACATTATCCTCAATGAAGGAAGTTACTAGTTACGGCTGATTATAATTTCTGTCATTATTGTTCCCTAAAATACGGATCGTTCTCCTTGGACTTGGAGGCTTTATTGTGATAATAACCTAATCTCATCTGAAAATTATAAATAAAAGATCAATATGCGAATATTTACATAGGTTATTAGGTTAAAAAAATAATAAATGCGTAGTTTTTTGGCTCAGTAAATTGCTAGTAAGTTTACTATTACTCAAAAAAATCTTTAACGCAAAGAAAATTGTTGATGCGTTAACAGTTTAAATGACAGGAAAAAAATTTGATAATTGAAAGTCTTATGATGAATAAAAAATAATAAATAAAAACAGAAGAATTACGGCTGAATAAAGATACATTACTTTTTCTTACAAAAATTCTTTAAATTACAGATTGAGAAATGAACATGTGTGTATTGTGGTTGCATTTAGTGATTCTCGTTATTTTTGAGTTAATAAATTCTCAAAGAACTAATAGGTACTAAAAAAAAAGAATACCAACAATTAATTGTTATACCTAATACATATTTCAAAAGCTATCGTAATAATATTTACTCATATTTAATACATTTTCTCTTACAATTTAAGTAAGGTGACACTTAGTTTAAGTTATTCTGCGTCTTTTTAAATTATAATGATACAAAGCGACAAAATTCTTAAATATCATTAATATTTTTGATTTTATGCAAAAAGATACAACGAAAATTGTCATACAGAATCCTAGATGAGAACTAACTCCATCTTTGCCGATGTTGTTTAGTAATAATATATAATAAAACGCTTACTAAGTTGTGAGTAGTCGCTGATAGGTGTTATAGATGACCCACTTTTAAAACAAACAGAAAGCTACGAGAGTTGTTGACCTTCGTTGGAATATTAAAAAACAAGTGAAATACAAGCTAAGCTTTACCAACTGTATCTCGCGTATAGGAATATTAGCTATACTTCATTAAGAAGTTACTTAGAATTGTTATTTATAATATCTATAACGACTATATATATTTGCAACTTCTAGTTTTGTTAGTATCACTACTAGTAGTTTTAAGTGTGAGGAAAATTACTGATAAGATTGAGAAGTTAATTTATTATAAGTAGAATAATATTAACGAAGAGCTCTTAAGTAATTGTCTAGTGCACTTAAAATTTTTCGTCAAAAGAAAATAAAGGAAGAAATTTTTAGGAACTTTTATATAGTAATCATAGGAACACAAAATGTAGTTGTTTTAATAATGATGTAAATAATATATAAGTCACTTTATAATATGATTTTGATGAGTTATTCATAATATTTGTCTGTTTTCACTCAGGTTAGTTGAGAAACGATAAAATAATTAATCCGGGAATTAAAAAAAATCTATATTTTTAAACTCAACCACATTTTTCTTCTTTGGTAATTTTACACTTTATGGTTAGTTAAAATTTAAATTTTATTTTAAAAATAGAGTTAACTCTTAGAGAGAAGTAGTAGTATCAAGTATATAGTAAGATATTATATAGTATGAACAAAGTTATAACAAAATCGAGGACAAACTAGTTGATAATTACATATAGGTTTCCCTTGACCAAACTGATTTATGTTCAGATGCCGCCTGCTAGCAAATAGTTTGTTATTAACATACTTGGCGTTTATCCAGTACTTAATATGTTCAAATATAATTTGCATTACCAATGTAAAGTCTGACGCTTTTACTATGTACTAGTTTTAGCTACTGGCTTCGTCCGCGTGATTTTTAAAATGATTTCAGAGGAAAATACTGTGTGTGAAAACATAATTTTATTAAATGGCAACACCTTCTATAGTCAATACAAAATTATAATGAAAAGATCCTCTTCTAATATCATAGAATTACGGGATAAATTGTGTATTATATTTGCAACCAATCACGGCTGCTGCAACGTAACCGAAACGTCGGGAGTATGTAGTTTAAAGTTATAAAAAGACGCACAAAATCCGAAAAAAAATACTTATATAATTTTAATGAATTAAAATGTTTTGTTTATACATATATGAATACTCGCATAAGTCTTAGATCTCATTAAGTGTGTTATTCTGCTGTGTAAATTATTTCATTTGTTTGATTAAAATCCATTCAGTAGTTATTGTGTGTGAGCACTCAATATCTAAATATCTTTCGACTCTTACTTACTGTCACACTTTTAATGTAAATAGGATATATGTATCTATACTTTGTACTCTTGTTAGGATATTTATATATAAGACGAGTAACTTCAAAATTATATTGAGAAATCTCCTAATTTTATAATTGTTAATTTGAAAATTAATTACACTTTTTTAAATACGTCCTCATTACAATTTTTGTGGCGAAACACGAAAAAATTTTTTAATTAAGCTACACCTAAAATAATAACTGTCAGAGTTTTCTTTCATTTTCTTAGTTCATCATCATTGATTGTTTCAAATAAATGATTTTTGAATTGAAGAGAATCTACATCATTGAAAAAGAATATATTCTTTAAAAACAGTGGCTATTTTGTGCAGTGAATAATTCAGAATTTTTAACGTGTTCGAAAGAAGCAAAGATTATCTTTACTATATAAATAAATATGTTTTTTTTTAAATACCATTTGATCCTATTTAAACATCAAATCAGTCGTTCGTTTTAACATTGTGTAAACATCACTTAGCCTTAATAAAATCTGTGAATTAATTACGAATATAATTAAAATTTAAAACACATTTTTGATGTTACGCAATTACGCAATATATTTCCAAAATTGGTTGAATTTTGTTATTGATACTAAACGATGCTTCACAATTGATTTGAAATGTTGTAAAAGAGATTTAAGACTTTCGCGAGTGTTTATTTAAATTAAACTAATACTTTTCGAATTACTACGGGTATTTTATTATTTTAAAAACTACATTGTCCCGATGGTTGGTTACTTTTCAGCAACCCCGATTACGGACAGACAAGGTGTGAATTTCATTAGTTTTTAAAATAAATACGCGTAGTAATCCAAAAGATATTAATTTCCTTTAAATGTTCTAAAAGGCTTAGTATTATTACACATAATGGTATCATTATCTCGCCAAGTATAAGTCCAACTAGTAAAAGTACTTTCACCGATCAAGATCGTGTGACATGTCATAATCAAAAATTTAAAGTCGCGTTAAAGAAACTTGTGTAACAAAAAAATGTAAACTACAATCTGGTGATTTAATACATAGATTTTTTTCTATTTTCAATGTATCAGGATCTGAATGTAAATAAAAAATGTGCATAATATATATATTTTTTTCATATTAGAATCGTATATAAATCCTTATTGAATAATTCTATTTATTGATAGTATTTAACTGCCCTTATAAGGTTTTGCTATGAAACGAATTAAACCAGTATAACGGCCAAATTATTAGTTTTTATTTATTTTGAGATATAAATTTAGGAAAAAGCTTTAAAAATAAGGAGAGAATTCATGAGATGAAATACGGATTCCAGTTTTGGGAAATTATGACTTAATATATAATTTGCATTATAAAATTATAAGAAGACGTCACTTTATTTGTATTTGTTAAGTGAAATACAACGAATGTTACAATAATTGAGGGTATTTGTGCCTTTGAAATATCTCAAGCGTGATCTTATTATTATTTGAATTGAGGTTTGTTTCTAAGTACTAGACAAGTTTTGCATATATTTTGTAAAAACTAGGTAAGAACATCCAATCATACTGATAAAAAAAATAATTATTGACATATTAATTGAAAACTTATTTCAAATATTTTAAAGCTTTTATAACGCATAGAAGATTTTTAATCATTTTCTATTTTATAAATTGTATGTGAATATAATAAAATATTTGTTTTTGGTTGTAGAGACTTCGGTGGAGAGTTTCCCACCGTTGTACGCTTTGGATGACTGGAAGCTATGTCAGAGCCCTGGAGATGTGTATTGTATTGTGGATGCTGTACTCGTCTCCACGAACTCTTCACCACTGCTGAAAGAGATACAGGTTAGATCAACACAAGATTCACAATGTTTTAGTATATATAGCTGATGATATTTGACTGTTAATTTTGTATAATATTAATGTAAATTGAATACATCACTATTTTTTTATATTTTTTTATATTAAATTTTTATGTTAACTTCATTAAAATAAACAGAATAGTTGATTGAATAAATCGTAGTAAATGATAAAATACTTAAATGAGAATGAGAAAATGTTGATACAAAAACAGTCTTAGGAATTACTTAATTCTAATAATTTAATTATTTGTTTTCCTGTTTCTTTGCTTGGTTAAACTTCTAGTGTAAGTATAACTGAGATAAAAAAGCATGCTTACTGATTACCAATCGTCTATATGGTAATCTTTTTTCTATATATCATAATTCATAACGTTTACTTCATTTCTGTATATTGTTGTATTCCGTCAGATTCGTAGTTGTTTGTAACAAACACGTGGATTTCATCGGAAGGTCGGTTGCATCTGTGTCAGTGTTGTAATGAACAGGTTTTGATACTGGAGTGTGGTATATACTTATTATTTTGTAAATACAAAAAAATATTCATTCGTTCAAGGTGAGGAGTGTTTAGGGTTCCGTAATGGTTGGATGTAAAAGTTATAATTAGGATATTTAGGGGATCTAAGTATTTCGGATACTAAGTATATATGTTTTTTATAAAACAATCCCTTGGTCTCGGTTCCTTTACAGCAACCGTGATCACGGGCAGACTAGATGAAATTGTGACACTTTCGTAAAAGTATATAGTAAATTAAAAATTTTGTTTCATTTAAAGGTATACGTGAAGATCTTTGATATCATCATGTTATTTAGTATCTCTTTAATGCATTAATTTAAAAACACGAAATAGTTAACACTTTCTTCATGTTTCTTGAACTTAATTAGTCCTAATAAGTTGAGGCATTTAAAAAGATTGTATATATGTTTTCAAAATTTAAACACATTTATTTTTTAGTTATTTTTTTTATTATATTAGTAAATATCATCTAAATATTTTAATGTAAAATTTAACTTTCTTCAAAAATAAAAAATTGCTACTTTTATTACATTAATTAAGGATATATAAGATGTCGCAACTATCGTATTTTGAAATATTTCTTGATAAGAGGCAAGGTCATTTATTAAGTTAAAAGTTTGGAAAACCCAAATTATATTTAAAAATAATAAGGTAAAATGTTTCACTTAAAATTTCTTGTGATAGTAATTATTATTATAGAAACTAAACAATCAAATGTGAGGAAATCTTTAATTCATTAATTTTTTTTTGTTATTAATCTTTTGAGGTTGATAATTAATTTTTAAATTAAATAATTTTTCAAATTTAATAAGTAATAAACTAATAAAGTATGAATTTACGTAAAGAAACACTTAGTAATTACTTTATGTGGCTAGTTTAAATTGGGTTAAATATTTTAATTGGTATTCAAATAAAACACGGTGAAGGTTGCAGGAATCAAACCTGTTGCTTGTAGACTATCTCGCACGAAAGTGTTATTTATTAGATTTTAGAAAGCAATACTATTCATTATTTCGTAACTTACTTATTTAGGAGAGATTTTGGTCATGCCAGCACTGATGTTAAATTCTTATTAATTATTTCACTTCACCAACGGCTTAGAGAGTAAAATATAAAAGAGGATAATTTTCCGATTAACAAGATTCCAAAGAATAAAACTTTTACACTGTTGTGAATCAAATCGAACTGTTTCTAGAAATCAAACTAATATTTTTCGGATACACTCGGCGTGCTTTCTTTACGTAAAGAACTACATATTCCCGACATTCCGGCTACTTTTCAGTAACCGTGATCACGAGCAGATGAGACGTGAATGTCTGTCAGTTGGTCTTGTTATTTATCTCAATCTTAGATGTCATTATGTTTCCAGGAATATTCATCGAAAACACTCAAACACTTCAACAGAACTGTTGTTCATCGTGGTGTGTGTGTGACGAGATGCGGGGAACAGGGTTCTGATATGTGGAATGAAGCTGCTGAAGGATGTATTAATACCAGCTTGGAGGAGTATGGACTTGAAGTGAGTAGCAACTATTACTTATCAACCGTCGCTCTCTGCTATGGGATTAGGTTAGATAGAATCTGCTTCAAGGACACTTACTAGCACCAGAGACGAAACCTTTTAGCATTCAATGGATTCACCGTGCGGGTGCCGGGTCCATCGCGTTGCATGGAGAGGAGCATCAACAGTGCCTGGGACTTGCGACCCAGGTGTAGGTTTAAGGGCCTCCTATCTAACGCATGTTAATCGCTTACCCCCACCGTCCAAGCTCTTCTCTTTATCTAACCAAATTTGAAAAGAACGTACTAGGGCTGCCTTCGAAGTACGTCCCCAGAATGAATTAATGTGAGTTCTTGACAGGCCCAAGTCTTATTTTATTTATCAAGTTTTATATATAATATTTCAATAAAAAATGGAAACTACATACCCTCCATATTGATTATTATAGATGTTAAAATCATGATAATTGTGATATAGTAAATTTACTTTAATGTAAGGAGCAGGATTACTTTTAGTTGAAGTAATTTAGGAATGTGTTACGCAATTTGTTGAAGGTAAATAAATTTTATATTAGCACATTAATCAAAATAGATTGAAGGTCGGTTCACAAACATAAGAAATAAATAATTGAATTAATTATAGGCGTTTATTTTAAAAGAGAAAATTTCTGTAGTTTTCATTTGAATCAGGAGAAGGCAATGGTCTCTATTTAAAAAAAATCTAGTATGTTAAAAGAACGTATAATTAAATTTATTTAAAATGTGTGTTTTTCGCGTTTTTTTTAATCTAAAGACAGTATTTTAGTTATTATTAAATAACAATTTATATTGTTTCAACAATAGTCGAAACCTTTTTAAAAGGTATTTAGATTTAGAAACAATGAATGGATTTAGAAAACCTTTTCACATATTAAAATCATTTGTGATAACAACGGTGAAGCATTAAACTAAATTTATAATCCAGTTATTGCTCACTTGGGTGATCGCGTGGAAAAATATTTACTTGCGTTGCAATAATCCTGAATGAATAAATACAACTTGTTGCAAATGTACTCGCACATACAATAACAAATACTTGAAGAAATGTTTTTAATTCTACATTAAGGATGTTTCATTACAATGACAAAATTAATGAAATAGTTTTAAATATTGATTTAATATGTACATAATTTATTTATTTATTAATTTTCTCATATAATGTAGGTATGTAGGTTTATGATATTATAAATAAAATAATTCTTTCATGTCTTTGAGAATACATCAATGTCTTTTTTCCACGGTAAATTTACGAAACTTTTTATTAAAAAGAAACGTTAAAAAGTTAGCTAAAGGAATGGTATGTGTATTAATGTACTTTGTTCGACAACTTGCTTTTAGGAAATCATCATTATGGTTTCCAAATTGTTTTCTCTTTTCTTTTGGAGTTAGTTTCGAAAAAAAATTTTCGGATATTTTTCGAAGGATTTTTGCCGTGACTACATTATTGATACACTTATTTTTATGTCGAAATCCATACCTATTGAAAAGTAAGGTGTTTTCAGTAACAACTGTGAGGTCTCCTTATGCAATTTATAACTGTTAAAGTTAACGTCTTGAAATACATTTTATTTATAAGTACGAGTATTCCAATATGGTATCTGTGATCTGATAGACTTACATTATTCACTGGGATATTCCCGGGTTTTTTAATCGTTTTTGTATATATTAATTGTGAGATCATCAACCTTGGCGTTATAATTAATTGAAACCCTCAGCTTTGAGGAAAAAGTCATGACGCTAAAATCATGTGAAATATGTTGCTTTTGTTGATTTTGGCCTCTAATAAAGCTATTTCTGCTACTAAAGTAAAAATTTTAGTTAAGCAAATGTTGAAGTACTAGTTTTATATATTAAGAATGGTCATTTTATTATTAGCTCAAATAATATTCTTATTTGGTATGGACGTCTTGTACTGGTTATGCAAAACATGTACCAAAAGTAATTACTTGCTCCTCAAATATTAGTAAATTATGTATGCTTATTATATAATTTATCTCTGTATTTCAAAGATCTTTCTAGATTAAGTCATCATATATATAAAACTAATGTGAAATAGTTACTATATCTTTTCGTAAGTAGTTAATATTTTATAGTTTTTGTTAGTGTAAGTGTGTAAATCTTATTTCAGGCGGATGTCCAAGAAGTGAGCTGGTGTCAGAACAACCAGCCGACACCGATGAGTATGTCGGCCCGAGTGTTCGTCATAGTATGCGCGACGTTGTTTGCTATGACATTAATAGCAACGGGACTACACGCTCTGGAAGATAGATTTGGGAAATTCTTTGGTACATATTAACATTTTCTTTTACAGTCATAAACGGTATTAAAATACACAGTCTGTAAAAGATTAAGCGCAAGTGTTGCGTTTACAGTTAGGTATTAGTATGAGTCCGCCAGGTATGTTTGTAGTATATACCGTCTACCGTCTTCTTAAAACACAGATTTTGAGGAGTGTAGTTATTTAGTATTTTTGTAAGCCATACATAAATACAAGTTATGTAGGAGTAATTCCCTCTTAACCTTGAAAAAGGGATAAAATTTAAAGTTATATAGATATCTGTGTATCAACATATATAGATGATAAACTTAGGTGGAATTAAAATCTGACCATTACTTCTATATCACTGCTTAAATTGATCTGATTATTAAACTAAATACGGCACACTATAGCAGGTAGTATTCAATTATACATTAATAAAAATATTTTTACGGCCACAGTAGAAACTATTCTCAGTTAATATATTTATTATTGGGATTCTGCAGCTAAAAGTATGAGGATATGCTAGATAATGAAAAGGATTATAGATCTGTACTTAGAATGATACACCATGTTTTCTTTCAACAAATAATAAATATTATGTGAGTTACAAAAGAAATGCTACATATATTAAAGTTGGTGTACATCTATTAAAATTGTTTTTTAATTATAATTACAGGTCATTCAATTTTTGCTTATAAGATAGCTCGTGGAATTTTATAAATGAAATCTGAAATATTTTGTTCTGATTATATAAAATAAATCGTATTTTTGTTTTCGAGTGTATTATAATGCTGCGGTTTATTTGTTTTGCTTCATAAATGTAATCATTACAAGATGTTCAATCCGTCGTTTTTTAAATTGCAGGGAATAAATACATCGTGGCTTTTTCATTAAAGCGAAATTGGAAAATGTTAATTTACGACGACAAGTTACGAAATAGAAACGAGCGAACAGAAGATTTGAGTTGCATCGATGGTATTAGGTAGAAAAACTTCTATAATATAAATTCTTAGTCCAAAAAAACATACATTATTTTACTATTAATATTTTTTACCATTCATTAAAAGGATATTTTTTTCCAGGTTTATTGGGACACTCAGTGTTGTTTTGACTCACGTCACAATTATTCACGTATTTGCTTTCATCGACAATCCTGATTTTATTGAGAATGTAAGCACGGCTTTTTTCTTATATCCTTTCTTCCCTCTTTTTTGGCAAACAATTTTATCGATTTATTTCTGTTGTATTGCTTAGCAGTTCCCGTTGCCAATGATGGTTTTTCAATATTTTTCCTACAGTTATATGAACATGTGAGTACCAAGACAGCCTTCAACACACCACTATGGATCCAAGCTTTCATATCGATATCCGGATTCCTCTCCGCGTACTATCTCCTCATTTACACCGAGAAACATTCCTTCACTTGGAAAAAATGTATAATATCTGTTTTACATAGATATATCAGGTATGCTAATTTTTTTTGTGGATTGTTGTTCAACCAGTAATGAAGGTCTTAATCTATAATAACATGCATTATTATTTCTAAACATTTTTCTAGATTAACTCCCGTGTCGATGTTCACGCTATGGTTCACGATATCCTGGTTACCTCGCCTGGGTTCAGGTCCTCAGTGGTCATGGCTGGTGGAGCAGGAAGCTCAGTACTGTACCGAACGTGGATGGTATCATGCGTTATACATTCACAATTACCTCACTCTTGGAAAGTTATGCATGGGACATACGTGGTAAGCTTATGGAACTACATGACCAATGACCATCTTACTTAATTTTAAGAATCTTTTTATTGAACTGTGTCTTCTCTTTCCTCAACTAAAAGGTATTTGGCGGTGGACATGCAGCTTCATGTAATCGGCTCATTTCTTCTTATGATTCTTATTAAATGGAGGAAGGCCGTCATTCCTGTACTGGCTACGATAGTGATTGCATCAATGGCTGTTACAGGACTGCTTGTCTACTTCTTGAATCTAACTCCAATTATAAGCGCACAATCTCCTGAGTAAGTATTGTAGTAACTGTAACTTATATGACATTTAAATTATATTGAGTTTAATATTCTGATACGTTAAGATATTTTTTCTAAGATATAATTTTATATTTCTTCGTTTTAGGACTGTTCGCAATATGTTTAAAGGTTCAGCGATAATGAGTACGATATATTTGCCTGTGTGGGTGCATTTCGCCGGCTACGCTTTAGGCATCGCTACTGCCTACATACATTACCATGACCAAATTAATGGATACAAGCTGAGGGATAGTAAGGTAGATTAAAAAACGTATTAATTATTTCAAAGTTTATCTAAAACTGATTTTTGCATTTAATAATCCAAGATTAATCGGTGAGGCGTTTATATTCGAAAAAATCTTAATTTCTATGGAGAGAGAGAGAGAGAGAGAGGCTTAATTTTTTAAAAAAGTTTTGATACCAGAGAAAGTGCATTTTGAGTGTATTTTGAGCAGTATGGAAGACAATTAAGAAATTGTTGGCTGCAGATGAAGAAAAACATTATCTGAATAACATAACGTAACATATCTTCTCTCCTTTAGTATGTAACCACGATTACTGAAAAATAGTTGAAATGACGGGCCGGGAACACTGTAAAATAATAATAGAGCAAAATAAAACATTATCTTTGTTTAAATATGTAATTGCAAATGTTTGAGATATTTTTAAACTCTAATATACGATTATAAGAACGTATTAATTGAACTATTAAGACCAATTAATAGGAGTATTGATCCTAGTCATATTCAAAAAATAGATAAATGTGTAAAGCCTCATAAGGCCATAAGAAATGGTTGATTTGCATTGTAATCTTCGATTGCTTAAAAAGCATGTCCATAATTTTTTCCCCTCCGTTTGCTTTTCGAAGTAATCTTAGTGTTTTATTAAACTTTACTTAATGTCGTTGTATGTTGTCAGTGTTTTTCAGTCATTTTTCACACATCTCTGTTGCTGGCTGGAGCGGTCACCGTCGCTGGTGTGCCATTCCTCTCAGATCCTCCTCCTCCAAGCTGGGTGACTGCTCTGTATGCCGCCTTCGATAAAATACTGGTGGCACTGTTCTTTAATGTGTTTTTATTGGGGTGCCTGAGTCGTTGTAAATGTGAGTATTCAGTTATCTTATAATATCTTTAAATGAGAAATTTTTGTGTATATATAGGTATATAAGTATATAATCGGAATCTCGGATTTGGTTCCAAAGATTTTCATGAAATTTAAAATAACCAAAAGGAGGCGTTTAAAATATGACACCTCCTGACATCTATTGGCGAATAATAATACTACTTTTGCTAACTGCTTTTCTAATTGCTTTAAAGACACAACAACAGATGTCGTTGTTAATTAATTGGAAGTCAATGAGTGTTTGTTTTGAGGTCAGACTAAGAAATTAATTGTTGATTTATATTGTTAATTGTTATGTCTCTTCTTAACGTGTTCACTTAAAATGCCTAAATAAAAAACACAAAATAAATACTTATAATTCCTAAATACTGAGCAAATCTGGGCATCCAGATATTTTTAACATAAGGACTTAAAAATCATTTGTATTTAATAAATATAAGCATTATTTGAAATTCAGTGCTATGTATTAGAATTATTTTTTTTGCGAAATAAGGAGTTTAATGATAGATACATTGAAATAAAAGCAATGAAATTGAAGCCGGAACGATAAAATCTGTGGGGTACCCAAAAAAACTTGTATTTAACGCTGATATGATTATATTACCTTTGATATATGGATATCTCTCTCATCTCAATGTTATAAGCACCATATTTATTAATATCTTCGCTATCCTCAGCTGTTTTCCGCGACCTGTTGTCGTGGCGAGGCTGGTACTCTCCCGGCAGGTTGTCATACTCCGTGTTCATCATACACTTCGTCATCATGAGGTTCACTGTCGCCAATAGCCCGCAGATTATTCACATCACCGGTTATTCCTCTGTAAGATATGAAAAACTTAATATAATTTTTACTCCTGTCAAACCTAATAATACATATGTATTTTGAAATAGGTATTGCTTCCTATATTTACAAAATTTCTTAATTTTAGATAAAATTTTGTAAATCTAACGTAAAATATACGATGAGTGACCAGTTTTATTTCTAATACTGTTTTATTAATAGAAATATTGTTTTTTTTTTCAGTTATCCTTATTAATAGTTGGGACAGTGCTGTCATATCTTATATCTGTTCCGGTATTTTTGGTGATAGAGATGCCCTTCATCCAGCTTTGGAAAGCTGTGATGGGTCTCGATGGTCCCAAGAAGAATGCACAGACACAAGAAACACAGAATAAGATTGATCTCGTGATGAACAGTAGTAGGAGAAGTGCACAGAATGTTGTTTGAAAATAAATAGTTTATAGTATTTGTTATAGTAAACTCTGGAAGTTGATGTTCACAATGTATGGTATGACTGGATAAAACTAAGTTTTTAATTTTAACATTATTAATTGAAATATCATTATTAATTGAAGTAACATAATTTTACACTATTATGAAGTGTTTGTGTTTTTTGTCGTCGATCTTAAAGATATTTTGTTCAAGTTGAGATTAAACGTGATTCCATCGTAATCATTTGTCTATTAATATTGTTTTTGTCATAGATTTTTTAACCAAGTGTTATTTATCTTTAAGATATAGATTTTTACCTTTTCCAACGATTTCTTATAAGATAACTCTATTTTTCTTTCTACATAAAGCAACGTTCTATAATCTATTTGTCTTCCACATCAAGTCATTTCCTTTGATTTATATGGTTGTATACTCCGATGAGGAATTTCTTTAAGGTTATTGGAGGCAGCAGTTGTATAATTTAAGAAAAACTCTTTAAGAAGTGGTGCGTCATCATGTTGGTAGTTCTAAGTTAAATATAATATAGAATATTGAATTGTTTTAAACAAATAAATTTGTTCTGAAAACAAAATTGTATTTTTTATTTACTTAAACAATAATTTTAAATAGAGGACTAGATTAGATGATAGTACCAAAAACACAACTACGCATTCGATTTCAACACTACGTTCAGGTCATTTAGTTTAGTCAATAGACATTCCAGTTTGTCGGCTAAGCTTTGTATGGAATAAAAACGCCGTGTACACTACCTCAGAGATGCTGTGGATTAGTTTGCATATAGTCGAAAATACGACTTTTCTGCGGTCACGATATCTCGCAAGCGATACTTTGTAGAAGAAAAGTGTAAATATCTTTTTGTAGTCAATTTTACGATCTGTGAACATTTTTTTAACCATTTTTTGATATCTCATTGTTTCAGAGATATAACCAAAAACTTCGAATAAAAACAATTCAACAACTTGATTCAACATTAAAAACGATCGATGGGGACTTTTGACATATCATTTGTAATGACGTATTTAAGGCCTGTACAAAAATCCAGCTTGTTGAAAATTAATGCAAACTGGGATCATAATTTAGTTTATTATGACTGGACTACTAGCAGCGAGTGACCAATCGAGTTCCGGTTAAAAGTCCTACCATACTCAAAAACAAAATAAGACTTCGTAAAAAAAACTGTCACTATAAAAATTTATCAATAAAACATTGCCTTTAAATTGATATAAGCTAAGTCATAATTTAGTACATTTGGAAGTTATAATAAAATATGGTATTCCATATCAAGGATTAATATGTCGGTAACAAAAATATTAATATCTGAATCAATCTTATCCTAAGAGTTAGCATTATATGTAATCAGCAAATATTATGACTAAGCAATTATTTCGGAGTACAAAGTTTATGGAAAAATATTAAAGTTATAAATTATACTATTTTATATTATATACCAATTTCTAATTTTATTATTCATAAAATATTATAGATTAAAACTTCTAAAAGACATCTACATGTCAGTGAGGACTGATATTTTATTTAAAAAATATTACTATTATATGCCATAGTTTCAGAATTTTAATAATTTATTTATAATTGATAAAATATAATGTCAATATTGATATATATACAACCTTCTTGACCTTTCCCTATTCCTTCTCTTTCTTACGTTTTCCCCGTATTCCCCTATCGAGGGTGGATATACATTCGTAAAATTTATGTTGCGAATGTCTATGGGCGCCGGTACTATCTCAATCATGTAGGCTGTCTATTCCGTTGCCCCTTTAGCATAAAAAAAGTTCCTCTCCCTGCATCGCGATGGACCGGGCACCCGAACGGTAAATTCATTGAATGCTAAGACATTTCGTCTTATCTGTAATGAACTACATTTACTTAAAAAGTTAAATATTTCAACTAAGCAAGTGAAATAGAGTTTGAATATTTTTCTTCATATTTATCATGGTTCTGCTCTGTAAGCAGTTACTAAAATATGAATACCAGGTTAAAACTTGAAATCAATTGCTTTGAGTTGGACAATTAAATCAACCTGTTGTATTTGTACGTTCCTAAAGAACTAAAAAAGTATCTATTACGTTACGTATATACATATATATAGGTATAAGGTCGTGATGGCCTAAAGGTTAAAGGCCCGCTCGTGCTTGACGGCGCGGGTTCGAAACCTGGCAAGTACCAAACTGATTTTTCCGAGTCATATGTACTTTCTAAAAGTGTTAAGATACCACTGACAGACGGTGAAGGAAAAGATTGTTAGGAAACCTGGACTTATAATGTCAAATTATAAGTTAGAAATCACCAACTCGCCTTGAGCAAGCGTCATGATTAGTAATGCTCAAACCTTCTCCATGTGCGGAAAGGCCTTTGCTTAGCAGTGGGCTCTGATAGGCTGATGATGATGATATATATATATTTTGGTCAGAAGAAAATCTTAAATAGGATAAATTGGATTAACAGAATCAGTTACAATGAAACGAAGTTTTGTTTTAATACAGATAAGAGAGAAACACAGGGTATTTTCAATGAAGCTGGCTATTATATCAAGCAATGATTAAATACATATATTATATTGTTGAGAAACTCCAATAAACAAGATTAATGATTATAATTACACTTTACGAAGCCCGGATATAATACAGTCATATACTCGTGTGTATTTAAGGCTTAAATTATATGTTTGTTATCACGAAAATAAAAATAAATAAAAGGCAATAAAGAAAGGTGCCTAAACCTATATGTATAATAAATATATCGATGAAATGCATTGGTCCAGAAAATTAATAAAATTATATACTTTTGTTATTAATTTTTTGTTTGAGATCAAACAGAGGTCAATTTTTTTAATAATCATCATTACTAGTAAAAAAATGCCTTCATGTTTTACAAACAATATATTTTTACTCACAATTATAACTGTTTATAAAAGTAAACAAATAAAAAAAAATTAAATGTCATCTACATTGATAGACCAAATCGCTAAGATGGGAAGAATTATTAATTAGTGAATGTTTTATAAACAGAATGTTGAAAAAAAAAACACTGTCATTGTTTGTGTGTCATTGAGGTTAAATTGATAAAGGAAAATAAAAAATATAATAGGTATTTTATAATATAATAAATTATATTAATAGTTTATTAATGTATATCTCTGTCTCTCTCCGTACCATTTATTATTCCAATCTGATGGTGGGGTCTGCCTTTCTGGTCTTTCTCTTCTTTATTAGTGTATATATTCAGATAATATTAATCCCACTAGAAATAAAAAGAAATTATGTGTTTGTGGATCCGTGAGATTTGAAATGAGATCCAATGCGTAATGAGATCTAAGATTTTCGCGAGTATTCATTTAAATGAAACTAATATTTTCGGATTTACTTCGTGGTTTTTTATTTTTTATTATAGACTACATACTCTCGACGTTTCGGTTACTTTACAGCAACCGTGATCACGGGCTGACGAGATGTGAGTGTCTGTCATTCGGTCTTCTTATTTTATTTCTTACCGCCATCGATTTCTTAATTTTCTGGCGTACCGCTCTGAATCTAATCGAAATCAGTCGAAATTTTGTTAATATATTGAATACAAACGAATTATTATAAAGTGTTCGTCATCGGCGAGTTCGCTGGCTCGCCTCGGCTTGCGGAAGTGCTGCCCCCGTTGTTTTGTGCTAGTTTTCCGATTCTCCTATTCGCGTTAACATTTTGTATAAATCTTTAATGCAATTATCAAAATTATATTAAAAGAGGTGATGGGTGCGGTGTTTACAATCTAATCTAAAATAATAATATTAATAATGCAGTTTTAAAGCTTGAACGTTTATGATTTGTAGAAAACCAAATCCGTGATTTATACTATTAGATAAGTATCGGAGAGGCGTCCGACAGTCGTCGTTTATTGTCAAAAGTAGTTATAGTTCGGAATTGAAACATGACGGACGCGGAAAAAGCATTGCGTGAACTATTAGACAAGGTTCTTAAGGAACGGGGCTATAAACCGACTGAGATAAAAATACAAGAAATTTCATCTGGTGGCCGGAACTACACATCTGCTTTGTTTTGTATTTCATTATGTTTACCAGACAAAGAGTTAAAATTATTCGCTAAAGTTGCTAATATTGGACAGGAATTAAGAGAGGTAATGCAGGCTGACTGGTTGTATGGAACAGAAAGATTTGTATACAACAGACTTATGCATCTTTACAATGAACTCCAAAAAGATCTAAACGAAGAACATAGATTTATTTTTCCTGAATTCTACGGAATTAGTGAGGAGACAGGTAAAGAGATCGTCATAATGGAGAATTTGGTGGCGAGTGGATATGAAACATACGACCGTTTGAAGTCCTTGGACTGGGACCACGGCCGGGTCGGTGTTGAGAACTTGGCGAAATTTCACGCTTTGTCCTTCGCACTACAAAAAAGTGACCCTGAAACATTCAAGAAAATTACTACTAATATGCCTTTTCGTATAGGCGATGAAGAACAAAACCAGTCTTCGAAGGATATCTGGATAAAGAATGATTTGATCGAAGGACCACTAAGTGTTCTGGATGAAGGTGATCGAGGTGCAGTCAGGGAGTTTGTTATGAATTCTAATAATACTATGCCTAAATTTAACAAACCCATCGACAAACCAGTTATATCACACGGAGACTATAGAAAAAGCAATTTACTGTTTAAAGGACAGGTAAATCCATTTTTTATTAAAATAATTACTAGTTTACAAAGTATCAAACGTAGTTTCGTTATTAAAGTGGATGGGGTCTTTCTATGGAAAATTTATAAGAACGTCTCATAGATATGATGTATCCAATTAATATTATAATGATAGGCAGACCCTGGCTAAAGCTGGAAAGTTGCCAGGGAGAAGAGAGAATTAATATCACAATGGTAATGTTTCCACAGGATCTCATGTAAAAACACCTCGATACTACATACATATTATGATGAACATAATATATTAGTTCTATATTTCAATTATATGTACACTAAGTATGCAATTTACGACCGACAATTTTGATTCGTGAGAATTATAAGCATAATAGTAGATTTGGAGGAAGGGTCATAAGACCGTCAGTAAAAAAAAGACATATCTGTAAGTAAATATCTGCTAAACAAAACGATTTTTTTTTTCCAAAGACAGCTTTTGAAAAGGGACATTTTAATGTTAATAAATGATTCACTTATAAACTTAGTTAATTGCTTTCACTGACTTAGTGGCACGCATTATATAGATTGAATTTCAATCAAGGCTAGTCAGATCACTGCAAACAAATTTATACATTGTCTATTTCGTCTATAAACAGATACTGTCAAGTCATCATTTCAATATATCTACTACATATTATATCAAATGGAAAAATCAATAAGATAAAGTAATTTCCATAATTTTATTAGTAATGTTATTTACCTTGTATTGACTATTACTTCTACTCAGTATTGTTTTCGTTTAATATTATTTTTGTTGAAAATTTATTTCGACCACATAACTCTAAGGGCAGTATCTAAGATATTTTTGCCTTGTCATGGTATTATTGTCGTTTCATTCGTTAGAGGTCAACAAGATTGTAATCGATAACAAATAAGTTAAATGTAAAAAACATTTTTAGTTTATTCGCTTATTAACTTTTAAAAGAATTAATAAGACAATTGTGTTTAGTTTTTTTTTATTATTTATATTTACAATTACAACAAAACTTATCGTGCTGACGTTCAAGGACAGGTCAATAAAATTACAAGATGAACCCACCATTTATTTCGTGATTAGACAATTGCTAAATATTGTGTTGTAAAGGTCAAATCTCTTTAATTTAGTGGCGTTTTGACTTGACGCAACCTGGATTAAAAACAATAAAAAATATAATTCTGTGTTTGTGTTGAAAAATACTATATATATTCTTTTACACCATACATAATAGCTATCTCACGGCTTCCAAAGAAAGTGATTTATCAGTAGAAATTATACAATGAATTACGAAGTTAAGCATCAACAATTTGAAATATTATATTTGTAAGGGACATTTATATTTTGTTGACTTGTGTTGCCTGTCGTTTGTATAGCATACAAGTCTTTCAGACGACTTTGAGGATATGGTATTGTTGGAGCAACTTAGCTAGAATATTAAACATTTTCTTATTGATATTTTAAATATCAATTATTAATAACAATATTTATAACTTCCAGGGCGATGACCTGCAGGTCCGAGTGGTGGACTATCAGACTGTTCATGCTGGATGTGCTGTGACAGATCTCATCTACTTCATATATCTAGGCTCGGATGACGAGTTTCTCCGTCTGTATTTCGACAAACTAGCAAATCATTACTATACAAGTCTAGAAGAAGCGCTCAAGAGATTGTCTGTGGATCCTGTGGAAGTGTATCCGAGAGAGCAATTTGAAAGTGATTTGAAAGAGGTATTTATTCAATTGCAAAATATGTTTTCTTCGATTTTTTGATTAAAGTATTATATAATACGAATATAAAAAAAACTGTATAAATGTTATTGTTATTGACTTTGCTTTTCGTAAATTTCAGAAGTTACCTTACGCGGTCCTGATCGGCGTGATGCTGTTACCAGTTATTATCGCGGATGAAGAATCAGCTCCAAAAGTCAACAATGATGAAGCCGATATTTCCACATTTATTGTGAAGACTAACGATTTATATGCTCAGCGTTTCAGAGGAATTGTGAGTGATTGTATGAGAAGAGGAGTGTTGTAGTATAATTGAAAGGGTTCAATCAAAGTATTGAACATATAGAAAATAAAGAATGGTACAAATCAAATACAGATTGCATTTTTTACTTTATACAGTAAAATTATACAAGAACTATGTTAGAGAGACATGAGTGGAACACATGAAGACATGGTTTATTAAGTATATCTAATCCAAGGTAAAAAAAATACACGTAATATTATACTCACAGATTTTAGATGGCAATGTACAGAGAGTTACTTCTTTGAATACTAAATATTAATTTTTATAGTATCCTAGAAGTTAACATTATTAAACTTTACAAAATTAACTTGATTAAATTAAAAGTATCTAGTTGACGCAATTTATATTGACTTCGAAAAAGCTTTCGACCGCGTCGACCACACTATTTTACTTCAGAAGTTACAGGCTTTTGGCATTCGTGGTGACTTGCATACATACATAGTTTTGTTATACAAAATATTAAAATATTTTAAAAAAAGGTATACGAAATTAATAACATTGAAATTCCCAAAACTAATACACCGCAGTACAATATTTATAAAGACAGAGTTGAAAGCATTCAAATAAAATTTATGGAGTTTCTTAGTTACAAAGACCATAAAATATATTTTGATAACTATACTGAGGCTTGCCGTCATTACCACATGGAAACGTTAGAGACGCGTATTTTCACACTTAGACATATCCAATATGATGAAATGAGAATTTAAAAAGGCATTAAAAAAGAATTATATCTTCATCAACTATTAAAACACACAAACGCACAGACCTACATACACACAAACACATATTCGCACTCACAAGCGCACACACACAACGAACAATTCTTCCTAATTAATTTTGTGATCCGTGATTAATTAATACTTAAGTTACGTTTACGTTTATACTTTTACTTTAACTGTGTAATCCTGTATTGGTCGTAGTATTGTCCAGTTATATTTTATCATGTCATTATTATAAGCACTGTTGGAATACGAAATAAATAAAATAAAAACAATAAAAAGAATGTAAAGTGTACACGCTAGTCACAATTCTTTTAAAAAAAATAAAAGTTTATGAAACCATGACAGTACAGGACCAGGTATACTCAAACCAGAGTTTATATTTTAGACTTGGTTATTCATCTTAATCAGAATCTGTTTTTCTTCTTAAAAAATATCCCTCTAAACGTAACTACAGTAAAGAAGAGTTTTGGCTAATCTAATTGAAAGGCATCAGAAAAAGACGTGACTAAATACTTTTTTATTTATTTATTATAATCATCAGAGAAAAACGATAATAAATATCAAATCTGTACATTATGCACATTGCTTTTTAACTTCTTTTATAATATCTCCCATTTGTTTACATTCTCACTTTATTATTTATCTTTAGCATTGCGGTTCTTAAAAGCTGATTCTTTTAGGAATCGCAGGCGGTCCTTGAAGTTATCGTAATAAATATGTGACTTGATGCTTTAAGTCATAAAAATAGAGTAAAACGGAACCGCGACACTAGTCCAAAGTCCATGAAGTATTCAGTACACGAGTCCAGAGAAGTAGTATCCTGCATGCAAGAGAACGCAACACAATGCTGTTAAAAAAATATTTATACGAATATTTTATTATATCTCATCAATTTTCGAAAAATGATTTTTTAACTGACGCACTGTAGGTATCACTGATTGCTTAAGGTAATTTCGTTACCTTTATGACTGCTTTTAATAGACTTTACATATGTATATAATACTTTTAGACATGTTCAATAAAAACTAAAACGCCTGTTTAGTTCCTATTAGCATGTTTTAGACAAAAAATTTGCTATATTTATTTATTTCTTTTACAGTAATGTTTTATAAAACATACGATAAAAAATTAAAAGAAAGAAGAGAAAAAAGTAATAAATAAAATATCAATAAAATGATTTTTTATAGACCATACAAGTAAAGGGAATAATGTATTGAATATGGTGATGTTGAGAAAAACATAAATATATATATCATTAAAGACTCTTATTTCACTATATATAAGGTAAGTATATAGTATATAGGTCAAAATTAATTACGTCAAAAATAAAAAATAGATATAGTAATAAGCCTTGAAAGAGATCTGAAAATTATATACTTTAAACATTCATATTATCAGTGGCGAAACATTTCATAATATATTTACATGAACAGTGAATGAAGTGGACGAACTGTGTGTATAAAATTGGTTTTAACATTTTAAACAATTATTATAATATTTTTTTAGAACTAATAGATTAATAGGTGAAATTATATAGATAAAATATGTATATGGTACTACATATACAAATTTTCTACTCTTACTTTTTCATTCGGTTTAAGAGTTTATAGAAAAAAAATGTAAATATGAATGAGGAAGCTATGTCAAATAAATTTAGTAGTCCGCATTCGATAGGGGTTCCTGAAACCTACACCTGGGTCAGAAATCACAGTCGCTGTTGAAGCTCCTCTCTCTACATCGCGATGGACCCGACACCCGCACGGTGAATACATGGAATTTTAAGGAGTTTTATCCTGTTTGTAATAAACTACATTTACGTTAAAAGTTAACAATTTCAACTAATCAACTGAAATCGCTAACTTAAATCCTAAGTGAGAACAAAGAACACGTTATATACAATGAGCAAACATTTAACTTTGTACAAACAGACGCACACTGTTGACTTCTAAAACTACACAATATTAGAAGTGAATGACTTTTACTTTAAACAAAGGAATGCAAAGTCTTCCATGATTATGTAAGGACTTGTTTTAAGCAATTATTTCATAGTACATAGTGGATGGACAAATATTAGATACATAAAATTTATAAATTATAGGGATATTTAAATACTCCATTGTATACACCTATAAAGACTTGCAAGTCAGTGAGAACGTTGACCTTTACTAAAAAATGCGACTATTATTTATCCTAGGTTCAGAATTAAAATAATCTATTTATAATAGATAAAATATAATATTGATATACACACAAGACTATAAAATGACTCATATCATGTGATAAGAAGGCAGGCGAATAATTGAAAGGCAATCGATAAAACAATGCTATTTTGAAATCTTTTTTTACAAATATTTTATAAAATGTCATAAAATTTTTCAAAACATTAGTAATATAATGTCAAAAATAACTTCCATATATTATATTCCTCCCGATGTAGTAATAAGTATTTAAATAGATCTGAAAAATATGAATATTTTTAACATTCATATTAACAGTGGCAGAAAATTTGATAATTTATTAACATGAATTGTGAACTAAGTTAAAATGACGAAGTGTGTATATAAAAGTTTGTTTTATAATGATTCTTTTTAAGAATTAATAAAATATTATTTTACTAGGTTTCCGCCCGCAGCTTCGCCGCGTGGAGTTCGGTTATATCGCGTTTCCAAGAGAACCTTTCAAAAGTCTGGGATAAAAACTATCCTATGTTCTTTCTCAAGGTCAACTCTATCTCTGTACCGAATTTCATTAAAATCAGTTCAGTGGTTTAGGCGTGAAAGCGTAGCAGACAGACAGACAGACAGACAGACAGACAGACAGAGTTACTTTCGCATTTATAATATTAGTAGGGATGTCTAAAAAATAATAGAGTAATAGTTAAAAATATATAAATAAAGTATATATAATTTCATAACAATATTTTATGCTCTTCATTTTTCATTTGATTTGACCTTATTTTTTCAAATACTGACAATTTTGTTGTATTAGAACTCTACGACCTACAATAAGTATAACCTTAAAATCAATTTTATTGATAAACATCAACAGAATGGTCTTTAGGCGTAAGTGCTACAGTAATTTTTTATCACTACATGTGTCAATGTTTATGTTAAAGAAAACAATCAGTTAATGGCGTGGGACATTTAAAAAAAAAAAACAAAGTACAAAAGGAGACTTTCCATTTTTTCATTCACAAATTTTATAAAGGTTTACATAGCCTTAGAAATTCCCTTTCATTAGCTAATCTTCAAATGATGATGAATATCTAGTGAGCTGACAGTGTCCAGAGATACAACAATCCCATTTGCTTTTTTCTACACTGGACTAAGTAAAGCCACAAAACATAAGCAAGTTTCGTAATGCCACTTTAATTGGTAATATTATTCGAAGTCAAATCAAAAGATTTTTTTTTTATGATATGTGATGGCACACGTCAAAGTTTATTAGGGTACATAATAATATGTAAGATCGTAAACAACAGATATAAATCGGTTATGATTCAGCCACGAGTGAGTCATATGTAATAATGATAAGTTATCTGGATGGAGACACAATTATCAATTAATAATAGAATAGCGACGAAGATGTCAAAATTAATATCAATTACATATAATTGAAGTACATATTTTGGTTTCATTAGCATTTTAAGATTTTTGTTAAATTTAATGAACCTCATTTTAAATAAAAGGTTCGGCATGAAAAATAATCCTTTTAAAATCATGCTATACTACTACTTAGTGCTTTTTCTATTTCTAATGTTTTCTCATCGTTTGTGTTTTGGTGTGTAGTTATTGTTTACTAAACCTATAGATTGTTAATAGCTACAATACAATTGGGAATGAAATGTTAAAAATGACATTGCAAAGTCACAATAAAACCTGCTTCTTTAATAGCGATGTCCACTGAACACACTTATGCCTTAAAATTGGATGTACAGATATAATCTTAACCTGTCTCAAACATATGAAAATAGAATTCACCTCCGCTGTATATACATTAAAGAAAGGTTATGAAACCTATACATATATACTATAACATTAATTTTAGAACTGTTACTATTTTTGTTTATACGACATGGGCCCATGCTTGTTGTTGTCGAGATCCAGAAAGTTTAAATCTAAAAAGAAATATGTAATCAGTTTCACTTCCATGCCGCAGACTGTTTTGAACAAATGTCTCACATATCTTTCATCATCATCATCATCATCGGCCTTTCAAAGCCCACTGCTGAGCAAAGGCCTCTTCTGACATTTAGAAGGTTTGAGCATTAATGACCACGCTTGCTCAAGATGGGTTAGTGATTTCGAACTTATAGGTTGAAATTATAAGTCCAGGTTTCCTTGAGATAAGGAGGATGCTGAGCGATCCAGGGAGCGAGGGAGCGATCCAGGGAGGAGGCGACGGAACGATCCTCCTCACGCCCCAGCCGCCGCAGGGGACGCTCCAGGCGTTGGGGATCGCGAGATGATCTCAAGCCACCGTAAGCGCGGGTCTACTAACGGCGAGTAAGGGTAGCTTGCCGCCCCATCAGAACCAGACCCGAGCGTACGCATAGCGTACCGCGCGCGCCTCAAAGAGTCATCAGACCACCAGATGGGTCCTTAGAACCGATGCAAGGCCAGGTCGCGGGTGTAAGCGAAATGATTTACCGCGGCCAGGCTCGGAGCAGGAGTAGGTACGGAGGTTTTTAGTTAGTAGAAGTCTGACATTCCCTTCATCATTTGATCATTTTCCCCTTTAAAAAAATAGGTTTCCTTATGATGTTTTCCTTCAACGTCTGTCAGTGGTGTCTAAAAATTCTTAGAAATCATATATGACTCGGAAGAGTTCACATTGGTACTCGCCAGGTTTTGAACCCACTCCCTCACGCACGAGAGAGGGGCCTTTAAACTCTAGGCCACCATGACCAGTAAATTGTCACATATCTTTGGCACCTTTCAATTATTGAACACTATGTCGCATAATGGTGTGTCATAGCACAACACAGTTATGGACTCATTGTCGTTGTCTTCGCGGTCTGGAAAGTTTAAACCTCGGAAAGAGTATGTACTCAGTTTCAGTTCAATTCTGTAGAAAGGTTAACCAAATGTTTCACATATCCTTGTCACCATTAAATTATTGAGCTCTTTGTTGCATAATGGTGTGCCACAGCACAACACTGTTAACGCGCAAATATATAACCCTCGCTGAACAGAATTGTACTGCTTGCTTTATTTTTCCACTGTTATTTCACTTTATTTACGATATCATAAAATATTTTCTCAGATAATCTCAAAAAATACTGCAAATACTGACTATTTGATACATTTCAATTAAGAATTTCAGTTTTAGCTAGCAGACTTCATAGTTGGTTCCTGTTTCTGATATTTTTTACAGATTGTTTTGATTAGAGGTAAATGCCATGAGCCAATCATCAATTTCGATTTATCAGTAAACAAAAGTCTTTGAATGATAAGGAAACACTTAATTAGTCATAGCGCCAGCTCTATATAACACATTCTGTTCAAGCTGGAAGAGTTGTAACCGTTGAAATTTTTCTACTGGGAGCATATAAAGGTTTGGAAATTATTTAATTTTATAAATATATTTCAAAAATATTTGTCTTTTGCGATATCAAATAGTAATTTTACAAAATATCCAAATTCTATTTACAATATCTCTTATATAAAATAACTTATTAATTAATTTTTGTTTTAGGAGCACTGGAAGAGATCCCTCTCGTATCATTTAACTTCAGAAGCTCAGTTTTCAAGTTTAAGTTTCTTCTAGTCGCTGTGATTTCCACTGAAACATGACTGAGGCAGAACTAATATTACGTGATTTCTTAGAATCAGTTCTTAAGGAACGAGGTTCCAAACAGAAAGAAGTCAGAATAAAAGAAATAAACTCAGACGGTGCTAATTATACCTCGCTTTTATTTTCAGTAAACGTAGAAACTTTTGATAAAGAATTAAAATTGTTTGCGAAAGTTGCTGATGTAGCCGATGAGGCAAGGAGGGTTTTGAATTGTGACAATTTATTCTGCACGGAAAAATTTGTTTACAACCAACTTATACCTCTTTATAATAGTCTTCAAAAGGATTTAGATGAAGAACACAAGTTCATATTTCCTGAATTCTATGGCTTTAATAATGAGTTCGGTAAAGAAACAGTCATATTAGAAAATTTAGTTGAAAGTGGTTATAAGCCTTACAGTCGTTTTAAATCCATGGATTGGGATCATGGCAGAATATGTGTGGAGGCTATAGCACGGTTCCACGCTTTGTCGTTTGCATTGAGGAAGAGTGATCCAGAAGGTTTTCAAAAAATAGCTCAAAATCTGAAGAACACTTTTGATAAAGATGCATTCGATCAAACAACCAAAGATCAATTCAAGGATATGGCGGAGACAGCGTTAAGTGTTCTAAAGCAAGAGGAGTGTCGTGATAAAATCAGAAAGCTTTTATTCGAAACTGACTTGATGTATAAATACAATCAGCCTCTCAGCACACCGGTGCTGGCCCACGGTGATTACAAAATAAGCAACTTACTGTTTAAAAGGAAGGTAAGTTTAGTTTATATATGTACTCATTTAGTAATGTATATTAAAGAAAAAAAACGAATAGACTACTCTATAGAGCTTTGAATTGATAACATAACTTTGTGCTTGCCTTCTTTTTGCATTCATTTCTTGTTCGTTTAAATTTAATTTTGCAATTAATTATATATGTATTTGATTTACATTTAAATTTTTATGTATTCTATAAAATTATTTTAAAAAATTTGCATATTTGGATATGACTAGCGTTTGTTTTCTTTCTATATTTTCACAATGTCATCTTGTCTTCCCGTGTACTTGAATTCGGCAGCTGTTATGTCGATGTTAGATGAAAACGAAAGTCATACAAAACATATAGTTTTAATTTAATGTAACTTGAATTATAATTTAATTTATACATTAAGGAGTTAAATTAATTTCACGAGTTGTTTTAAAGATTATATGTACTTGAAAATTCCACAACTTGTTATGCTTTTATTTTACTCACAAAGTTGTATATTAATTTTTCACTTTTTTTATATACACTTGTAATAAACACTTTTATATACAGTTAATGCAGTGTTGCTGCGTTGAGTTTTCCTTAACAGTTTCCCAGTTTTTTTTTAATTTCTTTCAAGGATGATAAATAATGATTGCTTACTTTGCTTTTCATTACAGAACATCTTTCTCAATAGACAATAACTTAGTAGATTTAAAATATTTAGATGGTCTACACTTATTCATTATTAAACTCATTGTCTTGTGTACCAGATTATATATATACAATCATTTCCAGGGTCATAATCTGAAAGCTGTAGTAGTTGATTACCAGACTGTCCATACTGGATGCCCTGTGGGAGACCTACTCTACTTTATATTTCTGGGCTCAGATGAACACTTCCGTCGTCTGTATTACGACAAATTAATAAATCATTACTATACGAGTCTAGAAGAAGCTCTCAAGAGGTTGGATGTGGATCCTGTAGAAGTGTATCCGAGAGAGAACTTTGAAAGTGATTTGAAAGAGGTAATGATGGATTTAGTTATAATTTCATACTTAATTTTTAGATGGCTTCTAATTAAAATGAGAAGAATAGATTATGGTACGTTACAATATTATTTACATTTAGTGAAATTAACTCTTACCTTTTCAGTCGTTACCCTTCGTTATTGTGACGGCATTATCAGCCTTGCCAAATGTGCTTGCAGACGTTGAAACAGTACAGAAATGGAATTCTGAATGTGGAGTAGAAGATTTTATAAAGCCAAAATTTAGTGATTTATATATAGAGAGATTTAGAGGAATAATAAACGACTTCGTCAGATGGAACGTTATTTGATGAGTTTATAAATAGTTCTAGATTCAATGGTTATAATGTAAAAGTATAGATACATAAGTCATGAGATCTTGAATACAGACTTAATTTTAAAATATGTTTTTCTAATAATATTTAATAAAACGATATTATACTCCTGAAAGTTTGTTAATTTGAACCTTATATTTGTACCTTACTGAATCTTTCCAAGAATGAATCTTAGACATCAGAATGACTTATACACTGGAATGTTCACTTACTTATAATTTCTTAACAATAGTATGTAGTATGAAGTAACGTAATATACTTATAATGATATACTTATATAGTTTTCTGTTTAATTTCATATTAAAAATGAATATCTATTGTCTTTATAGTGAAGGAAGTTCCAATATTTAGATTACCAACAATATTTTTTACATTACATCTAAAAAATAAAATTTGACAGTTGAATGTATCACTCGTATGGGTATTAGAATTTAAAAATTAATTATCATTAAACGTTGCAGACAGTAATTAGAATTATTTTGAATTAATGGTTTGGATTATTGATAATTAGGATATATTTTGTCAACATGAATTTATTTAGAATAAAAAGTAATGTTCCGATTTTTTTAAATTAGTCCATTAAAGTTAAAAAAATAAAAAATCATCAGTATAATATATTATTATTACTGGTTGGGAACTTTGTCGAGTTTTGTGTATTTATTAACAGATTTATGAAACTCGGAGAAAAGTCGAAAACGGAAGTATTTTAAAAGAGCAGACGTTTAAATTATTGTTTTGTATTTTTTTATTATTATTATCTCCTAATTTACGCGACATGTTATATTTAATCAAAAATTTAATAAGTCATAAAAATACCTGTCAATGTATTTTAAATAAGTCGCAAACAAAATATATGATAAAAAATATTATTTTAGAGATATGATAAGTTTTTATACTTGGCTTATGTTTGGAGCTAAAGCTATCTTATTGGGAAGCGCGTGGTGCTCGTTATCGTAAATTTTGATTGCGATCTCAACCAATTATGTGATTAATATGACAATAATACTGATACGATTAAATTTGATTATTAACAATTTTGTATATATGATAACTATTGGACACCTGATAACAATATATATTTATCATACTCAACTTGCAAATTATTGATTGTACAGTGTATAGTTATAGTTCAAATATTTATTGTTATTGTTAATAACAATCGGAATTTTTTATGTGCTAATATTAAAAATGCTAGTGCTAGTGCTAAATATTTTTAGGAGGTAACATGTTGAATAGAGATAAACCTTTATTTCTATTCAACACGTCTTTGTACATTTTGACTAGGTGTATATTATTACTATTTTAAAAATTATTATGAATATTTGATGTTATTAACAAAAAAAGAAACATTAAGGAGACAAAAAAATTTAATCTTACAAATTACCCACAAACACCATTCTTTATATACTTATTATAATCGAAAAACTATTTTAACTAGAACATTTTCATTTCCAGGACTTGTATCTTTAGACAAAACGAGATACGAGTAAATAAGGTAAATAAATTCGGAGCGGGTGTTGACTCATAATACTAAACATTGCTAAACACTACAAATATCATTAAAAAAGGGGTTGCTTTTTACATTAAAAAACTTTTCAAGTAACAACACATTTCTTTACATAGCGTTCAAGCACATCCCTTACATTTTACAGCCTTAGTAAAAATTGTTGTTGCTAAAATTGCACTGGATAGTAAAAGGACCTTTAGCTTTCAATGCAGTTTGACAGCCTCAGGTATTAAGGGAAAAATTAAGAAAGCTACAGGTAATTGTAGCTTTAACGTGACTTTCGTTATGGTGGTTACAAGGCAAATGTTTACTATCATCTATCATTTACTATCATTTTAAAGGTGGTAGAGCCTAGCTGTGGTCAATTGATTGCAGCTCGAACATGGGCTGGCTCGAGCGGGGAAGTACCACCCTCTCACAGAAGATCAGCGTGAAGTAGCCTTAGTTGCTGCGTTTCGTTCGATGGTTGAGAAAGCCGGTTGCCCTTTCCCTTTTTCCCATCCTTTCCTACCCATTCCCTTTTTCCTCCCCTTCCCATTTTTCCTCCCCCTCTTCCCAAATCAAGGGTGGTGACACATCCACAACATGTCTTATGTCGCGGATGTCTGTGGGCGACGGTACTACCTCCATCAGGTAGGCCGTCTGCTCGATTGCCCCCTTTACAATAAAAAAAAAATCATCAGGAATCACATAATCACGATCTGGTTTTTAAGCAGATTGCATACTAAATATATTCTGCCATGTTTTACCTGGTTGATTTATAATTTTATATGAGTACTATCATCAATATCTATTATTGTAGATGGCGAGTTTTCGGGACGCCTTTTTTTGGCGATTTTATAAATATAGGTTATAGTCGACGTGAATTACATAGATTTAAGTTGTTTTGAAGTCAAGTTAAGACAATTCACTTCATTACGAGAAATTGTGCGACGTCTTGACTTTTTCAGTGTTATGTCACAAATTCCCAAACTTCCTAATTAAAAAGCATAATCATTAAGCACTATATGGCGTTCACGTAACGTTTTACACACTAATCTGTGACAGTATAAATTCACAATCAAATCCATCTGTCATAATTGATCGAAGTAATTACTAAAAAAAGCATAAATTTTAAAACACTTTAAAATCACTAGAGTAGAATCAACACACATCATTAGAGTAGAATCAACAGCATTATTTTATTTGCAATAAAATAATTTGATTTTTTTTTTGCCCCTCTCTATAGCCATTTCAATAATTATAATTATTATTTGTATTCGAACTTTCAAAACTCAAATTAATTTTACGATATCAGACGCCTTGTTCATTTATATAGCAAACATACCTATATACAAAATACCTTATTCGAAATGTGGAACTTAAACCATATTACAAACACCATAAATATATCAGTGAATAATTTGTGCATAGGGTAAATTACAGTCGGAATGACCACGATGGTCGTTAGAATTTATATCTAATACTAAGTACATTTAAATAATTACGCTATGTATTATATTAATATATGACTGTGTCCAGAGACAGTTATAATTTCACTACGGTGACTCGGTTTGTTTGTCTTCAATACTGAGTAAATAATTGAAAAACTGTTTTAGTGTCATTGATTTTTGTATTTCCATTTTTATGGCATAAAGTCGTATGTAACAGATTTCAGTTCACTGTTGAAGTTGTATAAAATGCAATAAAATAATAATATAATATTAATAAAAAAGTATTTATTTCATTCGACAAACTTATTCATGTTCCCCAAACAGTACTTAAGATACAGACTTTCGTCCAACAAATAAAAACGTTGAAATCTTCAAAATATTTACGATTCCAGTGCGAATGAAGCTAAACCACAAAAAAGATGACATAATGAAGTTATATTGCTCCCAATTTAATCACATCATTCACGATTCCCTTAAATCTCTCTTCAAACAACTTGTTCGGTTCTATCACGAAGGCTGATGAGTCATTGTGCTCCATTTTCGGTGCTAAATCAGGATTGACGGTCACTACCGGTAAGGCAATCACGGCGATTACCAATGCGTAAGGTAATAACTGAAAATATTAATACGTATAATACATATTATAAAAAACTAAGCAATTAAATGATTAAAATTGATAAAGTTTTTAAAGTTTATTTGAAATCAAACAATCTACAAGAAATTCGTTCTTTCATTCGAAAATGAGATTATCTATGTTTATCTTTAGTGTACATCGTTTTTAAATGACAACCAGTATAAAAGTGTCTGATGCTTTGTTATACAGGGTGACTGGTGAATTACTATCAATATTTAAGGAGAATACTCGGTACATGATTCTCATTCGAATTATGTAAAATAAATAGGTACTTAATTTTTGACCAAATTTCCGTATAAATAAATAAAGTGTGGACACGTTCCAAGTGTTCCAATTGTGGACGCGTGCGGCGGCGTGCTGATACAACACCACGCCGCCGCACGCGTGTGTGTGTGTTTGTATACCTAATCTGTAGGGTGTTCACACGATGCGTAATTAATTACATAACTTTTGGTTAACTTTACTTAAAAGTTTATTAATATTTATGTTATATTAATTTTTATTTTGTCATATATGATCGTCAAATATCACGTCCTCAAATATCGATAGTAATTCACCAGTCACCCTGTATAAACCCTTGAAAATGATTCAATTTGTCAAGTTTTGTAAGATGAACTCTCGAAAAACTAGTGTGGGTGTTCCTTTTAGTGCATGTCGACAAATCGATTTAAAATAATATTTATTTGATGACATAATTAAAAAAAAGAACTTTTTCCTGAAAGTTTCAATAAATTTTAAGAATATTAATTACAACCATCAAATTTCTTTTAATTTTGCAATTTAAAGTTAACATCTTCACAAATATTATTTTCAATGTGTGTGTATCTTTATATTGAAATTTTTACATTAAAATATTCGCCAGCAAAAAAGAAATAAAAGAGTCAAATGGAAGGAACATTTATGTTTTGATGTTGGATTACAGATGTATTTTGTTTTATAATCGTTCTTAAAAATGAATAGGTTCAATTATTTTCTTAGATAATTTTTATAATGAATTATATTATTAAATATAATTATTGATAATTTTTATAATTATTTGCAAATCTCACCTCTTTTAAGTCACTATCAAATTTTTCCCTTGGATATACTTCCATTGGATCTACGGCCAACCTTTCGAGGGCCTCTTGTAGACACTTGTAGTAATGATTAATTAGGTTATCATAAAATAAACGGCGGAAATTTTCGTCGCTGCCGAGGAATATGAAGTATACTAGGTCCGCCACAGGGCATCCCGCATACACCGTCTGGTAATCCACTATCTTTAACTTCAGACCATGACCCTGGAAATAGGTAATTCAAATATAATCTTACTTCACGTTCTTCCTTGAATATTATAATTTGAATACCAATTGGTGAATTAAATTTTAAAATAAAAAACATCGAAATTACACACTTCACATATTGAAGTTATAGGATCTTTTTATTGAGAAAAAAATAATTGAAGTTATAGAATATTCTTATTTAAAAAAAAAAAAAAATTAACTACACTTTCTAAGTACATCTTTTCAGAACCAACTATTTAAAGTTTCACTTCAGGAATAAACCAAAAACCCTACTCAAGAATATAAAATTGAAGCAAGACTATTTCTACAAATGAAAATATATTCTTTTTTGGAACCAATCAATTACACACCTTCCTTTTAAATAATATGTTGCTTAATCTATAGTCTCCGTGACATAGAACAGGTCTGCCGAATGGTTTAGTATACTTGGTCATGAGATTTTCTTGATCCAGAAATTTTTTAACTAGATCCCTCTGGTCGTTACTTAATATTTCAAGAGGTTTTTCTGCCATTTTCACAAACATACTTTTAGATGATGGGTCATCTTTCTTCACCATATCAAATTCCATATTATCTGTAAATTTTTTAAACATTTCAGGATCTTTTTTTTCTAAAGCAAAGGACAGAGCATGAAATCTCGCCAGATTCCTAACGCTAGCCTCGGCATGTTGCCAATCCATTGATTTAAAACGATTGTATGGTTTGTAACCATGTTCAACTAAATTCTCCATAACTATTGACTCTTTGCCAAATTCATCATTGCATCCGTAATATTCTGGAAATATAAATTTGTGTTCGTCGTCTAAGTCTTTTTGTATATCATTGTAGAGATGTGCTAGTTTGTTATATACGAATCTTTCTGTGTCGAACATCCACTCAGCATTCATCGCAGCCCTCATCTCTTTGCCGATTGTAGCAACCTTCGCAAACAGTTTTAATTCCTCATTCGGTGTTTGAACTTTTACAGAAAAAAGAGCTGATGTGTAATTTGCTCCATTCGTTTCTATTTCTTTTACGTTTATTTCTCTTGACTTAATATCTCGTTCATCAAGAATTTTATCCAAAAGAACGCGTAGAGATTTTTCAGCTTCAGTCATTTTGATTTCTGTAATAATAGGATTAGTAAAAAATATATAAATTAGTTAAATAAATCGTTTTGAACCACTCGTACCAATTTCAACAAAATATGCATGTACATATTTAATTAATCCAACTGTTACAATTCTTATAAATTGTTTTTGTTTAAAAGAAATAAACTGAACATTTGAAACCTATGAAATGTGCAAAGTTTTGTCTGCAGGTATTTATAAAATTAAAGGAAATTAATAAACAGATAATCTTCAAATAGTCTAGAATTCTTTTGAAAGAATTAATAAAAATAAAAATTCTGAATTCCTGAATACAAATGTAAGTGATAATAATATAGATGGGGGGTATATCATGGACTGTACATTATTTTTTAAATGATTTATCTCCAAGCTGGCAAAATATTTATTACTTACTTAGCTGCAAAACTAGATAAAAAAATATTTCACTGCAATAAAAACTCTTTGAAATTTTATTTATAATAACTTTCCATGCTACCTCGAGTCAGTGATGTGGTGAAGTGAAAAGTGACATTTTCATTTGCTTATCATCGATATCGATAACTATGTTGCAATAAAAATAAAGATCATGACAATTACTTTGTATAAAAAAATTATATTTATAAGTTTTCAATTTAATCAATTTTGCTTTTTAACTTTGTTATAAAGCAATCAAGTTACATAATTAAATGGTAATTAAAAGTAAACAAAAAACTTTTGGGGTTTTCTAAGATCCGCATACGTAATTAAAGTAAATTCTTGGTAAATAAACTAGTTTTAAAGAAGGTATACAATTTGATAGAAGATATGCCCGTAATTTAAATTATAAATAATATATGCCTGCTAAAACAAAATAGTTATCTAAGCAGTACCAGATCAGACAACAATATATATATTTAAAACCTTTTAGATTCTATAAGTACCACAAAAAAATTAGAAAATACTTACAAAAAATATACGTATTTTTAATAAACAACACAAATTTGAACTTGAAATCGTTTATGCAATAATAAAAAACATAATAAATAATTATCTAATCGTGAGATAAAAGTCCTCAAAATTGTTTTTGCTAATCATTGTGACAAACAACTTAAGGAATGTTTTTTGCCACGAGCCTAGAGATAAAATGTATGTTTATTATTATTGTTTTAAGTGGTAGAGCCTAGCTCTGGTCAAATTACTACATCTCGTACACAGGCTGGCCCGACCGGGGAAGTACCAACCTCTCACAGAATATCGGCGTGAAGTGATCTTTGGCTGCGTTGCAACTGATAAGTGAGAGAGCCGGTTGCTCTTTATCTGTTCTCATCATTTCCTCTCCCAGGATGTTGATGTGTGCAATGACCTATCTCCTGCATCACCGTAAGTTTGTTTTGAGGTGTTGAGCTGTTTCATTTGTATGGGGTCCAGGGAGACCCTAAAACAGCGAGTCGGATCAAAGCACTTTTTAAACCCTATTATCCTAAGGGCAATGCTTTTTCACATGATGGGTTTTGGACCATCAGCATCCTTCCATACTTCATTTCAACTAAAGAGTTGCAGCTGTCCATGGGTGACGGTAGCTACATTCCGTCAATAAGGCTGTCTCCTAATTTGCTCCATTTACAACTGTATTATTGTACTATATAATAGGTAAAGTAAACATTCGTTCGCAGGTACATTGAAGCCAATATTTTTAATCATGATTTCCAATGTCTTCAATTATAACTATTAATTAATAATTTCTATGTATACTCGTAAACATAAATATTTAAATAAATTCCCATAGACTTCCTTACATTTTTATCAAAATGCTAAACAATTAATAAATTATATTAACGAACTCAATAAGGAACCTCTGTAAACGGGTTCTGTACAAAATGTTTCCATAGTAACAATGTATTACTTATCAATTAATACTTTTAATGTGTACTATCTATACAATTAAATTGCTTTTCATGTACTTACATATACTTTATTATTATAGACAATTATTCATGAATTTGACAATTATCAAAAATTAATTTGAAGGGCAGCTTTATCAAACATAAGCGATTATTTATACCGTATTTAGATATCGTGTGGTCGGTGGCTTCGCTCGCCTTTAATTTTTTTATGTCATGTTCTCTTTAAGCGATTGATCGTGATAATAATTTTTCTTTCTAATTGGTAAAAAAATGTTTATCGCTGAAAAAAATCATACAAAGCCATTTCTTTCAAATATCTAAAGTTTCAATTTTTTGGTATATAACAAATATTTTGGGCATACATTACAAAAGTAATCGGTAAAACAAATTTGACGAGAGTTATAAAAAAAAGAAAATAACTATGAATTATGATTGTGTATTAAAAGAAATATTTGAACAATATTTTTTTATGAAAAAATATATACTAATCTTAATTCTAGAACACAAGTCACATATGATATGATTGCAGGGATAACAATAAAAAATAAAAGTGGCAACACGCGCGGTGATAAGATAGGCTTAGCACGTTACAAATGTACATATCTCTGAGACGTTTGTTATTATCACTGTTTAATTTGTATATTATAATAAGCAGTCATAGAAGATCTGCGTTATGAGGTTCCTGAAACTTATAACTAAATATAAAGTTTTATTTTCCTTCATCTTTGCCTCGTCAACCGATGTTTTACATAAAGCTTTGATTACTTAGTAGCTATATTGTATACAATGATATATACTAGTATTGCTCTGATCGAGTAACAGTTTTCATAATCAAACAGTTATTTCAAGGATGACTATCAGTTTGAAGACAATTTTTTTGATATTTTATGAATTGTATTGAAAACATTCAAAAGATTTACAATCTTATTAAAATCTTTGACGCCATATTATGAAGTAACGCGCGAATTAACAGCATTTAAAATGGTATTCTGCTTTGTTGATATCTTCTATATATATAAAAATGGATTGCTGTTCCTTAGTCTCACTAAAACTCGAGAACAGCTGAACGGATTTATCTTATAATAGTCTTGAAATGTTCCTGGAGGTTCAGGGAAGGTTTAAAAGCTGAAAATTATTTATTTATTTCGGGTGAAACCGGGGAAAAAATGGTTTTTTGACATTAGATTTGACAACTAACTAATATGTCAATCATTCTGTCGCACTTCAGAACACAGAGATTTATGGCTTAAAGGTAAACACCAAAAAGATAAATACGACATAATTTATTTCTTGATTGAGGCAGTACAAAGTCTGCCGGGTCAGCTAGTTTATATATAAAAACAAAAATGTGTATATAAACATATGTATTTCTTTGCATTGTGTCATAAAGTCGGCTTTATAGTGCTTTAAACTTACAGCCGTCATAACAGTTTACATTTTGTTGTAGTGCTTTTTGCTTTTGATATCCTATGTCTAGCGTCAGTTATTAGTCAAATTAACACTTCAGGAAAACTAAATACAAGAAAAGAAAACTAATAATGACACAAGACTATCTGATAAACAAGGGAATAATGTTACAAGTAAATAAGTATAAAATTTTATTGAAGTTCTCATAAATTAATGAAATTAATTTTGTCCATCAACCTTAATTCAGATCCGGTTTTGTAAAAACTTGTTAGTAATAACAATATTATATTATCGTTCAATCCAATCACCAATTGAATATTATCTTTTTATGCGTATATTTTTATTACTGACAACGTGTCTTCAATTTGACTTTCCTTAGTAAATTTGAAGGTCATCTTTATCTTTTAAAGATATCTAAGACTTTCACGTCTACACATTCAATTGAAACTAAGTTTTTCCGATACTGCCAGTATTTTAGTCAGTGGTGGCCTAGTGGTAAAAGTGTCCGCCTCTCGTTGCCGAGGGCGCGGGTTCAAACCTGGCAAGTACCAATGTGATTTTTCGGAGTCATATGTACTTTCTGAGAGTATTTAGACACCACTGACATACGGTGAAGGTTAACGTCGTGAGGAAACCTGGACTTATAGTTTCACAATTACAAGTTTGAAATCACCAACCCGTCTTGAGCAAGCGTAGTGATTAATGATCAAACCTTCTCCATGTGAGAAAGAGGCATTTGCTCAGCAGTGGGCACTGATAGGGCTGATGACGACGATGACGAGTATTTTAATTTTTTATATCTACATGATCACGTTTCGATTTTTACAGCAACCAAACTGAAAATTCAAACACGTAATATCTGAAAAACTTAGTTTTGCTCATGGCTTCGCTCGACTGTAATTTATTTTATATTTTATTTTGTGACAGCGTCTGCAGTCCTCATTCATTATTATCAGAGCCTAATAAAATATTAACATAACAAAATCATCCCAATTCCGAGATTTAACGTGTCTTTTTTGAATTTTTATTGAATTTGTTCCAAATTGAAGCCATACTTATAATATCTCTATGATAAAGTTAATAACTTAAAAGCTTTCGTGCCCTAACTCAAAATTTCTTCATATTTATATTTTAATTTTCTCATAGGTGACATGCAGATGATTTTTTGTGCCAAAAATCTCTATGAACATATTCAATTTTTACAGTAAAAAGTAAGTCAGGGCCAATAACTTAATTGACAAAACAATGGTAACACGTTATTCTAGTTGTACTAAGTTAGGAACACTTCTGTTGATGAATGTATCAATTATAACTTTCCGTTTGGTTTGTACATTGAATATAGCAACAAACATTTTATGTTAATAAGGTAATTTGTATATAAGGTAATTGCTAAACGGACGATATGATAAAGAACGCTTGGCTGTTTTAAATTATTTATCTATTACTGTATATATGTTTTGAGCTATTTAATAATAATAATAATTATAATTTTTATTTCAGACCATATTGTAGATCCATATAGTGTTAGTACAAATTGAACTTAATAAATAAATTGGTTAGTAAATTTACAAAACAAAAACAATTTTATTTATGATTAACTAATTAACTAATTTGTTAAAACGTGGAGTCTAAACGTGGAGCTAAAACGTGGAGTTGTATCCATTGTGCTAAGATTGGTGAATCCCAATTAATACTACAAATATTCCATCGTTTGTTTAA